GTCCGAATGGAGGCAGCACGAATAAAAGTAGCAGGCACGGGAACTCTCAGATGGTTGTATTTCAATGGCAGAAAAATAACTCCCTACTTTGTGATTACTCATATGCCAATATCACTTTGTCATTGCCGGCCTCTGCGCGCGTCAAACTCTCCAAAGCATGACGTATATCACAGAGAGAAGAAACGAGAACGTTTCCCCTTTCCATCCTTGTGAGATGCCTAGGTGTGAATCAAATACTCGGCCGAAGATTCGTAAACTCCATTCAAATGGCAGCTCTAGTCAAAGTATCTTTTCAGGTCGGCCATGAATAGGAACAGGACGTTGGCAACAGGCTGACGACTGTAGTTTGATTGGAATTGATCCAAGAGATGGTTTGGCATGTCCGGATCAACATTTCAGCCGCCAGAAATATATCCGCATGATTCTCATTATTCCCAATCCCGAACCAAAGAACCGTGTCTATATATTACGGCTCGACTTGTCTTAACGAGTTCTTCTACTAGCAACACCTTCTCGTTTCGACTTCGACCTCCACAGAATGGTGACAAGGTGCGTGCCAACGTAGATGAAATTGCTACAGACAGATGGAAATCGGCTGGATGGAGTTCAGAATTGTCATTTCGGTTCAGCCCGTTTGGTATGCCAGGAGGCTCTTCATTCCATCCAGCTGCGTTGATACTTTGGACGAAGCAAATGACGCATCCAAGCTGTCAAGAGGAACAACCGCGCCTCGAACTATGGAGCAAGAGGACACGAAAGGCAACTGATGAGCCCTTGGAGTTTTCGAAGCCGTCACAACCCCAGGCTTCAGGTCCATGTCAGCCATGGCGACGGCGAAGCAGGACAAGGTCGACGATTCTTGGGCACATCTATGGGTATTTCCATTGTGCAAGTGTCACGAGCCTGCGGGTCCTATTACTCTGTTGATGAATTGTTCCGGCTTGTCGATTCGGCCCGAGACATTTTGATGCTTTTGGCCGGCGAGTTGCCATGGAATTACAATGTGTGGGATTCTCTCGCTTGGCATGATATCTAAAGAACCTCTGGAAGGAGGTGTTCTAAATCCGGCCGAGCAGAATGGCTTGCAACCCGGACTGCTTTCGCTGGCATCTATGCAGTGCAAACTTTGAAAGAAGCGAAATTGCTCCATACTTTTCATCAAAAGATTCAAGTTTGGGGCGTCGAGGCCAACTTGGTGAGCCCGATCAATTCAATCAAGATGGAAATGCAACTATTACGTCCAAGAGTTTGAATCATGCAGACGAGCTCTGACCTGATGACCTGACAATCAGTCGCTCGAGAATGGATCATGCGACACGAACTTGTACATCTTTTCGTGATCCATGGATAAGATGAAATGTCGTTGAATATTCAATCCTTTTGTGTTGTCTTTGTGCAAGACGTCGTGCATCGCGGCGCTGTCATATAAGGGTGAAGTGGTTTGGTGTTGCACCCAGCCAATGTATGGGTGCTAAGAATTTGTGTGGCTGCTAATCTTGTATGGGTGCTAATCATTTGTATGGGTGCAAAGTGGAAGGCTGAGGTTTGCACCCATAGAAAAATGTGTGGGGCTGATTTTGTATGGGTGCAAATGTCATTGTGTATGGCAAATATGGGTGCTAGGTGCTGAGACTTTTGTATGGGTGCCAAGTCTTTTGCATCCATACAAATTTTTTGCACCCATACAAAGTCACCTCCTCGCCTAAAATTGTATGGGTGCAAACATTCTTTGCACCCACCTAAAATAGGCGCTGTAGGTGCAACACTTTTTTTTGCACCCATACAAAACACTTGCCCCACGTATTTTTCTATGGGTGCAAAGATGCTTTGCACCCATACAAATTTGGTGGGGCTACAACTTTTGTATGGGTGCAAACCAGCAGTGCACCAAAAAGTGTGGGGCAGCTTTTTGTATGGGTGCAAACTGCACCACTGCTGGATTGCACCCATACAAATTAGGCGGGCTACAACTTTTGTATGGGTGCAATCGAGCTTCCAAAGTTTGCACCCATACAAAACACTTGCCCCACGTATTTTTCTATGGGTGCAAACATTCTTTGCACCCATACAAAATGCGGTGCCAAATATTTGCACCCATACAAAACCACCTGCCCCACGTACAATTGTATAGGTGCAAAGCGTTTTGCACCCATACAAAAGCGATGCACTCACTAGGTTTGTATGGGCGCAAATCAACCATTGCACCTAATGGCGCACCATTCCCTCAGCAAATGCGATACTGGCCACGGTATTCTCCAATGCATTGCGCCATATACGTATGTATTTGCACACGCAGATCATGTCGCAGGATCAAGAACTCGTGGTGCATCTCGCAAGGTCGTGTAATGCAGGATGCCATCGCTTCCTGTATGGGTGCAGCGCTTTTGAAGAGCTGCAACGATGCTGGCGCTGGGTGCCGGCCATAGCTGGGTGCATTGCTTTTTGTATGGGCGCAATGGTGCAGCTAATTGTGTATGAGTGCTAAGAATTTGTATGGGTGCTAAGCTCTTTGCACCTACCAAAGATTTGGGCACCATATGAGATTGTATGGGTGCTAAGATCCAGGGCTCTTTGCACCCATACAAAACACCTGCCCCACGTAGAATTGTATGGGTGAAAAGAATGTTTGCACCCATAGAAAAAGCGATGCACTCAACAGAATTGTATGGGCGCAAATCAATTACTGGGCACATGGAAATTGATGCAACTGTCTACCAGCCAGAGATGTGTACATTTTAAAAGTATTGCAACGATTCCATCTATGTACAGGCGCATCGCTATTGGGATGGTCAAGTATCACGGTTCTGGGTGCAGCAGATAGGTAGTGCTACATTGATTTTGTTTGCACCCATACAAAGCCGACTGCCCCACGCAACTTTGTATGGTTTGCACCCATACAAAATCACCCGCCCCACGTACAATTATATGGGTGCAAAGATCTTTGCACCCACCTAAATTGGCGCTGCACCCGTACAAGATCTTTGCACCCATACAAAGCCGACTGCCCCACGTATTTTTCTATGGGTGCAAAGGTCTTTGCACCCATACAAAATAAATCGTTGCACCCAGGCACCTACCAAAGATTGGGACGCCATATAAATTTGTATGGGTGCTAATGATTTTGCACCCATACAAAATCACCACCCCTATGTAACTTGTATGGGCGCCAAATTCTTTGCACCCACCAAAGACCAGGTGCTGCACTAAATTTGTATGGGTGCAAACCTCTTAGCACCCATACAAGATGTTTGCGCCCATAGAAACCAAATGCACCCACCAAATTTGTATGGGTGCTAAACATCTTTGCACCCATACAATTTAGGCGCTGCCCCCCCAAAGACAAGCTACACCATTATGACACCTACCAAATACCATGCACTCGTGTCGCAGCGCATTCATCCCAATGATGTTGTCTAGAACTTCTTATACCATTCAGAGTCAATCAATCGAAAGAACTGTCAATTGATTTTGCATGCATCCAAGTATGGACAGCGATGCAGCTCGTTTGATTGCAGTCATGCTGAGCCTCTTTATGGTGGTGCAACACGATGCGTCGCCCTCGATCACAGACCTGCGCGCAGCTGGAGATGCATAATTGCAAGCTGTCAAAACGATGCACCTGATTGTAAATATCTTATGGGTACTTGCGAGAATTTTGAATATTTATTTCTAGATTGAGCGCAGTGGTGGAAGAGTTGTGAATGAATACACATGGCTGATGGCTGGATTGCACCCTTACAATTCGTGGTAGCAGGTATCATTTGGTGGGTGCAAACGTTGCTGGGCTGGATTGCACCCATACAAATTATTGCTGTAGGTACAATTTGGTGGGTGCAAACATGAATAGGCTGCTTTGCACCCATACAAATTGTGTGGGGCAGTAGGTGACAGCACTGGGAGTCTCTGGCGTGGTGCTACACTGGGCGCCCCACGCTTTGCGCCCTACTAAATCATCGCTGCAGGTACAATTTGGTGGGTGCAAACATGAATTGTATGGGTGCGAAAAGGTCTTGGCACCCATACAAATTGTGTGGGACATGGGGTGCAAACCTTCTATCCCGCCAAACTTGGGGGCTCCTCAACCTGGTGCACTGTTATAGTGGATGGCTTCAAGCCGCAGCAACAGCCTGCCTTTGACGCATATGTTTCTTGATTTGGCCGCATTGCCTGGCGCACGCTCAATCATATCGGTATGCAAGCTCGCGCTGGCTCGACAAGTCAATACCGGGATACCCAGTTCCAGACAGTCGCCTATCCGACGATTCAGTATGCCTCGAGACATGTCTATAGCCTCGTATCTTTGGGTAGACAGTTCAAGGCTTCGAGAACCACTTTACGCTCCAAGAAAGTAGCGATTCCATTGGCGGTAAATGGTTATGAGTGCAGAAGCCAACCGCGTTCTATACAAGTCAACCGGGCAAGATTCGCAAGACCTGATGCTCTGGCCATGATATGGGTGTCCCTTTTGCCATCAACTACGATCCATTGTGGTGTTATATATCGTCTGGGTGTCGTCAACCTCGTCGAGCTCTCCAGTGTGATAACCCAATGTAAACCAAATTCAGACAAGGCACTGAATCAGACCTGGAATCAAAACGTTGTACATGATGTTTGATATTCCAGTTCGGGTTGCACTCGGCACGCTCAGACTGTGACTGGGCCGGTGGATATATCATCAGAACACATCTAGGAATGTATATAGAAACCGACCAAGCAGGAATGACATCCGGCAAAGCTCCAATCTCAATAACACAATTCCGTGATTCACCATCTCTTCTGCAATTTGCTTCAGACCTGCGTGAGCAAGATGCCATTCACAAGTGATTCACAGACCAGGTCAACACGTCTCGAAATTGCATAAGTACGTGTCGACCAGACTTTTCTCTCCTCTCCATTCCACCTTGGAACTTTACCAGCCCCAGAACGGCATCCCGCGCATAGTGTCTCCTTTACCACTACTCTTGAGACTCCTGACCATCAGACAGCACCCTCGTGTCAAGATGAATCCAGTTTCGACACCTCCCAGCGCGCAAGTCCTACACCATATTATTTTACACGGTCAAACTAACTCTCGCAGCAGTGAGGCCAGTACGCTCGGTGGCGTGCGCACCTGGTTCAACCCGGCCGGAATGTATTACGAGGACAATAAATGGACAACAGAAAGGGCAATCCAGATAGAATTCTACACCATTCTTGCCGTCATTATATTTTCACTCATCCTTGGATGCATCACCAGTTGCAAGATTATGCATTGTTTCTCGCCCTCACATTGGGTGCGGTTCAGGGCAGCCGAGATTGACGCCCAGATGCAAGAGGCGTATAAAGCAGCCAAGGACAGGGAAATTGCCAAGGCTCAAGAAGAAAAACAGACTGGAATCCGATCTGGCAAATACAGGTGATGCCCAAAGATGTGTAAGTCTAATTCCATCTTGATTGCGGTGGACATGTACAATAGTGTTTGGAAAGACACCATTCTTTTCACACTGCTGCGATAGAACAGATCCTACAACTTTCATGGTTCATTTGACAGTCTTTCGACGACTTGCTGACTTTTTCCAGATCATGGTCTTGCCTTCAAAGCGGCAACATGGCATCATATTGAGCTTGGGGAATATCTCTGAGATGGATTTACGGACAGATCCTTGAGGGGCATTGAGTAGAGAAATTATATACCAGAATGAAACATGGCACGTTCTGGCAATCAATGCATTACCCCGACAATGATTTCGAGAATGACTTATAATATGCGAGTGTACACAAGAGTATGATACAAATGTCTAGCACGAGATATTTCTCGTCACTCTTGCTGATGGAGGCAAGTCTAATATCTACATAAACCCCCTCAATTGAGTTTGTAAAGTACTTGCTCGCCACGGAGCCACCTCTCGACATTTTCAACAGTCTCCTCATACCACGTGTGCATGATACCCTCTTCTACATAGCCCATGTGAGGCGTAATCAAGAGCCTTCCGCGTCCATTTGTTCCCCATTCCGTCGACCGCCACGGGCTATCTGCTGGGAGAGGCTCCAAATCAAAAACGTCCAACGCGGCTCCTCGAATTTCACCCTTCGAGAGGACATTGTACAGGGCATCCTGATCAATCAGGGGCCCTCGCGAGGTATTTACAATCAGCGCCGAGCTCTTCATCTTCTCCAGCTCTGGCTGCCCAACAATGCCGCGCGACCGCTCGCTGAGCACATAGTGCAGACTAACCACATCAGCCGTCTCGAAAAGCTCGGCCTTGGTCACGGCCTTGAAAGTGCTGCCTTGGGAATCGACGGCACACCCGCCCTGCGCCGGCAATCCGACGTCGCGCGCCATGCGGTCCGCCTTTTCCTGCGTCAGGTTTTCACTCCAGCACATGACGCGCATGCCAAACGCCAGCGTCGCGATCCGCGCCACTGCCGCCCCCAGCCGGCCGAGTCCCACCACGCCGAGAGTAGCGCCAGTTAGACCCGTCGCCAGGCCCGTCTGCCATGCCTTGGAGGTCCCTTTCATGGCCGCGTCGTCGGCAGCCACGTTGCGTGCTAGAGCCAGAAGCATGGCCCAGGTGTGCTGGGTTGCCGGGTGGCTGCCGCCCTGTTTTATATCCAGCTTGGGCCGGGGCGGGATATGCGAGGTCCGGCCATCGGTACGTCCGCGTCCCGGGGCTGCGGCAACGGTAATGCCTTGGCTAGAGGCCGTGGAAAGATCAAAGGTTTCAAACTGGGTCCCAGTGGCCAGTAGGAGCTTTAGATTGGGGAGGGAGCGCAAGAGGTCTCCCGGAAATGATGTACGCTCCCGCATACTGGAAATGATGGTATATGGCCTGAGCTGGGCAATGACGGCTTCCCTGTCGGCATCCGAGGTGCTTGGATGGCTAAAAGGCGGGAGTGCATGTTTAAACGTGGTGACTGAGAGCTGTGATGAAGGAATATGAGAAAAATGTGGTGTAGCAATGTCGAGATAGTCGTCCAGCACAACCATGGCCGGGACGGAGCTCGACGACATGTTTCGATAAGAGGTTCTCAGCAGACTATGCGCGAGCCGGAGCCCATTTCCCCGGAATGACATGCTGCGACTAGAGCTGCTCAGGCAGGTAATGTAGAACGGGTTTGTAGATCTTGTGGTGTATGTGTTTCTGGTCGTCAAGTTATTACTGGCATGGTTCCGAGTTCGGGATTATCGGATTGGTTTAAACGGAGTCCTCCTGGTCATAACCTTGGCTAAAAGGTGGGGTTATACTACCACTCATCTGTGCATATCTCACTGCAGGAGCATGCTGCAATGCTACATGTCACCGGGAATAAGATGGGCGGTTACATTGCACATTGATACCACCATGTTAGGCCTCTAGCCATGGTAATCACTTTTGCATTAAACGGATGAATGAGGCTCGGCGCTTTTGTGCCTAGGCTTATCCTCACATTTCGACTACATCACGAGACTGAAAGCTCGAAAATCACAAGAGAGACATCACCGAAATTCCCATTGACATGTATTCAACAGCGAAACGCCCTACAAACTGAGAAAGAGGTCGACAAGCTTGGGGTAGTTGGGAGTTCTAGAAAGATTAGCTTTGAATCTTGTCAAAGGAATGATAACATACCCAAGGCCAGTGACGGGATCCCATCCAGCAGCGGCGGGAAAGCCAGTCGAGTCACATCCAGGGTTGGAACCCTCGGTGACATCATTGAAAACTTCGGGGTGGGCATACTACACCTTGTTAGCATGATTCATCTTGACGGATTACTTTGTGACTCACCAAGGTAGGCTGAATAAAGCCCACAGTGCTCTTGTTTGCCGCCAAGCGGTGCTCATTGACCAGAGTCAAAACCGCAGCAAAGACGGGCGACGACAGCGAGGTACCACCGACACGAGCCCAGACGCCCTCGGTAAAGACGACGTAATAGTCACCAATGGCGGAAACATCAGGATAGCCACGGCCGCCAATCTTGTAGACGCCGTCGCCAACGTCGCTAAAGTTGGTGCCGGCTTCAGTGTAGCCGGTAAAGTCGAGAGTGACCTCGTCAAAGTAGGCCGAGATGGCGTCCGTCTGCCAGTCGGGAGCGTCAAAGTAGTTGGAAAAGCCACCGCCGCTGGGGAAGCGCGACGTGGCCGTCTCGAAATAGGTCGTGGTGGTGCTGTGGTTAAACTGCGTCGAGCCCACGGCCAAGACGTACGGGCAGGTGGCGTCGGCCGAAGGGTAAAAGATGGTGCCCTCGGGCCCGGCGCAGCCATTCTCCAGACCAAAGTCGCCGGGAAACGAGGCGACACCATAGTCGCCCGAGGACTCGAGGACCGTGACGCCCTGCAGGCCGAGCTTCATGACCTCGTCGCACTGGCGCTTGAGGTAGTAGGCCGGGAGATCAGCCTCGCCGCCACCGTACGAGATGGAAATGACATTGGTGGGCTGGTAGACGCCGCACTGGAGCTGTCCCGTGTAGCCGCCGGGGTTGTCGTCTGGGTAAATGGGGTCCAGACACTCGGGGTCGGTACAATCACCCGTCTCGCCATAGGCCGAGTACGTGCAGTACGAGCCGTCAATGGCATCGAAAAAGGTATTGTAAAATCCAAAGTAGGGCGTGTCGGCCGTGGTCTGGTTCACCTCGATGAACTCGTCGTCTGTCTGGAACAGGACCGTCTTTTGAGGCCAAATCAAGGGCCAAGCAGCCTCAAAGTCGAGGTCAGACTCGACACCGGCGTCCTCTTGAGTGTAGCCGGGAACATCCTCGACGGCACCAATAGCACCATCAATCAGTCTGTCCTCGGGATAGGTGCCATTGGGAATGTACGGGTAGAGGGTAGAGAAAAAAGTGTCGAGATCCTCTCTGCTGTAGTGGTCGTCGAGCGACTCAAAGATACCTAGTTCGTTGCCTGCCGCAGCCAGGGTATTGTTGGGAATGCTGTACTGATCTCTGATGCAGGCCGTCGTGACATAGACGTCGCAGACGGTATTATTCAGCGGGGGAAGAGCAGACGCGTCAGTCTCTGCATCACGTAGCACTTCGAAATTCGTGTACATGGGCTTGACATTGCGGCTCTTGAGCTGTTCCTGCTCGTACCGACGCTTCATCTTCTTGAGCTTTCCAGGGTCGGCTCGTAGCTTGACGCCGGGAGTAATATAGTCAATGTGGTCTCGGAGTTCAAGAGGCACGTGATACTCTTCGACGGCAACCATTTGACTGCCCGAGGCGAGATGCTCATAGGTAAAGTAGTCGGTTGCCAGGAGCTCTTCGACTTGCTCGGCATATGCATCGAATTGGATCCACTGCTTGTTGGCAGACAGGGAAATGTCGTCGCCCTCAAAGCCGGCGTCAATGAGCCATTCCCGGACGGCTTCAACCACGGCATCAGAGGGTGCAAACATGTCAATGACCTCGTCGGCCGACATGTGCTTTCCATAGTCTGCCGACTTGGGATTGGAACTAGATGTGTTAGAAATGTTCTTATGCGTGCATGGCTCAGCTTACATTTCTCTCAGACGCTTGGCTCCGGCTTCGAGATTCCTCTGGACCAGACCGATGCGCATGGGAAGCAATGCCCGAGCAGGGACCTTGTCCCTCTTTGCCCACTGTCGTCCCCAGTGTGCAAGCTGTCGCTCATGAAGCACATGAGTATCAGGGACCTGACGTTTGTGAGTGGCGAGTTCGGCGTGGCCAGCAGCCAAGGGACTAGCCAAGACCCCCAGAGCGAGACTGCCAGTCGCGGCAACAGCCAACTGTCTAAACAACATGGTGCGAGTAAACTGCCGTCAAACGGATAGCAAACTTGCCAAGCAGCATGGTGGATAGACGGCAGCTTGGCAGTATTTATATGGACATGTAATCGGACAAACGCCGAGCAGCAACCCCAACAGATGGTCTGCCATTACGTAGACGATTGTGGAGTATCCCTACAATCGTAGAACCCCTGCGTATCGCGTGCTTGGTGTTGTGCGGGATGGAGACGCGGTTCACAGTCAGACGACACTAATGTAGGCATCATGTATAATATCAAGAGATAAGTCGGGGTTCTTGATCCGAACAGGTGGGTTCATGTCCAAGAAGTGGGTTTGGATCTGCTTTCAGGATGTCATTGACTGGAGCAATCTTGCTGGCAATCTTTGTACAGTACCTGTAGTCTGTAATCCTGTTATTGCACGTCACTATTCAACATTATTGGAAAGTAGTTCCATCAATCCACATTACGTGTGTTCAAATTGTTCCAGCAATAGTAGGTACCGTTGATAACAGTTCCTCGCAGCAGTTTGTCAATGTCACCTTCCTGAATGGGCTGGACCAGGCGCTATAACCCATGTCGAATCAAGCTCACTGCCCCTGCGCGTATGCACTGTAGCCGCGCGGGGCCGGTCGCATTAGAAGATCGTTGGCATTCGGTGCATACTTTGAGTTCCAGGAGCCACGATATCATTTACCATGGCCCCTACAAAAAGTACGTTTTGCAACCTCGTAGTCGTCGATGGCTCCACAAGACGGGAGCCAAGTATAGCCAAGTTGGTCTTGGCGATACGGCTTCATACTTGGCGATCTAGTGGGCGGTGAAGTCGCTTGGCGTCCTCGATTAGATATATCCAACTCTGCTGAGCAGGATCTAATATCACGGAATATTGCGCAGACATGGCTGGGGTTAAGGGTGCTTTGATCGCTACGTTTTGACCACCCGCCATGACGATTCCACCGCGGAATAGATTCTCGTCGGACCTTGAGGCTCGGTCTTTGCAGTCAACGAGATGATTGTCCGGCTGAGCCATCGAGAGGTGCTTTTTATTTTGAATCATGACAAGCGAGGTCTCGAATCCATACACGTCGTCAATCTTTTGGTTCGTCTCCAAAACAATCTCGAGTTTTCCGCCGTCTTTGACATGAGTCTTTGCCGTACAAGTCCAGCATGCCAGAGCTGCCAACAAGTCCACAATGGCTTGAGTTAAGGGTTCCTCTCGTGCGTACAGCCATCCTGTCCTGTCCCTGCGATGGTACAAGCGATCGCTGGGTTCTAGGGGAATGAGGACTTGCATATCAATGTTGCGCACATATGTCTGCAGCTTGAGCAGTTGATTGCCTCAAGACCCTTGGTCCGGAGTCAGTGGCCGAAGAATATTGGATTGCGCAAGCCAAGTATCCCACTGATCCCAATCAATCGTATGAGACGAGGGTTCCTCTAGGCTCAAGTCTGTATTCGGCGAAAAGTCGAAATCGAAATCCATCATGTCGTTTATATTATTCAAAATGGAAGAATCCAAGCCTTGTGTCAGCCAAAATGATTCCTCTTGTGTGCCGAGTAGAGTCTCGTCGGTCCCATGAGTGATTGAGTGGGCTGGTATTGAACTGGGGGGATTGCCTTGGATCGTAATCCCAGGACCAGACGGAACATCTTTGTCCCCAGTCGACGCCTGATTCAAGGTCCTGGAAACCTCTGCTTTCTTGGTCTTGGCTTGTGATTGTTTGGCCTTGATAGAGTCGCGTTGCTCATTCAGTTTCACGATAAATCCTGGCGTTGGGGGCGGAACTGCAGACTTGTTCTTTTCCAACACGGCCTTGTGTTTTCTGTATGCTTTGAGACAGAGATTTCCTACAGCCACATGTATGGGCTTTCTCATGTCGGAAGCCATCTCTGGTGTCCCTTGATAGATTTTGCTTATGAGCGCCCAAGCTTTTCCATAATCAACAGCGAGTGACCCGTTGCAAAGGGTACCTAGGACATGAATTACGGCGTGCCATTGCTGAAAGTATGGCGCGTGCTATAGATGTTGTCAGTTTCATTGCCACTTTTATCAATGTCATCCCACATATAAGGGACATTGCTTACCCATGCAAAAGCGTTTAGTTGTGGGTTAGTAAGTAGCATGGTATGTTGCTCGAGAAGGTTGATGCAAACGTTCCAGACCCAGAGCTGTTCAGACATTGGGGCTTGTTCAAAATTAGCCCATCGTCGTGGGTGATGTGATAAAAGCCGAATAATGTTCATTGACGATCGTGCCATGAGCATGGTAAAGAGGTGCAAAGGCCTAGAAGGATCGCAGTAGCGAATATACTTGGTCTCCAAGGTTTCTTCAATCTCCTCGAGCAGTCTGTCGACTTCTGTCGTGTCATTGTCTCGCATATGAAGCTCCCACGCCCCAGGTGCTTTTCCCTGCCGGCGGAAATCAGCAATGCGTGCCGCTGCGAAATTTAAGAGTTCGCCTTTGAGAGCAATCAGGACTGAATCCGTCATGACTTTTGAAGATGTAGCTGGTGAGGGCATGCCGGGGTAGAGCTGGTCGTCGTCTACATTTGTAGGCCATTTTGGGGTATCGGAACCAGTGTGTAGATCCTGAAACTTTGCAATGCCGCATAGCTCGCCTGTACGAAAGTCGTGAGTCTTGATTTGCCACCAAATACGACGCCGCATCTCGGTTTCGAACGGCGCAAGACCTAGGTGTACTCCATCGCGCTCAAGCCCCATCCCTTGGGCGATGCGAATAGCAACACCAGTCAAGGACCAAATGGCTCTGGGCTCGTAGCTGTCTCTTACCGAGAGGAGATGAAGCGCCAATGCTTGGAGAACGACGAGATTTGTGCTCCCCATAAACTTGGCTCGAGCAAGCGCTCGTTTTGTCGCGGCAATGTATCTCGACAAGAGAGTTTTCCGCGGTGCATTGAGCCTAGATTTGCATTCATCATCACCGAGTGACATGACGGCAGCGCTATAAATGGCAAACATGAGCGCCTCGAAAGCTCGGGGAATGACCTCAATATTGTTGGCAGCTTTGTTGACAGCCGGCCATAAACTAGGGACATGCAAGACCTTGGTCAGGGGGTCAATGTTTTCAATGAAAATCTTCCACAATTCTTGAATGCCCTCTGGTGGTGGGTGGCGCGATTTGGGGTCCGGTCTGGGCTGGATACCAAGGACGAAACCAAAGTCGTCTTCGGAATCTTCCGAGTCAATTGAGCATTCGTGCAAGGAATCTGGTGATTCGCGGAGCTATATCAAATTGTAAGCTCTCAAAAGAATTACTTGAGCATGCAACAGCCACCTACCTCGTCCGCCACGCTTTTCCACAGTATGCTGTCGTTCATCAGCAGGGATAAATGTAACATGAGAAAGTTTGCTCACTTGTTGGCATACTTGTAATGACTTGTATCCTTGGACTCTTGCGGATCAAAGTCGGAATCGAGACGAGTAAATGTCGAGGGTGCCCCATGATCGGACGAGGTATCTGGCAGCCTTTCTGGGTCGATACCCTTTTCTAAAAGAAGAGCTTCGTATTGCTTGATGCGATCTTTTAGTGCCTGTTGCTGGCCGCGCTTGTGGCGGTTTCGCGGTGGATGTGCAAGATTAAAGACACATTCAACTTGATGTCTAGTACACGCAGCACATGGGCTATTACGGTCACATCTAGAGCGATTGTTAATAATGATCAACTGGGAAAGAGTCCAAACTCACTTGACTTTGCGAGCAGCGCATCGAATGCACGCATATGGCTGCTTGCCAGCGGGGAAAGACGTCACGGCCGACGCCATGGCACTAGAGGTTAGTGGAATGTCTTGTGGCATGAATACGTGACAATGGTGAATTGACATGAAATGAGCATGTAGGAGAAATCCATTCTTCCAAGCATCGGCCTAGATTCGCGTACTGGTAGATGTTTGCAATGAAGGAGTGATGACGGCAATGTCTGGCGGAACGTGGCCTCTGATTGGCGGGCTACTTCGGCCCCGACGAGTCACGGTCCCGAGCCAAGTTTGAGCCTAGGAGATCCAGTTCCAGAGACCGTCCCAATTTCAACAAGGAATAGTCGGAATCATAGCTGCTTGGTGATATATACATTCCAAAGTATTCGGCTGTCGAATGACTAGCAACATGTCATTCCGCGGTCTCAACTACGCCGAAGCCAACGGCAAACAAGTCCTCGATTCTATAGTCCGAGCCCGAAAGCGTCCCTCGCACATACACACAAGTCGTTTATAAGGCCAGATGATCCCGAGACAATCCAAGATGGCAGATGAACTAGATTCATACCTTTTATCAATCAAGAGCATCTCTTTTTACCAATACTCCAAGTCGAATCATCAGGCCCAGTATCATGCGTGTCTTGATTAGCGGAGCTGGAGTCGCAGGGCCAACTCTGGCTTGGTTCCTAGCTAGGACGGGTGCGCAGGTCACGATTGTGGAAAAGAGCTCCTCGATACTGCCACACGGGCAAAACATTGACATCAAGGACAGCTCGCTGACCATCATCAACAAAATGGGCCTCATGGACGAGATTCGACGCTTCAACACAACGGAACAGGGCACCCGATTCATTGGCCCGAGCGGACAACCGTTTGCACCCTTTCCTGTCAAAGAGGGCCACATGTGTAGCCCGTCCTCGGAGTTTGAGATTCTTCGCGCAGACTTGGCCAAGGTTCTCTACAATGCCACCAAAGACCATGCCAATATCCAGTATCTCTTTGGCACCGCGGTCAGCAAGGTCATTTCCAACAACGACAAGGGGGTCAGGGTCGAACTCTGCAATGGCGAGGTACACGACTTTGGTCTGTTGGTCGCTGCCGATGGGCAATGGTCCAAGTTGCGAAAGCAGTGCTTTGACGCAGACCAGGTCAAGGTGGTCCCTCAAGGCATGTATGCCGTCTACTATACCATTCCGCGCCTCCCCAGCGACGACAACTGGTGGAACGTCTACGTCGCACCACAATCCAGGATCATCACCCTCCGACCTGACCCGTACGGTACCACTCGAGCCATGTTTACCCTAGTACCTCGCACCAAGGCCCAGGCAGAGGCTTGGAAAGAGGCTGCCCGGGGTGGCAGACGTGCGCAGCAAGAACTTGTCAAGCTAGAGTTTGCCGGCGCTGGGTGGCAGGCAGAGAGACTGCTAGACAACATGGGCCAGGCAGATGACTTTTACTTTCACGTCATTGAACAGATTCAAATGACCAAATGGTCCAACTCGCGAATCGTCTGCCTTGGGGATGCGGCCTATGCCCCGACACCATTGACGGGCATGGGGACTTCGCTGGCCATAATAGGGGCCTATCTACTGGCGGGAGAGTTGAGCAAGCTCGGCAAGGGAGAGCACCCTGACAAGGCACTCCAAGCGTATGAAGGCATTTTTCGTCCCTACGTGGAGGAGTCGCAAAAGATTATGCCCATCTTTCCAGGTATCGCACACCCCGAGGGTCCTCTAGGACGAAGGCTTCTTAATGGCCTGGTCTGGACCATTTCCAAGGTTGTTACAATCCCGTGGCTAGCCAACAGGAGCGTCAACAAGGATATCAAGGGTGACAATTTTCCCTGGCCAGAGTATGAAGCCTTTGATGAAAGCTCGACTCGTCGCACTGCGTCGGCGTTGCCTCTACACACACAATGATGCGACTCGACAGTCACAATTTACAAGACACAATCATTCCATGTATGCGTCTAATTTAAATAGACTGCCTCAATCTGGCAATTCAAATGAATGTGATTGTATTTCTACTTTACGAGTGTGATAGTACAAGTCATGCTTGGTATGACTGCCGTGATCGCCTCGATTTGACTCTAGAAACGAATGATGGCTTAATCTTTGACCTAGGCAGTAGAAAGGGCAAGAGGCAAACGGCGAAAGCCTCCACAGCAAGCGACATCCTTTTGCAACTCTGCCATGGCCTTTTGATCGGCAATGGGATCCTGCGACGGACCCTCCAACGGCCAAGTCAAGTACTTGTTGGTGTAGTTGGGAACAAAGTCGGGCTGCAAGACACCCAGACGCTTGCCGTACTTGGTAACCTTTTCCCAGTCACGGCTCACGTTTTGCAAATCCTTGGAAAAGTACGCATAGGAGCGCTCAAAGATTTTAAAGTTGACGTCGGTGCCCATGCTTGGCTTCATGTCGACGTATTGCTTGTACGCATCGGCGGGAGAAGCAAGGACAAGGTCTGTTGCCTTTTTGACAGCGCGCATGAATTTCTCAACCTTTTCAGGGTTTTCGGCAAGAAAAGTGTCATTGACTAGGTGAATGGTCAGTATAGGATGGAATGAGAATGATTGATAAACTTACCAATGTAGAGAATGCTACAGAAGCAGCAGCAACCCAGCTCAGCCAGCTCGTCGATTCGAAGCATCTGCACTTCATCGCGGGCACGGCCCTGGCTGGCGAGCCATTCTGCCAGCTCGACCATTTGGACATTCTCGAGGCCGATACCGGCGTCAATGGTGCCTTCGATAATGGCCTTGCTGACATTCATGCCACAGCGGACTGCCGTGTAGTCATTGGGGCTCATTCCATAGTGCGAGGTGAGTTCGTCGATTTGAATCTTGCCAAACTCGCCAACATAGCCAATGCGCTTGCCCTTTAGGGTGCGAAAGTCGGTAGTAATACCGCTCGACTTGAGATAGACGACCCCAGTGAATGGCTCGTCGAGAAGAGAGCCAATGGATGTCACTGGAAAGTTGCGGGCTTTGGCCTGTGTATTGTGAGCATGTATAAGACACAGGGAGAAAGAGTGCTCACGGCCAGAGTATGAATCATGGCCTTGAATCCCATGTCCACCTTTCCGCTTCCGATAATCTCGGTGACATCGCTCGGATCGTTTGGCTCAAGGATGGCGACCTTGATGCCCTCGTCGGCAAAGAAACCAAGCTTTTGGGCAAGGTAGAGGGGTGCGTGGTAGGGCGTGGCTTGCCTGTAAAGGGTCTCAGTTGAATCCAAGGATGTGCATGAACATGACAATCGGTATCAACAAGCCCTGCTCAAAGAAAAGACTATTTACCAATTAGTGAGAAAGGTAATCTTGTCGGTAGCCATTTCGACGGTTCAAGCAAGGCTGAAATTGTTAGATATCTCCTACACATTGGGGAAAGGGGAGCATGATCCTTGGCGCTAGAATTATCTAGATCAAGTTCGGACGGTATAATCTCAGATTTGACTTTTACTAAATCCAGCGCATACACTCGGATCGTGGTCTTACTTGCATGGCAAATTCAAACACGGATTGAGCAGCAGTACTGAAGAGTTCCAAGCCAAAACACCCGCCATGCTTTTGTTCGTTACCTTGATACGTAGAAACCCCATTGCCACAAGTCCCTGCTTCATTGTCGCGTACCAGTCGGGTTGAAAAGGAAAATATGATATTGAATAGAAGATTGTGATGAATGAAATAGTCTTGTTTTGCTCCGGTCAAGCAAAAGTTGGCTCAAGAATGCGAGATATATACCTCTTGAATACCCCTCCCCGAAGACGGACGATCGTAGGAGCTGGTGCAGCGAGCTAAGCGTCTTAGTTGCTTGCTATAGCCTCAACTGACGATCCAATTGCTCAACAATCCACGGGTGGGTAAGCCTGCGTCATGACGCAGTAGGCTGCAAGTTATGCTTTTACTAATGGCTCGTAATATTGAGAGGGATGTGCATTAATCAACTGCGAAGACCGGAAATTTACTACATTTGTCATTTATAGAAATGAACACCCAATCATCTTTTTCGTTGCCTCTAGTTTAGCTAGTGTTATTTGTAACAGATTATAGGCAGTCATTCGCTGCAAAACTGCCAGCGAAAAGGCCTCAAGTGCAGTAAAAACTTGCAATAATTGATTATCGAGTCGATTGACGTGGCAGCTTGAGATATTCATGGTCGCGACGAACATGCAAATGTGTCGACAAGTCTTTCGCAGCTGTTTAGGCTCTTGACATTGGGAGTGTTTTATTGGCTAGGCCAAAAAGTGCCAGAAAGCATGAGGCTCTTCCCCTGAATAGATTGTTGATCGTTGTCTTGATTATCGTATGCATTCATTCCATGTCAAGAGGCCCACTGCCCGACTGGTTTGTCCAATCCATACATTCAAGACCTCTACAGCAAACAATGGGCAGTCAAAAGATGCCGTGATCCGATCATGTTCCATTGCGTCAAGGGCATTGCTTTTTCGACTCGAATAAACGACTTTTAGACGCTGTAGAATCTTTGCTGAATTGATCCTCCAACCAGCGTTGGAGTCACTGGCTATGTACGTATTCCGCAAGACGCCGCTTAGCAGCAAGACAGTAATTCCTAAACGCATTCCAGCACTGCAGGTCGTGGAAGCGACAAACAAACTGACAAGATCTTTATCCAATCATGGTCATCTTGAATGTCCATCACTCGCGAGGTGGTGCATCTTTAGATCTACTCTGCAGATCGCTGCTCAATCCAAAGAGCATGTCACTAAATATGATATTTTTACATCATGTCATTCGTCCGATGGGCATGCAGGGTCTTGGTGCTATATAGCCGGCGTATACCGCTGGCAATCACCCGACTTGCCTCGCCTCCATCTCGCTCGCTGGCCATGGAGGATCCGCCATCTTCACCCACTCGATACGAGTACCTCTTTGCAATGGTTCACAAGAATGAAACGTTCAACCGTCGCCCCACGGCCTCAATGTCACCAAGACACCAAGCAACTGCCAAGGTGTGCTTAGGCTGGACAAGCTTCACCAAGCACGTGCCAAGCTATAGCCAGGATATACCCCACACAAACAGGTACGATTGGTACCCTGGGTTTCACCCGTCTTGGACGCATTACAAACCTGCCTAAAGCGGCGTAGCCACGGCATCTACAATCAAATGAACTACTTTATTAGGGAACAAGTGATTTGCCGCCATAGGGGGCAGCGCTTCATTGATACTACATATATATCGCCCAGAGGCCTTGGCATTCTTGGCTCGATGGATTTCGCATATCTTGCCTTCTTATCGCAGGACCCGACATGACCAACATGGCCGAGGGATACGCAAACCCTCGCTTGGCCAGGCGGGATTTGAACAATGAGGCAAATGGAATTGGACCACGATGACCAGGTCTCTTGTTATTGCTTCTGCCGGCGGCTCGCGGCCCCATCCGCCATGATCAAGGTCGACACTCATCAGTACTTATAGTCCCCGTGTTTCATCCATTCTTTGAACACCTTGATGGACAACTCTTGGAGTCACTGGTCATAGTCTCTCGAGTCGCAAACATGCTTTCCAAGGTTCTGCCCGTCGCCGCCCTCGCTGGCGCAGCCATGGCTGCTTGCCCTCTGTCTGTCGAGATTACTGGCTCGACTGACCACACCCTCAACGTTGCCGTTACCAACAATGGCGCCGAGGCCGTGACCGTCTTCAAGGGCAACACTGTCCTGAGCGAGCACAACACCATGGACATTTTGGTCGCTGATGAAGGTATGCCCAGAAATAACCCTGTCTTTGTGCACAACTACCGGCATAATCACTAACGCCAATCACTAGATGGCAATGACCTCCCCTTTGAGGGTCTCTTTGTCAACTACAAGCGTACCGACATGGCCCCCTCCATGTTCCAGACCATCCAGGCTGGCGAGACTGTCAGTGCTACCGTCAACACTGCCAAGACCTACAACCTCGAGGGTGTCGCCAAGGCCAAGGCCCAAGCCATCCAGGGTTTCCACTACGTCACTGGCAGCACTGCTCCCAAGACTATTGCCGAGACCGAGTTTTGCGAGAATGTCACCTCGGACCCCGTCGACTTTACCGTTGACCAGACCACGGCCGCCATGTAAGTGTATCTGACAGGCATCTTGGAGTATTTCCACTGACATGCTCTAGCTCGCTCGTCACCCGTGACCTCAAGGTTGAAAAGTCCAACTCTCGCATCAAGGGCCGCTCTGTCAGCTACAGCGGCTGCACCTCGGCCCAGCAGAGCGCACTCGTGACCAGCGTCTCCGACGCCGTCTCCATGTCGTCGGCCGCCAAGACCGCCGCCGGCCAGAGCGCCGACTACTACACCACCTGGTTCAAGTCGACGTCGGTCCTGACCAAGGTCCAGACCATTTACCAGGACGTCGTGGGCATCCAGACCACCTCGCCCACTATTTCCTGCAAGGACACGTACGGCGACTGCGCCGACGGCTCGGCCCTGCTCTACACCATCCCCAGCGCAAAGGTCATTGTCCCCTGCCCCAGCAACGGCTTCTGGGGCTTTGACGAGCTCTCCCCCGACTGCACCGACTTTGACTACGACCGTGCCGGTTCCATCCTCCACGAGGCCACCCACTTGTACGGCACCGACGACTACGCCTACGGCCCCACTGCCGCCAAGAAGCTGTCCGCTGCTCAGGCTGCTGCCAATGCCGACACGTACGAGATGTACGCCGGCTCCGTCCGTCTTGGTGGCTGCAGCGGTTAAATTTCTGCTCGCTATAAACCATTTGGGACTCGTGATTGGACATTCGTGTCCATGTCACCTGGTCAATCTTTTTAATTCATCACTCCTACCTCGGGGGTTTGAATCAAGTTTGTACTTAACAATCTATAGCCAACATTGTATATTGAATATATGCACGAGTATGATGATAATTCACTCCATCTACGTGACTGATGATGTTTGATACAAGTCGTAGCACTGTCCTGAATTGATGCCCAAGTAGACTGGTGCAGCTATTATATTCCATCCCGAAGCTGTATATCGAGCGATTTGTAAAATCATGGACGTGGCATAAACCAGGAATTGAATAACCCGCTACAAGAGTCCTCAGCTGCTGGCATAAGCCAGAGTGTTTCATTGGCAACCGTTTTCGGTATTAGTTACGAAATTGTAAGACCAAGTCACGCTATCTTTGCAACACATCAAGAATTTGTCCAAAGAGCGCAGCACCATGTGGCTTATATTCAAGTCTAACAATAAGAATAACTTGTAGAAAGTAGTATCGAAAAACTATGTACAGGAATAAGAGGTTGATTATATTTCCAGGACAAGCTCATTAAAAAGAGCAATAGTCCTAGCAGCCACGCCCCGGACTTAGCAAGAAGCAGAGCTGGGAACGTTGGAGCACTTGGAAGAGGTCTTGCCTCCAGTAATCTTGTTGCCGGACCAGGTCCAGTCAGAGCAAGCACCCTTGGCACACAGAATGTAGACATCGGTAGCCGAAGATGCCACGGAACCAGTGACCTTGCTGACGGTGAGGTCGGTAATGGGGACGCCGGCAGTAGGGGTACCGGTAGGGCTGCCGTTCTCGTAATCCTGCTCAATGACGATACCGTACTTGGCAATGTTGGACAGGGTGATGCCCGAGTAGACAATGTCCGAGACGGATCCAGTGGCGCCGTAGACGGTCTTGATGCGAACGCCATTGTCGCTGTTGGAGATGGAGCTGTTCTCGATGCGGACAGTCTTGACGGTGTTATCGGAGCGGCCACCGACGGAGCCAATAGACAGACCGTGGCCACCGCTGCAGGAGCCGCCGGTAAAGGTAATGTTGGTGCCAGAGTTGATGGCAAGGCAGTCATCCTGGTTCTTGACGACGGCACCAGAAATGTAGATGCCAGTGGAAGATCCAACATCAAAGGCATCAGTGTTGTGGCCACCACCAGCATCACCGGCAGAGTTGTCCAGGTGGACATCGTAACTAGGAGTTGTGAGTTGGATGCTCGTTGGTTGGAACAAGATGATGAAACTTACATGCCGAGGTTGGTGGCGCTGTTGATGCTGAAAGCCTGAACAGGAGTGTTCTTGACGCTCAAGCCCTTGATCCAAGAGTTCTTGAGAGAGTGGGCGTAAAAGAACTTGGGCTTGGTCTTTCCACCGTTGCTTCCCTTGCCGTCCCACCACTTGGCACCGTTTCCATCAATAACGTGGCCAGAGGCACCCTGGATAGTAATGGAGCTTCCAGAAAAGGAGACCAAAGGACCTTCCCACTCCTTGTAGCCAAAAGAAGTAGTACCTTGAAAGGTGACCTATCATGTGTCAATAGTCGTCATGGCCAGAAGGAATTCCCCCAAGACATACAGTGGTTCCAGTCTTGAGACCAGTCATGTCCAGAGTTGTACCAGCAGGAACGGTAATATCCTTGAGGATAATGCTGGTGCAGCTGGTCTTGCCCTTGATGGCGCTGGCAGCATCGGTAAAGGTGCAGCTAGCACGCTCCTCGAGAACAGGAGCTGCCTGAGCTGTAAGTGCGAGGAGGCCAAAGGCGGCCGTGAGGGTGGAAGCAGGAGCAATCATTTTTGCGTGTAATGAATGTATAGTTGAAAATGTTAAAGAGAGTAGTCGGCGTTGGCCAGCAATTAAGGATGAATAGATAGAAAAGAACGAATAGCCCACAGAGCTGTCAATGTGCGTGCGGATGAGGCAAGAAAATCATAACAACTTGTGCCTCTGGGCTACCATCTCTTATAGTCGATTCTCTCGTGCAGACTCGAGGCATCGTGGACCAGCGGCTTGAACGGCAGTGTGCAATCTCCATCACGGGGCTCACTTAATCAATTGAGAGTGGTAAGGGTTGAAGCAGTGTTCTAGTTCGAGTTTACCCATGCGAAATGCAATGGAGCTGTATTGTATCCATCGGCCCTTACTTGTTCATGTCGTCTAGAGTTGCTTGCATGGGTTCGAATCCAGTCTCTTGACCAACAGACTCGGGGCCTGCCGAGCGACAGCTGGGATGCTTGGCCATTCTTTCAGAAAAGCTTATTTCTGATTTGTGGAATCGGCCAAGCCTGGACCCCAGAGCATCGGACGACGCCATACTGAATCCATCGCAAGTGGGTATTCGCAACCCCTAACGGTCATTTCTCCCATGGATTTCAGGTCGTGCAGTTTCCCGCCATTGTGGAACGTTGTAACCGAGAAATAAGCTTCTGCTCATGTGGTTTGGGAACCGCTGTTTCGAATAGAGCCTCCTGGGTCTTTCAGCTGGGCTTTTCTCTCTGATTCTTCGTATTGCCCAGAATGTCTAGATTGCCGAGATTGACTCTGCCCCCTGAGTGAGTGCCATTCAATCAGAACAGTTGTAAAATCAAGCATTGCCGGTAAATACTTGCCGAGAGGCTCCATTTTCTGCCACGTGCGTTATGGCAGAGGATATCGGTCTCTAATCACCTCATGCAATGAAGCAGCAGATATGTCTACCTAGTCATTGTCGCATATACAAGCAAGCGGTGACCCCTTTCGCAAAGATGGCTTTTCATGAGAGTAGACATGGATGACCGCATGATTCTACAAATATTCTCTGGATTGACGGTCATTGAATCTGCGCACTTTTCTGTCATCTAGTCCACGCAGAATGCCCGGAGATTCCTTGATGAAATTTCAAAAGTCGTTACTTCAAGGTTTCAGCTGGTCACAGTCAGCTGGAATCAAAGGCGTTGCAGTCTGCGGCAGTCTGCGGGTGGTCGGTCCGTAGAGACGAATCGAGGATACGGAACATGTCTAGTCTGCGGCCGTAATCACAGATGCTGCTGAGAAATGTGCTACTGCATGTTGAATCTTACAGAGATGGAGCCAAGTCAAATTTCTCCGTCTGCAATGTAGTATCCTGCAGGTGAGTAATAATTCTGCCGGTAGTTGAGGTTTCCAGAATGCAGAGTAAAATTGATTCACATATGCATGCAAGCTGTATGCACTTAACAGGATATGCTCCAACTTGATTCCGGGGTACGTTGGCGTAGGGACCGTGCGCTCTGCTTGAACTTGACTGCTTATCGAGCGCCACCAACTGCGCGCAGTCCAAGTACAATCACCAGTACCAACAAGAGAACGCCGAGTTGAATACATTGATCCTGTACAGACTTGTGCGCAGTTGTCGAACCAAGCGCCAGACTTTCCTACTTTGGACCCACAAACATATTCTACCCACAAAGCGCCCACGATGGCTGATGTCGCAAGCATTGAAGAAGATATCAAGCAATATCGCGAGCAGGTCGGTACCAAGTCCAGACAGTCACGAGAGTCACTTACTCACACATGTTGTAGCTCGAAGTAGTCGACGCTGGCCTCCGAGATGACCCCAACAATGCAGAGCTCTTGGCTTTGAAATCAGAGTTAGACGATGCGCTCGCCCTGCTAAACGAGACTCTTGCTGAACTCAAGCCTGCGCAATCGCAGCCAAAGCACAAGGCACCATCGCCGCCCGCAGAGCCTCCGAAATGGTCGCGCGAGAATCATCCCGCATTCAAAAAGGCTGCCCCTCCGCCCGAAGACAAGGACGAGACTGCTCCCATCAACTACAAGGTGAATGATAATGTCATGGCAAAGTGGGTTTCGGGCGACAAGTCCTTTTATCCGGCAAGGATCACATCGATTACAGGCTCCTCGACTGCGCCCATCTACATTGTCAAGTTCAAGAGCTACGACAATACAGAACAGCTGCGATCCAAGGACATTCGCCCCATGGCGCAAAAGAGAAAGGCAGATGGCACCCCCACCGGAAGCAGTACGCCAGTCGCAACGCCCTCGCAACCACCGCCGCCCCCTGCCGCAGCTGCCGCTCCGATTCCGGGTGTCATTTCTTCTGCCGCAAGCATTGATCCCGAGCTCGTCGCCAAGAACAAGGAGGCAGCACTAAAGCCGGCGCTCGACGAAAAACCAAAGGCCAAGAAGATTAGAGCCACTCGAGAGCTTGAAGCCGGAAAGAGCAAGTGGCAAGAGTTCAACTCCAAACCCAAGTTTGGCAAAACCGGAGCCAAGGCCAAAAAGGACAGCATGTTCCGTACACCAGAAGGTGTCAATGGCCGAGGTGCGTTCTCATGTCATATCCATCAGTCGTTTGGCGTTTACTGACATGTTTGCAGTGGGCTTCACTGGTTCTGGCCAAGCCATGCGGAAAGACGTGGCCAGGAGTCGTCACATTTATCAAGCAAACGAAGATTTGGACTAGAGCACTAATGCTGCCCTAGGTAGCCTCATTCGATGCCGAGGCAGCAGCGGCCATGAAAACATAACAGACAATGGGAACATGGTATTGGTGGTACAGGGGAGTTTAGGCTTTGATCCCTTCCCTTTTACTTTTATTTTCCTTTGCGGATGCTAACTTGGTCACTGAGCAAGATGCTTCTTTCAACTCGCCAAGCTCCTAGCAGCCAGGTGGTGTACTACATGTGAGACGGCCGGTATTATGTAGAACAATTAGAGGGTCTCTTTGACTGTCTCTCTGCTAAGCAAGTCCTAAATGCTGGCACAATACAGTCCATTTTCCATTGTGCCCTTGACAAAATTTATCCGCTCGAGACATGCAGCTCATAATACATGAATATTGTACATGACCAGACAATCTCATAGACCAATCCTTCTACCTATGTCTTGAGCAATAGCTGCAAATGCCTGGCCTCTTGGGCTATCCGGTTCCGACACCACAGTGGGCTTTCCCTGTTCGCCATGGTCGCCAATATTGGGGTGTAGAGGAATGTCACCAAGAACGTCTATACCATACTCTTGACAAACAGTCTTGACCTTGTCACCCGTCCCAAATACCGCCGTCTCGTGATTGCAGCAGGGACAATTAAAGATGCTCATATTCTGAACCAGTCCCAGAATAGGCACATTGACCTTTTTAAACATGTTGATACCCTTTACTGCATCTTTTACCGCCAGCGTATGTGGTGTAGTCACAATAACTGAGCCGTCGAGCACAATCTGTTGGGTAATGGAGAGTTGCGTATCGCCAGTTCCAGGCGGCAAGTCGAGTACCAAGACATCCAGACCACCCCATTCCACTTCGTGGAGGAGCTGCTGTAAAGCCTTCATCACCATGAGTCCGCGCCACACGACGGGTGCGTCTTCGCCCACCAGGTAGCCCATGGACATGGTTTTGACGCCATAGTTGGACATGGGAACTAGTTGATTATCTATGTTTTGATTAGTATCTCCAGAGTATACGATGATATTTAAAAAGCTTACTGGATGATAACCGTGGTTCTCCAGAAAGGTTAAACAATGTTGGAATAGATGGCCCGAATATATCCGTGTCTAATATACCAGTGCGGTGACCTTGCCGTGCAAAGGCAAGAGACAAATTTGCTGTAGTTGAATCAGTACAAGAGTTTAACTTTTATAAAGACGAAACAGGATTTCATACCGGCGACTGTACTTTTGCCTACTCCTCCTTTGGCTGAAGATACGGCAATAACTTTTGCAACATCCTTGATCTTGCGTCGTTCCGGCAGACCTCGTTGCATACGTGGGATTGACCCAGTTCTGGGCAGCCCCTTTCAAACATTCAGTTCCATGTGCGTGAAGATCATGTTTATACGGAACTTACTAGAGGATTCTCATGTTGCAGAGCTCGGAGGGTACGGAAGAATTGAGCCGTGGATGGCTTCATGGCGACGGAGCTACCGTGTGCCGCTTTGATTGTGATGAATAGCTACGCAATGGTACAAAAGGTGGAGAAATATACAAGGCACATTAATGTTTCAATTCAAAGCAGATTTAATCCGGAATAGCTTTTTTGTATCAAATGAAAAGAGAAATCCATGGAGCTGCAAAAGTGCATGAACCATTTCGTGACTGCAATGCGGCGAGTTCATCGATCATTGCTCGACAACCGCCGCCTAGCGGCTCCTAGCGCTGGGAACGTCGTTGCAGAGCTTATTTCGACCTCAATCAGGCCTAGCTTCAGTCTCCCAGCGCCTACCTCAATGCTACCGGAAAGAGCTACGCTGGATTTCTGCCACTTGTCACCGCTAAAATTTTCTTGATCGCTTTCGACGTGGGGCCCTGGCAATTGTCTCCCGCTCGAGACTCTTGATTGGATTTTCAGTCTCTTGTACCAACATTGCGCAACCAAGTCGATTCAAAATGCCAAAAGCAAAAGGAAGAGCAAAGCAATTTGCCGACTGGGAAGAAAAGCCCGCCCAAGGTAAATATAGCGCAGGGTCTGAGTTACGTTGTTACTGACTTGCTGCCAATTGTAGATTACGACCCCGAAGCTGAACCCCGTATCGAGGATGGCGAGAGCGACAGCGACCTAAGCGTCGACGAGAATGCAGGCACCGAGCACTATGTCGCAGTCGGGAGATCCAAGCTCAGGCGCAAAGATGCCGTATCCCTCGGCCCAAAGTATAGCGGCACCCGTGTGAGCCGCGATGCGCTGGACCAAGTCTCGGACGGCGAGGAGGAAGAGTCTGAATCCGACGACTTTGAGAGCGCTCAGGAAGATTTCGATGACCCGGACGAGGCCGACCTGGAGAGGGACCAGCTTGAACATGAGGGTGAAGACGCCGAGATTGATAGTGACGATGCCCTCGGCGAAAGCGACGAGGAGAGATTCGAAGGCTTCACATTCCGCGGCAGCTCCAAACCCCGACAATCCGTCAAGGGCAAAAAGGCCAAGCGACCCACTGCTGCCGACTTCATGGACGAAGAGGCCGAAGAATCAGAGGATCAAGAGGGCGAATCTGCTGACGACGGCGAGAGCGCCGAAGAAGACAGCGAAGAGGAAGACGACGAAGATGATGGTTCCGACCTTGAAGGCTTTATTGACGATGGCGACGATTCCGACTTGGTAGATGAGGAGGCATCCGAGGACGATGACGAACAAGGCGAAAGCGAAAGTGATGATGCCGACGACAGCGATGCCAAAGAAAAGAAGCCGGCCAAAAAGGGCAAGCGAGGTGAAATTCAGTCCTTGATGGCTTCCGGAACCCAATCAGTAGCCAGCGCGTTTGCGACTTCGATACAAAAAGACGTGGCCAAGGGAAAGGCCGTGCAGCAGCAGAGAAAGGCATTTGATGCCACGCTCAACATTCGCATCCGGTTGCAAAAGGCCTTGGTAGCAGTCAACTCGCTCAGCACCTTGGATGATACCGAGTCACAGTCTGAACCATACGAAGCGGCAGAAGCTGCCGCCATGAAACTTCTCAACACCATTGGCGATTACCGAATGGGCATGCAGGAAAAGGCGGGACAAAAGAGGAAACGGGATCTGGAAGCAGACACGTCTAGCGAGGATATTTGGAAGTCCATGCTTGACCTGGAGCGTCCAGCCGTGGCTCGGAGGAAAGCCGTTTTGGAAAATTGGTCCAAAAAGGTCAAGGCAACACAGGCAATCAATTCTGGCATCAGCAAGGGAAGCAAGTTTGTCAAGGTTGATGAGCCGCTGACAATGCTCTTGGAAAATCAACTGCAAGACCCAGAGAGACTTGTCAAGCGAACAAGAATCCCTCGGTCGTGTGCACCCGTTCAGGTTTCACAAAAGGTCAATGAGGACGCAGAAATCTATGATGATGCCGACTTTTACCAGCTTTTACTCAAGGAGCTGGTCGATCAACGCACTGCCGATACCTCGGGCGCCGGAGGCCAAGCAGCAACTATTCGCTACGCTGCTGTCAAGGAGGCCAAGAACAAAAAGCACGTCGACACCAAAGCGAGCAAAGGAAGAAAGATGCGGTTCAATGTACACGAAAAGATGCAAAACTTCATGGCGCCTGAAGACCGAAGAGTCTGGGAGCAACAAGCGATAGATCGCTTCTTTGGTACACTGTTTGGTCAAAAAATGGTTCTCAGCGAGGATGTCGAGGATGAAGAAATGGACGAAGCCATTGATGCCGAAGAGGAAGGTTTGCGTTTGTTTAGAAATTAGAGCATTCTCGGTAGACGGCGGAATCTCGAACCTTGTGGCAGCTATCCCGATCCAATGTATCCAAGCGTTGCCTCTAGGTATTTGATATAATACTTGGTTACTAGGTTCATAATCAGAGTTTAGCGGTTGGCTTGATTCTGCGCCTATCCTCCTTTCAACCTCGACCATTCCGCTTTCTTCGAGAAGCTTGGTGCTTATCCATGTTGGAGTAAGCCGTAAACTATCCATTCCAAAGAATGACGCATCAAATTCACCAAGAAATCAACATATCGTCCTGCCTAGCAACACGATACCTACATGTCCTTGAGCGTATAATGCCAAAATTGTCTGCATGAAACCGATCAGCTTGTGGACACTGGGCGTAGCTGATGGAGATGATTTCCCCACCATTGCCAGCAAAGCCAGGCGGGGCTTGCTGCAGATCAAATCCGTTGTTAGTTTTTTGCTTTTTGATATCTGATAACACTCCAGACTCTTGGCGACGTCTCTCTTTCACTTGTGCCCTGTATACGAGATTATTGAAGAAAATACACGTGGGTGACGTGTGAAATATGACAACAAATGGTGGACAGGCCCACAAGACAACTTTATTCCCAGCAAATGAATATCTTGACCAGCATATCCGATGAGTCTTGTATAGTGGTGATATTGTCGCAACCCCCGCTGCTTATTGGATTTTAGTGTTTGTACGAAATGACGCATGGAAATTCTAGAGGTCGGACGCTTGTAATCTGTTTTTGAATGACAAACAAAAGAGTCTTGCCCTTTGGCCAGAAAACACTTGGTGGCCGTTTGACGCCTTCACCATATTCAAACAGGGACACACAGTAACCGTTTCCATGCATCCATCCACAAGGTACACGGGCGCTAACCATGGCAGCATCGCGTTGCAGAATGCAGTGGCTCGCGAGCAAAGTAGTCCTGATCCAATGGTAATGGACTCAGCTACTCCAAGCCCAAGTGCCATCTCCACCCACACCGCTAAAAAGCAAGCGCTTTAGCCTCTAGCTCGACCCGCGCAGCACTAAATTAATTACGAAACCAACAACGAGTTTTCTTTTCATTTTGGTAAAAGTCCCCTTGGTCCCCTACTTGACTCCTTTCTCGCCGTCGAGATACGAAGCTTCACCTCGTTTGCCATGTCTGCATCGGTTTGGAATGATTCGACCCGGGTCTGATTCTCTAGACGGAGCGATAATCTCGCAGAATTGCGCGTTGCATGCACGAGGGACATGAGCTAGCTGCAGCGCTCAAACGTCGCTTACTCTGTACTCGCTATCGAGTCTTGAACCCGGGGTACGACATGGTGGGAGGCCAGGAGTGATATCACTGCGATACAATTTGGTCTGCTCCTTGAAAGAAGGTCTTTTCGAGGCCATTCTTTCAAGCAGATACCTGCATCGACTGGCCTGGCAGCATTCCGAGTGTCGATTCAACGTGGTTTCATCTCATCCAGGTCTATTCATCGTCCAGTCGCATCACATCTGTCGCTGGCTTCTTCAGATAAACAAAATGTCTCCATACAACCCAAAAGGAGCATATGGCGGCGCAGATACCTGGCTCCTAGAAGGGTTTGCCTTTGACAGGTGCCCAATGACGTCTAATCGTCTTTACTGTGCTGTTCTCACCCAAGGCACGTTTCTGCCACCAAACATTCCAATGAGACCATTGGCCCAGCTCCGCTTTCGAACCAATATACGCATCATTTTCGAAGCTGTTGGTCATTTTCTGGAATTCTGGAATGGGGAGAATTTTTGGACCCGCATTCGAGCTACTCTGGGCTATGATCAAAAGACGACTGAGCAACACCTCAGAGACATTGTTCTCGCCTACCTGCGCGGCCGGAGGTCGTACCTGAGGAACCGCGGTTTAGCTGTCCGGCCCACCACACGTCTAGAAAAATTGGCCGATAAAGTAAATGAACATATTGATCACGGTGAACGAGAATATACCGGCTTTCGCGGTTTCATATCAACTCGCAACTGGGAGGAATACATGTACAAATGGGAAACAAGACTGCAACAGGTCAGTTACGACTTGGGTATTTTGGAAAAACAATTCGCATCCGGGGATTGCGCCCCAGAACTCCGCCGATATGCCCCTGCCCAGTCTTTGGCTTCTCGGATAAGTGCTCCGCCGTCTGAGGGCCAGAGTCCTGGAAACAGACACCATGATGCGAAAATACGACGGAGCAGATCTCCTAGTCCGTCTCAAAGAAAGACCGAGACGACGTCGCTCAGCAGCACTACTCATTCTCTTCCACAAAAGCCTCGAGTACAGAGCCCCGAAAGGCGGATCGAGAGTAGTCAGCCCGAGTTCAGTACTCGGGTCGACTTGCCTAGCAAACCTTCTCGGCCCTCATGGCCGGGTGACAAGTACAGTGCTGGTTCAGGGTCCCAGGAATTCACAACTACCTCTGTGAACAACCAGGGTACCAATAAACATTCAGGCGGCACGAGCGCATCTGGAACCACGTCCAACCCACCAGTACAAGCAAAAGGACAGGGGCAAGAGAGTAGAAAGCGTAGTTTGAGCGAAACAGTCCATGAAGCCAACGTCCCGCGCAAACGCGTTGCTACAGAACCAGGACCGACAGCCCGAGATGCCGAGCAGGCAGGCGAAACGACGGCCGTACACGAACCAGCCCGGGAGAGCGATGAAAAGTTCAAAGAGTTTGCAGGCCAGCAACCGTCTGATGAACGGGACCTCTTGAAAGGAGAGCCCCCAGCAGTGTCGGATCCTACAAAGACCACATCATCCAAAATAGAAGAGTCTGGAGTTGCAGCTACGCATGAACCATTCAAGTCAGCGTCAAGTACAGCCGTGGACAAGTCTGCCAAGACCCTTGCTCAAAAGGGCTCCTCCATCCACGACAGCGGCGACGAGTCTACGCTTGCTATCCGGGAACTAATCATTAGCCTAGAAACGAGACAAAGCCATCTGGAAGAAATGGAGGCTTCCATGCGAGCGTGGCAAGAACAATTCACAAAGAACCTCACCTCGGAATCGCAAACACGGATTCAGAAACTGGAAACCCGGGTGCAAAGTCTCACTACTCAGCTGGAACAGTCGGAGCAGCAAAGGGTGGCCAACATGAATTTACTGGTTCAAACTCTGGAAAGCAACAACAAGCGCACGTCCAGCCAAGTTGAGATATGGGAGAAGAGGACGGATCTCCTAGCCAATGAGCTTGCTAATGACTCCAGGACGACCAAGGCAAAGCTCTCGGACCTGGAAGCAGGCGTGTCGGCCATTAAAGCCTCGGGCCAGACTGAACAAATCATCGAAATGCATGCAGATATTATGAGTCTCAATGTTCGAATGAATGAGATACCGGACCCAAGGCAATTCAACGAGCTCAAGACTCACCTGCACAGCCTTGAAGGCCGAGTAAAGGCTCAAATTACAGCTTGGCAGGTTCAACACAAGACGGCAAACGATCTGACGCAAAACCTCGAGGAACGTCATGCAGAGCTCAGAACCGATGTCACGAAAAGGACTGAAGAATTTGAATCGGCATTGAAGAAATTGCAGAGCCAGGATACCAATCAAACACCTGGACCAGATTCTGTGAGAAAGCTTCGAACAGAGTTTGAAGAGTTTCGTAACAAGCACTCGAAAAAGTCCACGGCCGCGCTCAAAAAGCGTGTCGATGATCTTTCTCATGAATTGGGCCTTGCACAAAGGAGCATCACTGAGCAAACCGATCTTTTGTACCGTACTCAGCAAGACGTCTTAAACCTGGCAATCGAAGTCGAGAAACTTGACCGCGAAAGAAATAATATCCCTGCCAATGTATCGCAAGAGTCTTTGCCAGCCTCGGACAATCAGTCAAAGTTGCAAGTCTTTTCCAAGCGCTTGGGATCAATCGAGGAAAAGGTTGGGTCGGAAAGTGGTCAAGACACTATTCAGGCTCAGCTCAATGAGCTCAGGTCTGCAATTGGTGCACTAGAGGAACACTTGCGCGAAAATATCTCGGTCGATCGTGTACAGAAACTCGAAGCTGCCGTCGAGGAGATGAAGGAGACGTTACCCGAGACTTCGTCGACGGACATGAATTCCGTAGACATGCAGTTGTGTCAAGTTCGACAGTATATGGACCACGGCCTGGAAATGACCAAGGCCATTGTCAAGAAACGGCTCGATGATTTCCAAGCACAGATCAACAAGATCCCGTCGGTGGCTCGAGCTGATCAGCTCGCTACACCCATTTCGCCACAGCACAATGCACCATTCTCATTCCGCGACGACCAACTGGTTACTTTGCAACGACAGATTGATGAAGTTCGTGAAGCGCTACGTTCGAAACGCGAAGACTCCATTTCAAGTCGGCTCTCAGCCTCGAGCCGACCCTCGAGCTCGGTCTTGTCAGATTTGCAATCTCTCATTGCCCAGTCGCATCAGCCAAAGGCCGTACTCGAGCTTGCGTTAGGTATTTTAAAGACAACCAAGAAGGGTATTAGGCAGAGTATACTGTCCATGGATGCCGCTGGGGAAGTGGATGATGACCAAAAGATGCGCGTCACGGATGTATCTTTTGAACTGGACAGGATTGCAAAGCTTGCCATAAAGTCGATAGAAGCCCTGACTGAATAATCTGGGACATGTATCACTTGGGCAGCGTTGACAGCTTGATATCGCTAAACAGCGGGATCCTGGGTTCAATAACGGAATGGACCGATATTGTTAAGGTGCCAGTCAAAGCCTCGTACGCTTGGTCTTTTAGTAGCACATTTGTAAACAACCATGTACATTGTTACAGGCCAACCATTTTCAAGGACAGGTACTCTAGTGGATATAATGTAGATGACTCGGGCGAAATGTATCATGGTTAGATGCCAGAGCTTCAGAGTAATGAACCCGACATGGCCTAATGTATACGTACGAAATGACAAACATGTAAAGAGTTTGCAAACTTTGGTGTTGGATCTTGCCTGAGACTTGTCTTTGTGCTCATAGTTGTGCGAGACACGTTTACGCCTAATGAGCATTCTTTCCACGCCATGACAAAGACGATATCGGCATCATTGCCCATGGCAGGAAATGGCAACATACGGCCGGCGAGATCCTTCATGAGGTAGCCAAGTTGAATGAAACGAGGTGAATACCTGCCGGTTCTGGTTGTCTCTACTCAAAGACTTGGATGAACTCATACTTGGTGATGAGAGTCGGTAAATTTGAGCACCACCTTTCACGGTCTCGTGAAATCTTTCGTCTCGATGATCCTGCCTAGTCCTGTCTTGTCCGGAATGGCTACTACTGGTAACGAATTGACGTCGTCTAATGAGGGTTTGGGACAGGATGAATGTGCTCTTGCCTTTTGTGAACTTGGAATATACTGTAACAAGTGAGTGCTTGCCTGACAAAATCCCAGAAATCTTGGCTACCATTAAAGACTCTTTTACTCTTTTCCCAATCCAAGTTTTTTTTTTCTTCAAGCACTTTCCAATTCTTCATCTGACTTGGCTGTGCCTTCATTCCAGCCACTCTCTAACGCTGTCTGTTTCCCGTTTTCGGTTCTTGAGATCGGCCAGTATCTTTTTGTCACTTTCCCATCTCATGGCCGCGGCTTTGGAATTCTTGAAAAGAGGCATCTTGCTGTTCTTTCCTATTTATAGTCAAGTCAAGCACCTTCCAAACTGCTATTTCTTGATTGGTATCAACTACAAAACCTTCTAGTTGATAGACTGAGCAACGCTGGTCCATCCACTTCAACCTTTGCAACCTTTGGTTCCCTCTTTAACCATTGAAACCACTCTTTCCAAGTTCCCTTTCCCGTCTGGTATTTTCAGGTCAGAAAAGAGCCCTTGGCATGTACAAGGCAGCACCTTCAGACGTCTATACCCTTTTCCACATTCCCAAAACCAGCAGAACGCCTACCCGGAATCACTTTTCAAGAGGTGACTGGACTTTCAACCCGTACTTGCTTTCTGTCACGAAAGATGAATCTGGAAATCGACTCCTGACTCTTCCAACACCCTAATCCCTCTCCTACCGTACGAGCCTCTTTCCATTGAACGATACATACAGTTACCGCAGTGCTTCCCTTCCAAGATACACTACACTCTCTCCTCCAATACTCGTACCTGCCAGGCAGATAGTCCCTCTTCTTTCCCTTACAAGTCTTGACTCTTGCCTATTCCCTTCCACCTCTTCCACCCGTCACACTCCAATCGACGACCCTCAACGTTGACTTACCACTCTTTCACTTTGGTATCCATCTCTCGTCATCACAAGAACTGGGCATCACTCCCTGAATCCTGGCTACTGCCCAGACCTTGTGACTTTTCATTCCAACTCTTTTCTCGTTCTTGCCCTTTCATCCAACGTTCTTCCAGTCTTGGGCAACTACCACACAACATGTCTTCAAATGGGGATCCGCCCATACGGGATGAACAAGATCCATCGCCCAACATGGACGATGAATCCGGCTCGCTGGAGAACCAAGACGTACCAGCCGCTTCACCTCCAGATGGAGAGGATGATGGAATCGCACCAGACTCATCTTCTGGTGTCGTCAATGGACCAGAGCTACCTCCTGCCACAGATGCTGCTGCTCAGAGTCCTGGTCCCAGGGATCAAGCATCCGATGGTGACGCACTCGGACCAGACGATTCACCAAAGGACAATGCCGAGGATTCAGCGGATGAAGAAGACGACGATTCAAACTATGAATTGCCCCTTTCACAATGCGGCTTCATTTCCGGCAAGTGTTTCTCCCTCATTAACTCAGCAGCATGATTTCTAACCCAATTTAGATGAAGAAGAGGAAGAAGAACTTTCAGACACAGACACGTGTATTCTCAATCCGGATGATGATTTCGATGTGCACATCTACTCCAAGCCACGATTGGCTGAAAAATTCAGATTGGCGTCGAATAAGAGAGTAGCGACGCTCAACGCATTGATCGTGAACCAAGCCAATGTTCATCAAGATCAAATCCAACTACGTGATGACGCTCATTCGGCCGCAATGGAAGTCAAGAGGAGGCAACTTAGAAAGAAGAAGACGCAGGTTAGACAGTTGAGAGACCAGATACAGAGACTCAGGGGTAACCGCGTACAAGAAACAGTGAGTACAGCTTGGCAATACTACATGATGCAATCAAATCAATGCTGACACCTTTCATTTCTACAGCCCTGGATTGAGCTCATGCGAGCATACCTCCAAGGAAGAAGAGAGTGGGAAGAAGTCTTTCGCGCCTGCTGTCGCCAATCAAACATGTCTTTGGACCCAAAGAACGTTCATCCAAACCTTCACTGGGCTGACGTTCCGGAAGCGCACGATGCAATAGACATCAACAATTTACTGTTTCCCGATGAGGACGGTTACCAAGTCCATATGGAGATTGATGAGTCTGAAGACATAGAGACCACTGCCGAAGTCAACGATGCAGAAATTGAAGGGTTTCCGTTTAATCGACTGCCTGTCGAGGTCCAGCAGCATATCATGGAGGATCTCTTTGTAAAGCCTGGTATCATCCACTGCTTGTCACGACTGGACAAGCGACAACCGCCTGTTGCTGGCCAGTTCCCATACCCGTGCTCGGGCACCAGCAATCTCCCTCATCGTTTCACGTACGGCAATGTGCCCTGGTCCATCAACAACAGCCTCAGACCAGATCATGTGCTGCAGCCTTTGTTGGTTTGCAAGCGATGGCTTTACCTTGGAATCCATGCCTTTTACGGCTTGAATACATTTGCCTTTAGCTCCCTCGGAGAGTTTGGACGCTTCTTTAAAGGGATCGGTAACCAACGAACTCAGCGTGTGGCTCATGTTGAGCTGCACTGGCAGGGAAGCGTCATGGCTGCTCATAAAACCCGCATCAACCAGCGTACCTTGCCTCTGAACTACCTGCCTCGCATGTCAAGGCTGCAAACAGTGACCATCTTCATCGAAGAGTTCAAAGAAAGACGGGTTCGCCGAGCCTATGAGTTTCCCAAGAAGCCCAAGCAGCCAAGTAATGGAAACCAGGAGGAGGTAGACGACGACGATGATGAAGGGTTTCGAGCTCCTGGCGACGAATATGATACCAGCTCTCGCTTGCATGACTTTCGTAGAGATCGAATCAACAATTTGGCTCCTCCGAGTTCGCTCCTCAAGCGCACTGCCATCCAAGCAAACTGGCGTGGAAATCGCAGCCTGAGAACAACGCACGGCATGGACTATGTCTATGCCCTCCGTGGCCTACAATGGGTCCGTGTTTATGAGCACGACATTAGTCGACAGCTCATTCGCGACTTGACATTCCTTGACGACGTGAACAAGGTAGTCACTTTGCCCAAGGACCCGCGACACCAGTTGGAAACAGATCTCCACAGCCTTGCAAATCCAAGAGGGCTAGAGACATACATTCCGGGATTTGAAGACAAGGCCATGGTTGCCAGGTTCTATGAAACTGACCTTCTTCCGTCTGGCCACGATAGCTCGGATGGCGGCTCAGACTCGAGCCCATCTGATGTCACGTCGAGCCCATCTGATGATGCATCAAGCATGAATATGGATGATCCTATCCATCTGCAAAGTGATGCAGAGTCCCAAGGCCACAATGCCCTCGATCTCATTGACGACATGATATTTCCTGACGATGTTGGCTATCAAAATAAGTCAAGTCTTGGCTCTGGAACAAATTCGAGTCGTGGTTCGGAAAATGTGCCTTTGCCACCGGTTGGTCTTGACAATGACTCTGATGATCTATTCATTCTCCGTGGATTTATATTCCCAGATGAGCCTGGCTATCGTCCGGGACCAGGAGCCGGCCCCTCTGACGATGGCGATTCCGACGACGGAGATTCCGACGATTCGGGATCTGACGACGCTTCCATATTTAGTGATTCTGTTCCATTGGGCAGTTCTCTCACTACAGCTCCGAGCGACTTTGCAAGTAGAGACTCTCAAATGCAGGTCGATCAGACTGAAAAGGACTCGGACGATTCAGCGGACAATGATGACAGCCTCTTTGTCCCTGCCGACCTAGACGAGACCGTCAAAGTTGAGGCTCAAGAGGTCATTGATCTCACTATTGACAGTGATGAAGAGGATGGTGAGCTGGTGAGTGACACTCAAAGCGCCACGTCTTCCAGAACAAAGACCACTGCCTATGCACCCAGCATGTTCAGGATGCCTTCCGTGAAGCAAGAGTTGAACAATGGGAGGGACAAGCAAAATGCCATTGACTTGACTGGCAGCGATGATGAAGAGGATGACGAAGCTGGATCCAATTCTACACGAAACCCGGCAAATATCATTACCAAGCTCGCCACCCCTCCCAAGAACATCATTTACGACCAGGATCACCGAGGCAACCCACGTTCCGAGCCAGTCATACGTCAGAACAATGAGGGTCCCAGCAATGAGAAGCCCACGAACAATGAGGAACGCTCGAACAGTGAAAAGTCTCTAAACAATAAAGAGACCCCCAGCAATGAGGAGACCCCGAGAAGTGGGGACGCTTCGGGCAATGAAAAGTCCTCTAGCAGTAAGGAGACGCCGAATGAAGAGACCCAAAGCAATGAGAAGCCTCCGAATAATAAAGAGGTTCCGAGCAATGAGGCTCCAAGCACTGAGGCTCCAAGCACTGACAAGCCCTCCAATAGTGAGGAGACCCCCAGCAATGACAAGCCCTCGAACAGTAAGATCAACGAGACGATTTCAGGTCCGACGAGCTCCACTCAGTCACAATCCCCCAAGCATGGTATCGAGGAAGATGGCAATGATGATGAGGGTCACAATGAAAAGAAAAGACGAGTCGGTTCGCCGACGCGACGCCTCCAGCAGCGTCGTAAAGGAAGGGCTACTGGCTTCATCATGTCTCCTTCTCCTTAGACTTTGCCGTGAGCTCGACCAGGCCTTTACCTCTACCACGGCATCAATCAGCAAGTGGCTTTTGTTGCGGCCAAGCTGGTGTAAAGCTTTGTATCCAACGATTATTGCTTTTGCTTTGCCTCTTATATATACCTCAATTCGCGTTGCGTTTTCCCTTCATCATCTGGGACGTGTACAGCTTTTACAACAGACTCGACAAAGAGTTTCAACCACCAATTGACCATGACGACAGCAATCGAGGTTAGTTGATAGTTGGGGGACTTGCTGGGATTTCGGTTGGGAATGTACATTTTGCCTCGGGTTGCCTGGGGGTTCTTCTGATAGACGTTCCATGCTACTGTAAATAAATTCACTTTAATTGAAGCAGCCATACCGTAATAGAGAAGAGTGACTGAAAGTTGATCCGAGGTATCTGAGGGTCTTGGACAATGCTTGATATTCCAAGTCTTGAGCTAATTTGATATCTAGTCGAAAGTAATCTTTTTTCCTTCGAATTTGACGTTTTGAGCAGCTTCTTTTGCTTGCTTGGCAGCCTGCCAACTGGCGTGTAGTGGCCCATCGTCGTCCTTCTTTGGTTTGGGCTTGGGGGCCGGTCTTTGCGGCTGATCCCTTTGAAAGTTGCTTGGAGCCCGTTCTCTAAAGTTGCCAGCGGGTCGGTCTGCTCGGCTACCTTGGAATCCACGGTCTTGCTGGGGTTTGGGAGGTGCCCTTCGCTCTGGTTGCTCACTCTTGGCATTGAAATTGGCCTGTCGATCGGGGTGAACGCCCTCGGGAGCAGATTTCTTTTCAAAAGGATTGCTGATTCCCTTTTTCCAGGGTCCCGAATCCTCACCCACGGCGCCCTTTTTCATGTCCCAGCCCTGGTCCCTGCTATTCATTTCGGCTTGCTTCTTGACGTGATTGGCCTCCTTTTTGAACTTTTTCTCCCAGATTGCCTGTCTCGCGCGCTGACCGCGCCGGTTCTTCTTGGTGGGTGGCGCAATATCAAGGTCCGAAGCCTCGGAGTCGGAGCCCGAAATGTAGCCGCCCATTAATGAAGGCAGAAACTGCGAGTTTCCAGAGGTCATTGGCGTAGGCTTTGTGGCTTTCGACTTGACCTTTTTCGGTGGCGGCGAGATTGCACTGCTGCTATCCGAGCCTTCAGCTTCATCCTCGCTCTCTTCATCTTCAAGATCATCAGCCTCCGAGTCCTCTTCAGCCGAGGAACCAGAAAAGTAGTCCGACGGCCCTCTTATAGATCTTGCCCGGCTATCCTCGTCGTCTTCATCGTCGCTGCGGCCACCGTCGTCATCGCTCGAGCCGCCCAGCATATCATCAAAACGGGAAAAGGCCTTTTCTTCGGCGTCGCTGTCGGCATCGACATTGTTGGCTTCGGCATCGGATCCAAAGCCTTCCCAAGACTCGTTCGAGTCCTCGACGTCCTCGTCCTTTGACACCTGCTTGGAAGACTTGACAGGCTTTTCCTCTTTGCTGGCAGGTTTCTTTTGTACGTCGTCTGCCTGGTCTTCCTGATCTTCCCTGGCGTTGCCATTCTTCTTTCCCTTGCCCTTGCCCTTTTTCTCGGGCATGGGAACCCTCAGCGCCATGCAGGTACCCACGACGGCCTCGTCAATGATGTCCTTGACCTGCTTGCGGTTGCACAGGGCGCTGGTGACATTGTGTAGGGCGGTCTTCTCGTCCTCGGTCAGGGTTGGTTTCGGTAGTAGCTTGATTGTCTCGGGGAGCCTCGGCGATTCTGCGACGCCCTTGATCTTCAAGAGCGAAGAGCAAAGGTGCTGGTGTGCCACTTGGTGTAGATCAATGCTCTGAAGCGGCATAATCACAATTAGTTTTCCAGCCCGTATAATGATGACCATTTGTGACTTTTCGGTACCTTGAGAACGGCAATCTCCTTTTCCAGACGCGCAGACTTGTCGGCATCGGCCTCTCGCTGTCGTTTCGCGTACCTCTGCCTTTCAAAACCCTTTGCCAGCTTCAAGCCCCGGACGAGATCCTTTTCCCATTTTTGTAGATTGACCTCTAGCCGAGGCTCATCTCTCTTTCGTTTCACCATTTTTGTACCGTGGGCGTCACGGAGCGCTGTCTGGGATTGCAAGTGTATCAATTTCAAAGGTATTGATTCGTTCCTAGAAGTTTGATCAAGTTTTGGTTGCGATAAACTTTTAGGTGGAGTCCTGGTACAAGTGCGACGCGATAAGCAAGGATCCGCTACTGGCTTGTCGGGAGCATCCACCGAGGGGCAGCAGCATCCCATATCGGTTATAGACTCCACTAAATATAGCGGGTGAGTCAAAGCCCGGGGCGTCATTGCTTAGCTGTAAGTGCCCCGCCATAGCTGGTGAGATGGCAGGCGGCAGTTCATGTGCGTGACTCGAGAATTGTCTCTACTCCTCCCTAGAGAAGACCCCGAATTTATTGGCTCTGAGCTTATAGGATTACGCCTTGTTACACAAACGTGATATACTTTATATAGGTGAGTAGATTTACATGTCAATTTTGTCAAGTGTCACCAGCAGCCGGATAATGTATTTGTTCCTCGAGTAAAGACGGATCATTCGGGATTTGCAAAGGCTCAGAGTTGATGCTTTGCTGGGTTCGAGCTGTCTTTTGAAGGTCGAGACATGGTCACTTCTGAAGTTCAAGAATGACTCTTGTTTATGTCTTTCTATCAACGATATACATTCAACCCAACTCTGTGATACCTGGCCGGCTTGAAAGCGTCTTTGGGCGGCTTGAACTCACGGGGCCGTAATGTGATGAGTAATGCTAATCGTTCCGTGATGGAGGCAGGATCGTGCACGTTAAACACCGGTATCGATATAACTGATCGCAGAATACATCTCGCAACAACACCAACATCATGTCTTCATCTCAGCCGAGTGCAGCAGCCCTCAAGGCCGCCCAGCTTTTCAATGTCGACGGCCTTGTAGCAGTCATCACTGGCGGCGGAACGGGTAGGTCGAAACCATGATTGGTCATCATGGGTAACCGACTTACTTTACTTGTAGGCATTGGTCTGATGATGGCCCAGGCCTTGGCTGAAAATGGAGCCGCAGCCGTGTATATTCTCGGACGACGACTGCAAGTCCTCGAAGCCGCCGCTGCCTCCATCGGCATACCGAGCGTCAAGCCTATCGTGTGCGACGTCACGTCCAAGGACTCCCTCCAAGCAGCTGCGGACCGTGTAAAGAAGGACTTTGGATATCTGAACCTCCTCATCTGCAACTCGGGCATTGGCGGCCCACAGTCGGCAAAGCCCAGCAAGCAGCCAGAGCTGACTATCGAGGATTTTGTAGCTTCAAACTGGAACGTGCCTTTTGAGGATTACAACCAGACCTTTGCCGTTAATGTGACTAGCGTTTGGTATACAACACTGGCCTTTTTGACGCTGTTGGACGCTGGCAACAAAAAGGGCAACGTGGAGCAAAAGAGCCAGGTCATTACTACAAGCTCCATTGCCAGTCTCAACAAGGTATGTACCAAGCCGAGTCACCAAGCACTTGGAGCTGATGAGTGATTCTTGATGACCAGGAACCCACCGGCGGTTGGGCATACGGCCAGTCCAAAGCTGCGACAACCCATTTGGTCAAGGCCCTCTCTGTCGCCCTACCAAAGTGGGACATACGAGCCAACGCGATATTGCCAGGCTGTGAGTTCAACGACTGGAGCGTCGAGGCTTGCAATAGCTAACCCGTGTTAGTATACCCGAGCGAAATGTCTGCCCCCATCCTGGCAAGGGGCGGACTGGGCAAGGACATGATTCCGCTTGCTCGTATTGGCGATGAATCCGACATGGCCGGAACCGTCCTCTATCTGGCGTCGAGGGCCGGTGCGTACTGCAATGGAGCCGTTATCGTGAGTGATGGTGGGCGATTGGGTCTTTTCCCTACCACGTTCTAAGATGCCTCGCTACGGAAACTGGATCGACAGTTATGACCCTGGCGCATCTACGGAATCACTAGATTGGATTCCGGACCTATTGGACGCATGGTATTACAGCATGGCCAAATAGGTGTCTAGTTCCGATATCCAGGAGGGCAGCCAACTGACAACCTCGGGTTCTCCGGGAGACTTCGGAACAGTGGGGGCCGTAGTCGGAAGTCGTGATCTCACAGAGCCGAACCGATGTGGATTACGGGTCCGTGTCCATTACTCGGCACTGCATATCGGTATAGTCAGCGTTCTATTCTTGGATTTCTTTTGAATCAATTATACGATAGAAATAGATGATTACTTGTTGGCTCATTGAAAGTTGATCTCAATGTTGCCATGTGACTAGACGTTGGTTCGAGTGGGGGTGCAGGCCTAGAGCCCAGATTATTGGACTGCTAAGCATTTTGACATGACGCCAATCATGATACCTGCGCGTCGAAACTCAGCCGAGAGGAAACCTGAGACAAACGATATCTTCCAATCAACATGATGCTTATCTTTCTGGGCTGCAGCACGTAGCTGCGGACATGGGTAGTAAACATTTGACCCCCAATCTGCAAGAGGGAAATCAAGCAGACGGTCGGCCATATTGCAATCGGATTTGATTAACACCGCTGCAGTTAATTGTTAGTGATGATTCCTAGTCCATCAACAAGTCGTACGTATGGTGGTTGCAATCACAATTGAAATCGCTCAGAGGGCGGAGAATGCCAGTCCGAGGTGGACTTGTGCGGACATTGATTCGCCCGTCGTTTATAGTCCTACCGTGAATGTTCTAGAGGCGCCACAGGAGCCAATGCCCAGCCACTTGGGCTTGATCATTGTCGAAAAGAGTTGTCTTGCAAGGCCCAAGTTGCTGATAAGGGAAGTCAAAGTGCAGGAATTTAGAGTTGCGCATTTGTTGGATTACACGCGTAACCCGACCTGTTGGGACAACCAGCCAAACCAGCCAGACATGAGCAGCAAGCCGATTTCTTGTTGACCCGTCATTGGCCTACATATGTGGTGTCGGTGATCATGTCGGGTTCATCCTAGAGAGCAAACAATCAGTATCAATGGTATGATTAGTATTGTGGTCATGTTGAGTCGCTAAATGTCGTCAAAGTTGTAAAGGTAGATGCCGGCATAAATCCATGCGATGGATGGTATGTACACACACTTTACTAGCAAAATGATTGGCAACATGGATTAGAGCAACGATACAACCCTCCATTGTCCGGACATTCTCGGCTTCTCTCTGTTGTACCTCACAATTCAAATAGACTGATTTTCTCTGCAGAAGCGCATGTACGTAATTGGCGGTTACATTTCAATGCATTCATAGTAAAAGTGCCGTGTATCGTCATGTACAGAGTATCTAGCATGTATAATTGGTTCTCAGCTGGTCGCAAGCTGGAGCTTCCCCGCGTTTTGTGCCACGAGAACGAGGGGCACGCACACGCAACACGGCTCACCAACGACGCCTTGATTTGCTTTACTTGTTGCTTTTGATGCCAAGGTCGACAGCATTCTGAATCCGGGGGATCGACCATGATATCCTGCAGCAAGTCTCTCCATAATCTTAGTCACTGCCCTCTTGCCCTATTTCTCCATGCTAGTTATTCCCAGATCGGGCTTCAACTTATCGAGATGCCATGTCAGATTGGCCTCGTTAGCTCTGGGCGGGATGAATGTTTCCGAGAAAAGGCTATAACATGATGCTTGTCCAACGACTTCCTTTCAAGCGGAACTGGACAGCTACTCCAAAGTATCGGGGACAACCCTTGGCCCTTTTTACATCTACGTAATACAGTAGGAGCGTTGGCTAGCATGATTAGAGTTTACTTCGCCTCGGGACAGCGGCAGAAGTTGAGATACATGCAGGATTGTTGCTGCTTTGCTCACACACACATGCCATACCAGCACAGCGGCACATCCATCTCCTATCTTGCTCGAATTTTTGGATGCTTGTTCGGTGAGTCTCGAGCATAAGCGATATCAACACTGTTGCAACGCAGCACGAAATGCCTCAATGCCCAACAATTACCACCAAGCTCTGGGTTTGATCGCGTCTTGCACTCGCGCGGCATTTCAGCGAGCACGACCAACCTACTCACAACTAATCCTGCCCACCCATTCACACGGTCGCGGTACCTGGACATGGAAGGCAGGAAACAGCCCATTACCGGTCGACGGGTGGACGTGATGGAGGGTGGTGTAAGGATGGCATGGGCTCGGCTGGGGAAATCTTGGAGACAAGACTGGCCCATTGCGTCCCTCTGGTCCTTTCTCCTCATTGCCAGACCAGAATAGAACAAACTAGTCACCACCACCATGACCACCACAGACTGTTAAGAGGCTACGTACCGCTGCCTCGAAAGCTACACCTAGTTCTCCGCCCAACCTAGTTGCCCCGAGGCCAGAACAGCATTGATTCGAGTGGTTACAACATTTCAACCCCGCACCATCTGGATGAGCAGGCAGGGAAACAGAGTAGAACCAGTCGAACTCAAGTGATACAGGAACAAGAATGGGGGTTCATGCTTTCATTCATAATGTGGGCGGTGCCTACCTCCCACTCCAAGCTGCGCGGCGATTCCCCCAAAGTTTAAAAATTGAAAAAGACACCAAAAAAGTGCTTCGACTTTCTGTTTACTAAAGCAGTGAAAACGTCAGGCGCGTCCGCTGTCGGCCAATCTCTCAAATGTGGCCGCTGTTTGTTTTCCTTCTTCATATCTGACCCGAGAACAACACCAAGTTTCCATATACTCGGTTATATCCCCTGCCGAGCTTACCTATCCACAACCTACGCTATACTCTCACCTCTTTGAGCACTGTATATTTACCATAGCATCGGCCCCATCATTGTTACAGTACATGCTCGCGTCTACACTCGGCTCGCTGCTTCAATATTGACGCGAGGCTTGTGAGATCATATCTGGCTTGGCTTTTGCAATCATTGTGCCAAGACCTGGAAAGTCTCTCATCTACACAGTCGACTCCGGAAACGTGCCCCGATCGGCCGGCACGTTGCACGCTGCGGGCGTTTACGGATTCGCCCAACAGTCGAAAGAAGATCAAGGCGGCCCGAAGACGCAACATAATCACAAGGCACGACTTGATTGATACGCCAAGAAAAAAGTTACTGCACGACGATCCTATTTGTGGCGTTTTGGGAACGCTTGTCTCTTTCAACAGACATTCAGAGAGATCAAGTTAGTGCTCCGATTCCACCAATTCTCCATGTCCATCACTCCCCAATTTCATTCATGCAAAACAAGGCACTGCACTCCCGAATCCGTCGTCATTGCACACGCATCAAGTCCCTCGGTCATATTTGTAGATTCCGCAATCTCAAAAGTCGAGGTTGACTTTGTCACGGACATGTGGGTCAGGTTCAGCGAAGCGATTATGGCTGAGCCGAGACTGGGTTACTAGTATTGTCAACATGATCCCCCAACACACTACAATGACCCTTGTCCTGCCCATGCTCCACTCCCGGCCTTTCCCGACCATCATCGGCAACCCACCTCGGTCATATTTTACATGACAAGACTGCAAGGAAACCAAAATGGGCTGCGCTATAATGTGCAACTTGATACTAGCTTCCATGACAATCATTCGCTTCGATCCCCTCTTGTCTGATGCCCGGTCCAATGGGAATCATGGTATTGGACAAGTGGAGTTTCAGGCAATCATGGCCCGGCCAGGGGTATACTTACACCGGATTTCCGGAATAGCATCACGGCTCTTGTTTTATGTGCTGGACAAGTGTCGGCGCAGAGATATTAAAACACTCGCATGGCCCCATCACGATGTACCACTTGCTAATGATGATTCGGTATAGTCCTCTGATCTCCACGAAAAAGGCATACTATTGGCTTGTAGCTATTTCAGCTTGTAGTTTGCTTTTAGCCCGAGGGAGTGCCCTTTGAAGATCTCTTGCTCGGCTTATTTGGCTCACTTACATCATATACCCATTTATACTTGACTGCTAAAAGTCATGAGCTCTCCAACTCTCAAGCAAGCAGCCGAGTCTGCGCGAGCCAAGGCATCCAACATGACCAAATCCGGCAGTGAGACTGTGGCAGCAGTCAAGACTGATTTTCTCCACACGCCACTGATGCGGGCAGCTCTACCGTTCGTCAACGGTGGTCTGTCTGGCATGTTGGCCACGACAGTCATTCAGCCTATCGACATGGTCAAGGTGCGATTGCAACTCGCCGGCGAGGGCGTGGCCACGGGACCCAAGCCCAGCGCTCTTGGCATTGCATCAGACATTATACGCCAGGGCAAGGTCTTGGACTTGTACACGGGTCTTTCCGCCGGCCTCTTGAGGCAGGGTGTATACACAACAGCCCGCCTGGGTTTCTTTGACACGTTCATGGGCCAGCTCGGCCAACGCGCCAAGGACAACGGGACGACAGTCGGCTTTGCCGAGCGAGCGGCGGCTGGTCTCGGCGCCGGTGGCATAGCCGCCTTTATTGGCAACCCGGCCGATCTGGCCCTCATCCGCATGCAGTCCGACGGTCTCAAGCCCCTGGCCGAGCGCAAAAACTACAAGTCCGTCATTGACGCCCTGACGTCCATTACCCGCTCCGAAGGCGTCACGGCGCTCTGGTCCGGCGCCACGCCCACCGTGGTCCGCGCCATGGCGCTCAACCTGGGCCAGCTGGCCTTTTTCTCCGAGGCCAAGGCACAGCTCAAGTCGCGCACGCAATGGTCGTCGCGTACCCAGACCCTGACCGCCAGTGCCATTGCCGGCTTCTTTGCGTCTTTCCTGTCGCTGCCTTTTGATTTCGTCAAGACGAGGTTGCAGAAGCAGCAACGAGGACCCGATGGCAAGCTGCCGTACAAGTCCATGGCCGACTGCTTCCGAAAGGTGGCCAAGGAGGAGGGTCTGTTGAGATTCTACCGCGGATTCGGAACATACTATGTCCGCATTGCACCACATGCGTAAGTCTATTCACACCCCATCATTCCTCAAAATTGATTGATACTGACCTTGAAATTTGCAGCATGGTTACTCTAATCGTGGTCGATTATCTTGGTTGGCTCACGAAATAAGAAATAACAAAACATGTTTTGCTCACTTTTCCATGTTGCACGCTTTGGTCTTTTATGCAGGAGTTTTGAGGACCGCATTGTCATTTATCGAGGGAGTCATGATCATTATTCAGTATGAATTAGCAAATACCAAGACGAGTCTTACATGAGTTCTGAGCGCGTCGAGGGCCTTTTCCCTTGAAAATGGGCTTCTTTTTTGGTGGCGCCAGAACAGAAATACAAAACCTTTTATCCTAGCCCATATCTTGGACCAAGTGATGCCAGCTCATGATGATTTCTTGGTGCACACAATCCAATTCAGGTACCCCGTTGGCCACAAGAACCTCTCCCGACCACTCTTGATCTCCCATTCGCTCGTATCAGCTCCACACGTTCGCAACAGGATTTCGACCTCCTCGGGCGTTCTCGTTCGCAGGCTCGAAACGATGCCGTCAAAGACGAGCACAAAGGGCACAATCGGCATGGCGTAGACGAAAAAGAGGCGAATGGGACTCCACCAGTAAAAGAAGGGGGCGCAGAGCATAATGAAGAAGCCGTACATGAAGCAGGTGACCAGACTACCAAAACTGCGGTCCTGCATTTCAAAGATGCCAAAGCCGTCGCTCGTCTCGACCGTGTTCTTGAGAATGGCGCGCGCCAACGGGTCGTCAAAGTGGTGAAAGGCCAGGTTGAAGAGTCGAAACACGCGACGGCCCCGCGCCTTGTACTTTTGGATCAGGCCCTCGGGGGCGTCCGAGGCGTCGACGGGAAACGGTACGTAGGTGACGTGCTTGGAGGCGGCGGCGATTTGCGCCCACGAGCTGGGATGTGGGTGCAGGTCCGTGAGGACAAAGTCGACGGCTCTCGAGTCCGAGCCCTCTCCTTGTCCCGCATTTGCCGAACCGTTGCTGTCTCTGCCCGCCATGTCGGCGTACGAGGGCGTCACCCTCGAGGCGGCGTCCGTGGTCGAGGGCGGCGGCAGGACCGAGGATGACGACGCGCGCGACAGCGAGGCATTGAGGGCCTTTTCGATAAACGGCGTAGGCCCTCCGGCGCCGGCGCAAAAGTCGATAAACGTGTATTGCGAGACCAGCGAGCCAAGCGTGCGCTGGAGGATACTGGCTACCAGCGTTGCAGGGCTGCTGGACCAGAGAAATGGCAGGCTAAAGGTCCAGGCGTGCATGAGGCCATCTTGGACACGGGCGCGCAGATATGGATGGAACCTGTTTGGGAGGGATTTGAGTCAGCTCATCATCAAAGGCATTTCCATTCTTGTATAGTCTGATGGAATAGACGCACCAGGATTGGTCGTCAATCTCAAAGAGATGTAAGCGAGGAATTAGAGGCGACATAATTGGTAGAGAGGGATGACGTCGATGGGTGGTTCCGGGTAGCTGCCGATTGGACCTTTTGAGGTTGTTTAAGCTCTAGGATCGTGAGCTCGAGGATGAGATTTGTAGTGATTGATCAAACATTTCATCAGGGAGCAATTGATGAATAGTGTGAATATATACCAACAAAGATTGCTGCAGATATCATCGTCATGATAAAAAGTCCGTGTTACAGACAAGAAACGGTCTTTCTCACAAGCTCCCGAGCACCCCTCCAGCGGCAGGGGCAGTGCAGGGGTAGCTAACAGCGCAGCTATCAAAGCTCCTACATTAGTATAAGCCAGTTCGTATCTACACTAGTTTCGGTCCCGTAGTTTCAGTGCGAGTTTGACAATTGAAGACGACCCCTGCAAATTCGGGTGTTCTCTTGGTGACGCAAGGACTTTTATCGACTACAGAATATAGGGCAAAGACGTGTCACAAGCATGACCACTGAATGGATATGATATCTTCATGTTATTAATTCACAATGTTTATATTTCTCGATTGATGTGATCGAGGCCGGAAGCTTGCCGCAAGGATTCCTCTTGATGCTTGTCTCGCCCAGACACAGGCACGGTCAGCGGAGAGTTCTGTATCAGCCGTCGGTCCCACTATCAAGACCCCAGGTGCCCCAGAACAAAAGTCGTCCCACTTCAACCCCAAGCCCGGACTTCTCACGATCACGACAACATCCGGAGGATCTACTCATTTCTCTTCGGTAATGGCGTTGCTGGAAGGGCCGGTCCTGTATGTGGTTGGGCTCGTCGGCGCCATTCTGAGTTACCGCCTCCTATTCTACACTCCGACATTGAGACGGCACGGCGTTCCTCTCAAGAAGCCGCCAAATACCCTGCCCATTGCTGGAAATGGCATCGTCTTTCTCCAGGCACGCCAGAAGCTCTTTGCCTGGTTTACAAAGTGCGAACGCCAATTCGGCTACGAGACATTTCAAATCTCCGTACCTACACTCCCCCCCGGAGTAGTCATCAATGACCCCAAGAATCTGGAATTCGTGTACAAGCACGAAGGCACCTTTACCAAGGGAACCTTTTTCAAGAGGCTCTCGTGGGATCTCTTTGGCGGGGGCATCATCAATTCGGATGGGGATCTATGGAGAGTGCAGAGAAAAGCGGGCTTGGCCTTTTTGAACGTACAGAACCTGCAGGTCTTGACCGATGTCGCTCTCCCCAAGTACCTCAACCAGAGCCTCGACTTGCTCAACAAGCACGGTAATGATGGAACATCTGTGGATCTGCAGACCGTCTTTCACGAGATTACAAGCCAGCTGATGGGCAAGATGGCATACAACATGGAGATGCATGCCGACGACGAATTCACCATGGCCTTTGAGCACGCTTCGGGGGAGACGACGGCAAGGTTTCAGAACCCGCTGTGGTTCGTCACCGAGATATTCACGGGCTTCAAGTTCCGAAAGTCCTTGGCCATTGTCGCCTCGTACGGAGAAAAGATTGTGCAAAGCGCCGTCAGAGATCGTCACTCTAGCAAGCAAGGCGACGGCACCAAACTCGACGAGATTTCGGGTTCGCTTATTCAGTCGCTCCTTGACTCTATTGATAACGAAAAGATTGTCGCAGATTCAGCGCTGAATTATCTATCCGCGGGCCGAGACACTGTCGCCCAGGCGTTGACGTGGACTTTTATGCTACTCATGGAAAACCGCTTTGCTACGGCAAAGGTCCGGAAAGAGATGCAAGAGCTGCTTTCGCGAGAGAATCTGTCCGATACCTCTTTTACTTTTCGAGAGCTTGATCCGACCATTTTCACCCCAAACTCTCTCCCATACGCCATGGCCGTATTCTACGAGGCATTGCGACTTTATCCGCCGATCCCATTCGAGATAAGGCAAGCTGAAAAGGACATAAGCTTGCCAGATGGGACATTTCTTCCAAAGAGCTCTATTGTATTATGGTGTACATGGGCAATGAACAGGTCCAAGATTTCCTGGGGAGAAGATGCCGACTCCTTCCGACCGGACCGCTGGCTCGTCGACGGCAGGTTTGTATCCAAGAGCGCGTCCGAGTTTCCCGTCTTTAATGGTGGTGCTCGGACGTGTCTGGGCAAGAAGATGGCCGAGGTCATGGCTGTGCAGATTATTGCGGCCATAATGCTGACGTTTGACTTTATGCCTGCGTATGGCACCAAGCGGGTGAGCAAGACGAGTCTTACCCTGCCCATGGAGGGTGGACTTCCTTGTTACGTACGAGCGAGGCACTATAAACCGGAAATGTAGACATGTCTGACACGATACTAAAGAAGATATAAATGACATCCGAGAACAGTTTCAAGAGCTTAGAATGTCATGGTGTAATGTATTTACTTTATTTTACTACCAGGCCATGTGGTATCAACGCCCTGTGAATGAGATCAGACTATTTGGTCATTTGTCTCGGCATTTGCCATCATGACCAGCGCACCGCTCTTGCGTGCAAGTCCCAGGGCTTATATTTTCCTTCTCTGGTCCGCGACCTCGACTCGGGGATTTTTGTCGTCCTGCTTCTTTTCAGGCTCTGGGTCTGAATCGTGCTTGTGCCATAACTTTGCCTCTGTATCCATTCCGTCTGACCCTGGCGAAACCTCCAACTCATCATACGTGGGCTCTCTTCTGATTAATAGACGCAGAGGGTTTCGCGTGGGGATCGGTGGTGCCTCCTCATCCACTTGCTCAAAGGGCTCGACGACGTTGTTTAACCATTTTACCACGCTGTTCTCCTCGGTAGAGACCCGCTTCTCATCAGGGGCTGGGAGATTGCTTCCGCTCATTGTTTCCAGAGTGAGCAGTGGTTCTCCTGGTTGTAAATGCGTGTTTCATGGCGTGGCTCTGTTGGGATTGACAGGTCGCTTGTTTATATAAATAGTAAAAGTATCAACCTTTTGGATTCCATTGTATGCCTCAGGGGTGTCGGTCACTTGTTTGTTTGCCTTGGATAAAGACTGAGCGTCAGGACAATGATTTTGCGGGGCAACGAGCCTGATACTGCTCATCTTCATTGTTCTCCTATGCAAGGTCTGGACTTTTTTTCCCGAGTGTCCGGCCAACGGGATTTTCGCCGGTTCCTGGTTTTCCATTAGTTTTATTACACGCAACGGCGCAGATATCGTGTCAATCCAGTATCTTGTCAAGGCTGTTTAGGCAATAGGCTTCCGGTATTGCTTGCTGCCGGTTGCCATGTCAAGATCATGTCGCGCCAGGGGACGCATTTTCATCGACTGACTTGTACTCTTTTCGATATCTGGGTAAAGGTCGCATCAATTCTCGTACTGTACACCATCCTCTCGCTTTGAGATTCTGAAATAGCCAATCATCGTCATCGAGATTGCCGCATCACTGGCTACCTGCAATGATTCACTCCTTTCTGTACTCTCCCTGCAAGATCTATAGACCTCGTGGAGACAATGACAGCCACATTTCACTTCAATGCCGAGCAGACAAGAAATTATTGGAAACAAATGCTTTCAGTTCCAAGTAACAATGGCCATAATAGTATTGTTATCAATACAGTATGATCAAGTACAAGTATGTCTCAGTGTGCAGTACTGTCCGAGCCTTTCGAGACTAATTTTCAGATTCCTCTTACGTCCTGATCGCTGTCCTTCTTCACAGCTATCCGTCTCTTTGAACTCACTGCTCGATATGGAGGCCAAGAACTGCAAGAGTGCCGCAAAGATGCAAGTTCAGGGCCAAGCGGGCAAAACCACACAACTGTTGGATCCCAAGACCGGACACGAGTGTGTCGAGTCATTTGATAGCAAAGACCATTTCAGGCGACTTGAAACTCTGGAATCGGGCCCCAGTGCGGATACTGAGGAGACATGGGCACATTTGAAGCACCTTGAGGATCTTGAAGCTGGTCCTAAGAAGCGTGAGCGCAATGATTCTAAGGACGAAGAAGAATCTTTTGTCCAACACGCTCAGGTCGCCAGAAACAAGACTAGCCTACTGGACAAGAATACAGCCTCCGGACGCGCTCATTATGAATGGGCAGTTCGAACCGGAGTGTGGGAAGACTGGGTTGACGAGGCTGATTGGCATGAGAGTAATGCTGGACTTTCCAGCAACAAGAAGTAGCTGACTATAGGTGGCTAGTAAAATCATCAAAAACTCAATTTAAAGAACACTTTCACAAAATTGCACATCACCATATTAAGCATGTTTTCTTTCTAGGTTTTCTTAATTTCATAATTTAAAAATCATAAATAAAGAAATCATGAGATTAAATTCATTCCTTTTCTTCTTTTATGTGCATTCTTTTCTCTCTCAATTATCCACATTGCTTTTCATCCCATATCCACGAATACAAACTTGTGCCCTATAGGCGGCGGAGAAACAAGCTCTCCTTGCTTCCCTCGTAGACCTCGGCGTCGATCTTGGCATAGGCCAAGACCTTGTTGGACCAAAAGGGCACGTCCTGGCCCAGCTTGAGGTCCCGAAGCATCTGGGCAAAGTTGTAGCGGCCCTTGCTTGCCTCGGCGACCAACGAGCAGAACTCGTCGGCCGTCGACAGCCTGGCGAAATCGACCAGGCCGACGCACAACTTTACCCAGTTGTTGATGTGCTGGGGGTCCAGCGATCCCACCATCTGGCGAAACTCGATGGTGTTGGTGTTTCCACCAGTTTTGCCCGCAGGCAGGAATCGGCGATAGCCGAAGGTTCCTCTGACGGCGGCACGCACTGTAAAAGTATTAGTCAACTCAACTCTACTTAACAATCCAGAGCAGATCAGTGATAAAACAGAAAGTGCTTACTCGGGTTTCGGGCGTGAATGTCACTCGTGTTGCCCATCAGGATGGCGAGCTCCTCGAGACTGGTTGTGGCCCAGATACACTTGACCTTGTGCAAAAGTAGACCTTCGAGACTGTCAGGAATGTGACGCAGTGCATCTTCTCTCTGGGCATTGTCAAGTCTAGCCTCCAAGTCTCCCTGTCCTCTAGTTACATGGCCGTCGCTGAGCCTTGCGTAGAGGCTCATCTTCTTGCAGTAACTATTATCCCATCTGGAAGGGTGCTGGAGGTCGAGGAGGATGGCGTCTGAAATCCACGCGAGGACAGAAAACTTCTTCATGGTCTTGAGAGATAGGCCATCATCTCCACGTCCGATATGAACATGAAGACCACAAGAATCGTTGAGGTGGACTCGAATGTTGCGCATGGCACGGCATAGAACCATGATCTTGTAGTACGCATCAGGGTCGGTTGTTCTTAGAACCTCGGAGGTGATTTCTTTACCGGCCCAGACGTATGCCTTGTACTTGGCCTCTGCTCCCGCCTTGACGGAGCTGTCCATGATGATGCGCCATGCATCGTACTTGACCACATTATCGTGGGGCTCGATAAACTCGTCGTTGGCTTCGTCGCGGAGTGTGATGCCGTCACCTGCGAGGCTGCCAAGATGGTCCATGAGGAAAGCGTCAATCTTTTCGGGGAAATGAACGTCGTCGTCGTTGTGAGCTCGGAAAATGGGACGAGGGTCGTGAGGGTCGGGATCCTCGTCTTTTTGGTGAAGCATGGGCATTAGGAATTCCATCTCGATGCCAAAGGTCAGCGGGCCTTCGCGATCATCCTCGGTGATGATCATTCCGTCTAGATGAGCCATGACGGATGCTGTGATCAAGTGCTGATCGAGGTGGTGATTGTAATGGGTATCAAGAGTAGAGTGTCGGGTGGTAGGGGAGTGAGGGTCGAGATGATGGAGCCTGTACTGGTCGCGGCGTGTATAATGGAGACTGTCGCTTGAATCTGGCCAGAATGCCTTTGACTGTCGCTGGATCTTGAATTTTGAGTAGTAGACGGCGAAAGGAGGGATGATGGATGGCAGCTTGTCGTCGCAGTCTCTTTGCTGCTTCTACAAGCTCGCGGCGATTCTCTTCCTGAGGAATCACTCGCTGGTAGGCCGCCGGTATGTTGATGCCTTTGGAAAAGTCGACAGAAAAGGGTGTTATGCGCCACTGGATGCAGGTTCGAATAGAAAAGACTGCTGATATTGTCTTTGCGTAGGCAATTGAATTACTTGCTGACAGAATCCTGTAATGTTGATGCTTTCTGAAAAGACTACAGAAAAGGTCGTAATGTACTACTAGAGTCAGGACGCAAACAGAGGAAGTTGGTGGTTCTTTTCTTGACACTTGGCACTTGAAACAAATGGAATTCGGTTGTTGACAGTCGAACAGTCTGCTCAACTCAGAGGACGATGGAAAGAACCAATTGAAGCTGAAACGTGCAATCACCATCATTGTCGTCGCCATCTTGGAGCTCAGCTGCATGAGACGGTGTGAAATGTCGTCGTCGACGTCCAACATTCACGCGCTCTACCTGAACTGGGCCAGGAGGTATAGACACCCTAAGATTGTGTATGGTCTTTGTCCCATCGCATGAACATCCATAATGATTTCCGCTATATCAACTCGGTATCTATGGGCATATCGGACGAAATCATATATGCGCCTACTTTGAGTTTGGGACAGAATCACATCTAGTATATCCAGATCAACTGGACGTAACGTATTTCTATTCATTTGATTCCAGCTGGATACAAATTGAGATTGATGTGGTGGAATTAATTGTTCTTGACAAGAAAGAAAAACATGAGCGCATCTTGTACAGTGTGGCATGTCTTTTGTGACTCGATAGTATGTCTTCTGTCTCTGGTCTATTGGACAAGTGAATTCGTGTGATGTTTACTGTCTAATATCGTGTCTATACCGCCAGGATGTGCAAAGCTATGTGAAAGTCGGTTACATGACATTCGGGTTATTGATGAGTAAAAATGCATCAAACCTCGCATGTAGCTTGCTTGATGCTTGAACATGGCAGAATTGTCATTACTCGATATCTTTTTGTGTTCATAGTATTGAAACCTTTGAGAGCATGATAGTTGTTACCTGGCAATAAGTAGAGGTCTAGAGCGGGCACCACTTGATCAATATTCACCGTCTCCCACTTTTCTCCCTATTTCCATCCTGCCATGACGAATAATGACATCCAACTTTCATCTACTTTTACGCATTGGCACAATATCCAGGTTTATCAAAGCACCAATGTTTTTTACATAGAATGTCTTCATCCCATCTCCGTATCAAACCTCTTCCGTGGCATGTCGTGTCCCCCCTTTCCATCAATCCCGCTTCGTACCCACCACACCACTCTTAGACCTGATTACCACACAATTTCTCAACAATCAATCGTCAACCTTGTCGACGATGGATTCCAATTAAAACCTCCGGGGATGTGGTCTAGTGGTATGACGTTTCCTTAGCATGCGATTTAGCATGGAAAAGGTTCTGGGTTCGATTCCCAGCTTCTCCATATTTTTGGCTTTTTTCTCTTGTGTGAATAGTTGCTTTTTGCATAATAACCAAAGATTTGATGATAGTATATTCCAAGTATGAAACTATGATACTATTATGGAACTATGATAATACTATTAATACTCCACTGGCCTGTTGTCTTGGCTGTATTGTGGTCTGCTCATGATCATCATCGCCTTTAATCTCTGAATTGACCTTGTGGAGTATATGTCCATTTCGAGACGTAAGCAGGGGCATCTCCTTCATGTCCATTCGTAGTACAGAATACTCCCAAAATCACCCCTTTCAATGTGAGCAACGTCCGCGGCAAACTCGAGAGTCTTGTCAAATTTATTGAAATGGGAGAATCTTACCTGTAAACCCCCAGCTGACGGCCGCATTCGAGGCCTCGACCAGAGTCTGCATCTGCGACCTGGCACCGGCCGGACCAGCCGAGAACGTATAGTGCGTCGCATTGCTGGCCTTAATTTCCAGTCTCAACTTTTTGCTGTGCCAGACGTCGGGTATGGGCACAATGACTGGGTCGGGAACAGTAATGTAAGAGATGCCGCGGAATCTGAGCTGTAAGATAGGCTCTGACTGGTCTTCTGGGAGGGTTGTGGCATTGATGGGCCCTGGGAATATCCCCGTGCTGCTATTCGCCGGTAGCATAGCAATGCCGAGGTCGAGGTGGTGATTTTGCGTTAGGAATACGGATACGCCAGCTTCTGATTCCAACAATGTGGGTGAGAATTCCATGTCTACACTGTACGTAAACAGTGTGTCTTGCTGGCGCCTGCCCACAAACGTCTGACCCAAAGGACCGGCATAATTCCCATTCAGGGCCGTGAGATTGAGGCTTGAAGGGAGAAGCTGAAGGGTGTTTGCGTGGCCCGGCGGAGATATCTGATACGAAATCGAGATGGGGAAACGCCAGTATGTAAAGTGAGCGGGCAGTTCTGAACCGGGTACAAAGTCAATCATGTCTCCTTCGCTGATAAACGGGCTGTAAAATGTCAGACATGAGCATAGCCAAAATTAAAAATTAAAAAGCCTACCCATCACCATTTACATTTAGATTTTCCGGTGGAAGCTGCCAGCCGCTCATCTCTCCGCTGATTGGACTGAATACTGGGAATTCCCCTTCTTTCCAAGTGACATTGGTCAGGACAGTTTCTCGTCCCATGGGAAAGTTGATCCAGCTGGGACCTGATCGAGTCGACAGTGCCACCGCCCACCTGCTTCTATTAGTCACTTGCAATCTGCCATACATGTCAACTACACTTGCCAGTTACCGCTCTGATCCGAGAATAAATCAGCATGGCCAACAGTCTGAACTTTTCCAATCATTAGTGTTCTCTATTCGGTTGCACCACGGAATATTCTTACAGTAGCTTGTAGTATTGGCTGCCGTCAATACAGGATTTGCTGGATCGGCTTCATAGGGGCCGTTGATGGAGCGTGATCTTGCCATGGTCACCATGTGCCCGAGTCCGGTTCCCCCTGACAAGATGCGTGAGTTGATGAATATCATCTCGCTAGATGAAATTTTGCCCACCTTCAGCTACAAGCAGATAGTACCATTCGTCTTTTAAATAGATATGCGGGCCTTCCGGAGCCTGGTGCAAAGACACGTTAGCATGTAGGACTTTTAGGGTAGTGAGTACTCACAAGTCCACCAGTTCCGTTCCATATTGTGATCCATTCACCAACTTGACCAGTTTCCAGGTTTGCCTCCGCTCGCTGGATCCCTGGACTATGTCTTATCAGCTTATTTACTGACGAGAAGCCTCAATATGGTCCATACAATACATGATACGCATGAGACCCGGTTATATATACTTTGCCGTCGGTATCCCAAAACGGCGAGGTATCATATCCGACAAAGTCAAAACGGACGGCGTTTGTCCATGAGAGGGGATCATATGGGTCGTTGGCTTGGAATATGATCTGATCCCATGATGAGCAATATAGTCTGCTTTCAAATGTGCTTGATACTCACATTATCCCATCTCGAAGCATCATCCGCCGCTCGATCATCGTCGACTAGAGTCGTGACGAGGTAGAAGGTGCCATTGTGATATCGCAAAGCCGGTGCCCATATACCACTGTGGCTTGTTAACATCAGGTAACCAAATCAAATCAAGGCCGTCTACCTCGTCGACCGGTTCGTTTCCGCCAAGCGAGGTAATTGTTCTTGTCGATTCAGAACATGCCCTAGCACTTTTCATCAATCCATGTCCCTACAGTCAAATACGCTGTTTCTCCTACCAATCAGCTTCCAGTTTTGCAAGTCTTTTGACGCATGAATAGGTATACCCGGGAACGCATTGAAACTGGAAGATGCACAAAAAAAGGTCTCGTCCCACTCGGGTACATGAATGCAACTAGGATCAGGGTGAAAACCTGGGAGTATAGGATTCTGGAAAGTTGAATTGATGCTGGCTTCCGACACCCAAGGCAGTGTCAGGACACAGAGAGTCCCTATCAACAGACTTGTATACATCTTGTTGGGTACTTGTTCACGTAGTAATTCTAGGGAGATCATCAAGGCGGGAAGCCTTGTTATAGATTCGGGATTTGCCATCTTGAATCGAATACTGCATTCTCCAATTCTCCGCGGCCCCCGCACCATAACCTGAGATCTTGAGAAATGGCGGATAAATGGTCTGGGTAAAGCGAAATGCGGAGATTTTTGGCGATTCGGCTACATTTATACCGATTGTTTGGAAAGCACACTGGTTTCTCTATCACACGTCATTTTCTCGCCAAGCCAGTCAACTCGAATGTCGCTCAAGTCGTGCCAACCTTGACGGTCAACTTATATATTCACGATTCGCACAATGGAAATGACGTCTCTAAAATTGATAGGAAACTAGTCTTGACAAATTCCGTCACCAAGTTTGCAAGTGACCAACATGCTGTTCTATATGCCAAATGTCTCTGCCTGAAAACACTTCTATGAACCAGAAAGAGCTCGCTCATATACAGCCTGATTTGTCTTGTCGAGGTAGGTAGACGAGGGTATCGAAAGCAGAAATTCTAGCTTATGCCTTTTCTTCTCTCATCTTGCGGAAAAAGTCCTGCAGAAAATGTCAGTTGAGATCTTCATCTTTGTTTCCTTGTTTACTTACCATGACTCCAGTGTAGACGACGAGCAGAATACCGCCACCAGGTCCAAGTCTGAGGACCTTGGGCAGGAAACCCTTGTACAAGGCAGCGAAACCTTCCTCCTTGGCTACAGTCATGACAGCCGGCCATGCCCAGTTGTACTTGGGAGTAGTGCCTGCAACCTTGGGGCTGTTCTGGATACGAGACCTGAAAGAGTGTCAGTAGGGCAAACTAGCAGGGCAGCCAGCGTTAGCTTGCCATGTTGGAAAGGGCATGACATACTTGACAACATCCATGGGAGTGTTCAGAATGGTACCAACGGTACCACCAATGGAACCGGCCAGGATATCATTGGTGATTTGACCCTGCTTGGTCTCGGCCTTGGGCAGCAGCGTGCGAACCTGGAAAATGACACCAAAGTAACCGGCGTTCCAGAGAATGTGTCGCCACAAGGTACTCTCGAGACCATTGTACAGAGCAAAGACACCCTCGTTCTTGATCGTCTTCCTGACAACGTCCAGAGGACCGCTGTACAGGGAGGCCGAGGCCTTGTTCTGAAGTCGAATCTTGACTGTTGGACCTTAGCAATCCGCCGTGGACATTGGCAGGTTGTACCACCAAGGGGAGTTGGACATACCGAGCTCAAAGGGAACGACTACAAAGGATTCAGTGGCACCGGCAGAGGCACCAGTCAGGATGGACAAGCTCTGGTTCATCTGGGCGATACCAAAAGCCTCGCGGTAGAACTTGCCCCAGGAATCATTGGCGGCAAACTTGGTAGCACGCTTGGGAGCCTCCATGAGAATGGGGGCCGTGATACCTCTGTAGAGTCTCGAAGCACTGTAAAAGACAATAAGCCGAAATCCCGGGTTTTATTCGTCGCGGGTGCGTGCTTACCCCTCGTGGCGCACAATCTTCTGGAAGCAGTCCACCATGCCATTGTACGAGTCTGCACCAGTTCCGACACCAGTCTGAAGTTGCCTGTGTTGTTGTGAGTCTCTGCGATCGGTTTCGGGGAGTCGAGGGAACAAACACTCGGGTCTTGATCACATCAAGAGGGTACCTAGGACAAGGTTAGTCAAGGACGATTGGGTATCGCATGGGACCAAGAGTCTCAACTTACATGACCAGAATCTACACAGAAACTCTCAGTTAGCAAATAGGCTACAATTCGTCTTGCGACAGACGACTGACCTCGGACACACCAGCGACGGCGCCTGTAGTGGTTTGTCAGTATCGCGTGATCAGTCTCCCAATTGGAATTCCGACTTACCGGCGGCGAACTGGTACACAAAGGGGAGGGGCTTGGGATCAGACATTTTGAACTGGGCCGCCGGGTCTATAAGAGAATGTTAGAAATCGTCAATATCGTCTGTGAATTCTCCAAAGCGACCGACCTCTGGTAGTCTGACGATTTTGGGGTTGTAAGGAATGGACTGTGACGGATGAAAGGATGGCTGGGCTGAGCTCGACTCAATTGATTTTCTAAAAAAGTTGCCGTTGCGTAAACCAAATTGAGCCGCTACTATCCCCACAAGCGCCGCGGTATCGGATCACGTCCCCGCGCTATTTGAGCCAGTCCTGGAGCGCTGATTCCCTAAGGGTCCGGTGCAGTTGGCTCTGAAGAGTGGGGGAATAGCGCCAGATCTGTATGATTAGGGAATCGAAATTGCAAACGACAAGAGACGGAAAAGGTCCAAGACAGGGCCAAGTTTCCCTTTGCCATTTTTATTGCTGCTCACGGGAATTATTGGTACGAGATTCGTTCCAAACAATGCCACAGAATTATCGAGCATAAATGGCCACCTTGCCCTGAGTAATGACTGGTAAACTTGGTACCTACATTGACCAAAACCTTTTATTTGAGTGGCCCTTGACAAGTTCTGGTCTACATCCAGTGTCTTGTCTCGTTATTTAACCTACGTGACGTGTCAATGTCAGAACTTCAAGTCGGTCGGCATGATTGATCCTCGAAAATCCCATCTCGAATACGTACAAGTCACTACATTATTCATGATTTACCTCTAGCATCTGATACAATAAAGAGAGCCGTTATTGCAAATCCCTCGGTGACAATTCCTATTCGTCTCCTAGCTGCAGTTTACCGTTGGCCCATGCGGATAAATGGAGTCTCTCCCCCACAAAGGTCGGGATAGGTATCTGGCTTGGCTGGCTGTGCGGCATTGTGCACACTGCGAACCGCTGGCACAGGCGGGGTTCATGATTAGGTGTAGTGGGTAGGGGGATGGTATCGTCTTGCCATGTACATTGGAATGAACATGTCAAGAACCATTCCAAGACAACAAGTTTCGGCTGTCTGGAAACTTGACTTAGGGGCATCCCAACTCTATTCAGAAAAGGAGACGGATGTCATGGCGCTCACATGCATCGTCTAGAACTAATGTATGGCAGATACTTTGACGCGCCACGATCCTATAGCACCTAATTGCTCACCTAGGTACCCTTCACTGGAACCATGAGGTTGTTGGAACGCTCCCCATGCCCGCTAATCATGCTCCTATTGGCCCAATAGCTCCCCTAGATCGCCCGTCTGGACACCAAGGGCCCGGTACGCGCACAGGGGCGACAGCTTCAATTACGACACGAGGGCTTCACCATAGGAGGTAGCTATCGGTACAACTCTCCTGACTTGTGCCCCTCCTCAACAAGATCCTCCCACCTTCAACACACACTTTGCATCGTGCATACAGTGAAAACGCAAAACCGTACAGACCAACCGTGCCATCATATACCAGAAATACTACGCCCAAGCTGATCTGACACTGCGAATCGTTCTTGTCGCATCCGACGCTTATCTCCTTCGATCCTGCACTATACCCGCGCCAGCGCAACACTGAATACTCCCGTCTCGACGCATCAGAGGCACAACAAGTCCGGTATCCTCGGGATTCGCCCCCCAGTCAGTAGCGCTTCAGCTCTGCACCTTTAAACAAGCCGTAGCCCGATCTTCGAGGCTCCAGCGAGGTGCTCCTTGAAGTGCTCTGGCCGCATACATCCGCTACACATGAGTCACCTACTCTGGAAATACTATTGGGAAAATGATGTCGACAGATTTCGTCGGCTTCTGGCCCCGGCCGGTCATTCCCATAGTCCGTTTACTACAAAGAGCCCGGCCCAAGGAGTAGGCAGCCCCGGCGCATACGGACATTCGCCACGCCCCCTGGCCAAGTTGCGCAAGGCTTCTGCGCATGCTGGAAATGCCCTCTCCAAAGCCGACGTCAACGGGCGCGACCATGCTGGACTTAGCATTTTACTGCGCGCTGCCTCTTCGACCTCGCCAAATGCTGTCAATTTCGTCGAGGCCCTTTTGGCTCATCCGGCGACCGATATCTACGCCCAAGACCCGGAGAGTGGCTGGAATGCCCTGCACCGAGCGCTCTACAATGGAAACATATCAATCGCCAGGTTGCTTCTGGAAAAGGAACGCCGGGACCTGACAGAGTCCTTGGGTGTCAATACCACCACCAAAGTTGGCCAGCTCATTAAAACAAAGGACCACGAGGGAAACAGTCCATTTGATGTCTACAATGCCTCGATCGCCCTGCGCCAGCTGAGAATGGCCGAAGATGATGCCAACTCGGACGATGACTCTGGCAGTGAGGATGCTGGGGACGGCGACGAACGTGGAACGCATACTGCCAAGATGAATGGGGTCGGTGAGGAGGTCTTTACCTTTGGAAGCAACAGAAATCTCTCATTGGGTCTGGGTGACGAGGATGACCGTCAGTATCCGGAACGCGTCCATCTCAAGCGTCCTGATCATTTGATTCAGTACTTTCATGACCGTTTTGTGGAATCGCAAAAGAACGACCGAGCTGTGGAAGAGTCTCGGGCCTTGGACTCGAGTGAGATTCCTGCACTTACACAAAACCGGCCATTGATGGTTCAAGATGTAGTCATGGCAAAGTTACATACCGCGATTCTCACCACCGACCCAATCTCCAATCTTTATATTTGCGGCATCGGTCGCGGTGGCCGGCTGGGTCTTGGGGACGAAAACACCCAGTTCACTTTTCAGCCTGTACAGGCCGGGTTGCTTGACAAGAGAGTCACTCACGTCGCCCTTGGCCTAAATCACACCATGGCCATCACAAGTGGTGGAGAGCTTTGGAGTTGGGGCTCGAATAGTTTCTCGCAGTTGGGGTATGCACTCCCACCCCCCATGAAGCCCGACGAGGAGCCCATTAGCACCACTCCCCGCCAAGTATTTGGGCCTCTCAAGAAAGAGGTCATTGTTGGCGTTGCGGCATCTGCGATACACTCTGTTGCCCATACTGGCTCGTCGCTCTATTGCTGGGGCAAAAATGCTGGTCAGCTGGCTCTGATGGATGCAGACTCTCGCTCGCTAGAGGTCCAGTCAGTTCCAAGAAAGGTTGCCGCATCCTTGCTATCGTCACATTCGTCCATCTTGATGGTCTCGGCCATTGACAGAGCAACGACGGTGCTTTTTGAAGACCGCACCGTGTGTGTCTTTACCAATTATGGCTACAACATGATCAAGTTCCCCTTTTATGATGGCTTCACCAACTCCACCCTTCAGCGGTCTGGCAGGGTGTCCATGCCTTCGAGATTCAATTCTGGTCGTCGCGAAATCCACTCCATCACTTCCGGCGGTGAGACCATTGCAGCATTGACTGGAAGTGGCGATCTCTTTACCATGGCTTTGAACCATAAGGCCGAGGGCCACTTGGGCGCTACGTCGACTACAAATCCTGCCAAGATCAAAGACGCCATTACAACTCCACAGCTCACCTGGAACTCGTTGAAAGATGGAGCCAAGTCTGTCGCCATTGGCGAGGATGGCACCATCATGGTGTCGACTCAGTCCGGAGCAGTATGGCGACGGGTGAAGCGAACCAAGGCCAAGGATGCCAAAAACGTCGGAAATGTAGACAATAAACGCAAGGACTTCAAGTTTCAGCGGGTTCCGTATATTACTGGCATTGTTGGCGTTCGAAGCTCCATGTTTGGCGCATACGCCGCTCTTCGTAAAGACTGCGATGTAACGCGCGAGCAGCTCGAAGTCGATGATCAGACTCTGTGGCACGATCTTGCGCCGCTGTGCGCTTTGAAAGGGTTCCGGGCTACGAATCCTCGGCTGCGCGAAAACAAGGACACCTGGCAGTTCCAGAATCCCGAGGTCCTAATGGGACGAGTTGATACCTTGGGATATGAGGTCCTGACTTGTACAGACCTTGAAGAAGACTTGGCGATCCACTTGCGAAACTGGAGCTATAAACACGATGAAACTGGCTTGACGATTCGCACGAGTTCGGCACCAGAATTGCAGATTCCAGTTCACTCGTGGGTTTTGGCTGCAAGAAGTCCCGTTCTGCGTGCCGCACTCCTCAAGTTTCGTGAAACCGGCCATTGCGTCATGCCAGATCTTCTCACGATTTCAGAGTCGCATGGAACTACCACTATTGAGCTCTGCGGAATCGATTTGATCGCACTACTCAACCTAGTGGTGTATGCGTATGTGGACCGGGTGATTCCCGCTTGGAACTTTACTCGCCAATCGCCGCCTCTGGCCTACCGGTATCGTCAGATTCGCATAGACCTCATGGGCGTCGCGGGCAAACTCGGAATGGCAAAGCTTGAGCACTCTGTAAGGATACAGAGCACGCCTCCAAAGTCCATGGATCAAGACTTTAGAAGCGCGATTGAAGATCCCACCTTTTTGGAGGACGGAGATGCCCTTCTCGAATTGGACGGTGATGAGATTCCAGTCCACACCTCCATGCTTTGTCAAAGATGTCCTTGGTTTGCAGGTCTCTTCAAGGGTCGTTCTGGCGGTATGTGGTTGGCGAGCCGTCGTGCAGGCCGGGACGCCTCGGAAAGGACCCCCATCGACCTCCAGCACATTCACCCAGAGTCGTTTCACTACGTTTTGCAGCACATGTATGCAGACGTGGGCGAGGATTTGTTTGACAATGTAGTTGCGGACAGTATTGATGACTTTTCAGAGCTTGTAATGGACGTCATGAGCATTGCCAATGAGCTCATGCTAGACCGCCTGTCACAGATCTGTCAGCATGTTCTTGGTCGCTTTGGTAAGGATCCCTAGGCATCAGGTGCAGTGTAATTTGCTAACAAGCCCAAGTAACTACTCGAAATATCTCTACTCTGTTGAACCTCATGAGCCCTTGCTCAGTCACCAAATTCAAGGATGTCGGGCTCGAGTACATCTGTTTACAAATGGAAACAATGCTCGAAAACCAGTAAGTCGAAACTGCACCACCCTTTAGCAGTCCCTACTTTCCACATGACCAGTACTAACTCGAGCTAGTCTACTCGACAACCTCGACGAAGATTTAATCTTTGAACTCGACCAAGTTGTCAGAGATAATCAACTCGCAAGATGTCCATTTGCCAAGAGTGGAAGAGCTGATTTACTGCTGCACGAACGATACCCGGCTTTGGCCGAGGATATCGAAGAAGAGAGACAAGTTCGGGTCAAGGCAATGGCTTACAAGGTCTCTTTGAGAGATGACGACAAGAAGCTATCTTCTTCGTTCAAGACCAAATTCGGCAGTTTCGACGACAATGTGGCCATTTCTCCATTACTCGACAAGAGTCGGAGACAGTCGAGATCGGCGCGGAATGAGCCCTTTAGTCCGGTTCTTCGTCCAAAGAACTCGAAAGCTGATCTCATCTTTGATATGGAAGAGGAGGAGTCGAGCATTGCGAGCCCTTCGCCTTCCCCTCGGCCCCTTGACCCTTCTCTTCGTGACGAACTCGAGCAGCTTCCATCCCTAGAAAGTACGCAAAGTCATGGCAAGGGTAAACAAGTGGTCAAGGGACAGACTCCAATCGACAAGTCGCCAGCATCAAACGTGACTCCGGGCACGACACCCGTCAATGGAGCAAGTGACTTGCGGCGTACGTCCAACGGCGGGAATCCGTGGGCCAAATCGGCCTTGTCTACTGCCAAATTGGATCTCAAGGACATCATGGCAGAATCAAAACCTGCACACTCGGCCCTGTCTGCGGGGTTGGCTGCGCAAAGGAGCCAACCTGCCAAGGTGACGCCACAAAAGATGACGCAAAAGGAAAAGAAAAAGTTCCTGCAGCAGCAGGCAGAGGAGCAAGCCAGACAAGAGGCACTGGCTGCCAGCAAACCTCAGGTCGCATGGACACAAGTTGGCGAGAAACAGAGCTCACCATGGCTTCCCACGCCCAGCGCACCAAAGACTTCAATCAAAGACACTCTCATGCCGACGACGAAATCTACCCTTGCGCCACCGGTGGCCAAGCATCTCGTTGCGGGCGAGTCCTCGAACATGGCTATACCTCGACGAGCTGCCTCTCCAGACACGCGGTTTTCTGGACAGAGTCGGTCAGGGTCGACAACGCCACGCGGCAATCTCACCAAGAACAACAGTGATGGTCCCGCTTCGGCCAAGTCAATGGCACCCCAGCACTCGCCAAGCCAGGCCAGTCACCAGGAGCCCAAACCCTTGGTTCCTCATTCCAAGTCGTATATACAAAAGCCACAGAAGCAAATGGACAGCATGATTGGTCTAGGCCTGGCAGATATCATTGGACAACAGCAACGCGAACAGCAGAGCGTCAAGGAAGCCGCAGCGAAACGCAATCTAGAGGAGATTCAGCAGGAGCAGGCTTTTCAAGAATGGTGGGATGCTGAATCGCGCCGCATTCAAGATGAAGAAGCACGGAGGCAGAATCGCGAAAAGAACAGAGATGAAAAGAAGGGTGGCGGCAACCGGCGAGGACGTGGTGGAAAGCCAAGAAGCGGACCGAGCAAAGATCAAGGCAATGCGGCACCGCCATCAACATCCGCCGAGGGCGCTGGTGGTGGTGCCGGCGCTCGGGGCCGTGGCAAGACTCGTAGAGGTGCCAAGGCAGCTGCTGCTTGATTTCACCATTATAGACGGTTTAGAAATATCTCCCCACGGCATTCAAGAAAAACAGTCTTTTCGTCGGAATCAATGCACATATACAAGGATGATTTGGGTAGCAGCAACATGGAGGGGTCCCAATCTGCATACATTCCCTTTTCATATCTGCTGGGTCGTGTCGATTTTAGAATTACTCATTTTCTGTATATATCATCTCTTCTCCATCCCATGACACCATCTTGATAATATACGACGAGATTTCTCCCGGCATTCTGAACTAGGCATCACCCGCACAGATGATTTCTTGTATCCAGTTTCTCACCGTAACATGGGTACATTAAGGCGGTCTGCTCACAAGATGGTAATACGAACCTAAAGAGTCTCCATTCTCCTGCCGTGGCCAAGGCATTGTACTTTTGCACATTTTACCAGCTGAGAAAAGAGAAGAAAAAAGACGTCCAAAGAGTCACTTTGATTAAAAACAAGGGACTACCATTTGTTCAAACTCGTCGCTAAATGATTGCAAAAGAATATGGATTTCCAATCCCAAACCCAGTACAAGCACTCTTTAAAGGGTGCTTCAAAGATGGTAAGCATGCAACACAAAGCCATGCTGTCAAACGAGGCCAATCTAATCGTCATGTCGTGAATTTTCAAACGCCATGTTGTACACGGTTGTTCAACGCAAATAATTCAGCCGTGGTACCTCGAGTACGAATGCAATGATATCATTTAGCTGAGGTCAAAGCCAGCTCCCGATTCGACAGCATACAAGAGCTTCTCCTTGAGCGTAGCTCGGCTGCGGTATAGAGGCAGTTTCAAAAGGTTGATACAAGTAGCTGCGCTTGGTAGGCGATTCTCGTCTGAGCCATTATCTCTTATTGAAAAGGCAGGGCTCAATTGTCCAAACCCAAGTAGAGGAGCTCGGGGGGTGGAAGTGACGTACTTGAGCACCTCGCGGCGCTCCGAGTCTTCAAGCTCGTGCATGACATCCCAGAACATCTTGACAGTCGGGTGCTCCTCTCCATCGTCGCCAATGACGTACACGCCAGAGTAAACCGTGTTGCTGCGGAGGTCCTCGACATCAATCTCGGAACTGTCGCCACCCACGAGACGCTGTAGCTCCGACTGGTTGAACATTTGCAGCCATGTTGGGTCAATGATGCTATTGAGACCACGCAAAAAGGCCTTTGTCTGGCGGTATGGCTGTGCCACCAGTCGATGTGTGACAACGTATGAAATGTACAATGGCCGGTCCTTGTTGGTGACTGGCGCGTTCTCATTGCCCTTTCTCAAAGGCCGTGTAATGGTCCGCACCTTGTTCGTAACTGGGTTGGTGACACGGTCGTTGATTGTGAAATCAAGCGAGAAATCACCAACGTCTCCCGGGTAGTTCTTGAGCTGAATCAAACCTCTATACAACTCTGGGTCAAGGTCTCTTAATTCATTCAGACTGGCGCGGACATCCCTGCCCGAGGAACTCCATTTCAAGAGAAAGAATGGAGCAAAGGACAAGTCAATGAGGATGCCCTCATACATACATTTGCCGACAACACGTCCCAAGAATTCGAATTTTTGTGTCAGGTCTTGCAACCGACTATTCCATTCTGCAGAGTTCTCTGGAATACCGTACCAGCGAAGACTCTCCACGAGCTCATCAAAGACTGTTGGGTTCGGATACAAGAGATTCTGGCTGTTGGTCACAAACATGCCAAGATGATCTTTTGGCGTAAAAGCCTCGGTGGTGACACTAGTCAAGAATTCCTTGGTGACACCACCGCCATCAATTCCAGCTTCTGGTTGGTCAAACTTGTCAACAAAGGTGATTTGAATGGGCTCCTTGAGGGCCTCGCCTAGATTGTAAAACTGGCTGTATGCATCCGAAAAGAGCTGTCCGCGCTTGATGGTGGCATTGTGTCGTCCGAGCGATTCTCGGCCAGTATTGACTTGGCCCAGGCCGCCGTGCAGGATGGACGCACGCCACGAGTCCGCATCGACATAGCCATTTCGCCTCTTTGATTTATCGAGATGTACAAACTGACGAAAGATCTGAACACGGACCTCAAAGGGTATGGTGAATGGCATGTTTCTCAGAATCTCCAGTTTTGGACCAACTTGGGCTAGAACCTTTTCTCGCTGCGCACGCTTATGTTGTCTTTGTCTTTCAATCTGAGCTGCGCGCGAGAGGCGGTGGCCAGAGGCCGTCAAGAAGCCAGGAGTTGCGGCGTCAAGGTCGCCCATTTCCTCATCGTCGTCATCATCCTCTTCCTCAAGGTCCCGTTTCTTCTGCTCTTCCAGCACAACCGCAGCCAAGAAGCCATCCATTTCGAATCGGGATGTCATGAGCCAAAAGTCTTTGGGCAAGAATGGTCTTCGAGAATCTCGCTCGTACAGCGCACGCATAGTCACTGTAGCTGCCGCCCTGAGTGTGAGGACATCCATTCCTTGAATTCCTGCAAATGTTGTAGTGATCTTTTCGTTGACGTGCTGCTGATTTTTGGTCGAGGATGAACCAAAAAGTGACGAGACCGTCGGTGCTGTTGATAATGTCGAAGAAGGCATAATGTCTGGCAGATTATAGTATAGCGGAAAAGCGAGATTTTTGAGAAACACGACCAGATTTTTGAGCTCGGCCAGATTCAACCCGCTTGCTCGAACCCGCATAACTACCGGGCTCGGGTTGGCAAGCACCTCTGTTTCTGCCGGGAGAAAATCCTCATCATCAGTCACCCGGAGAAGGAAATTGTATAGCTCAAGGAATAGAAGCAGAGTCCGCCATTCTTGATCTCGATGATTGGGGTCTGACTGCAATGAAGACACTACTATCCTCGGCCTTTGCTCGGCCTCCTTGTGCGCTATTGCGGAAAAGATGCTGGTGCGCGACACTGCCTGCCAAAGAAATTTCACCGATGGCACTGTTCCCAAATTTGCCGAGGCAGGAGTAATAATGTCTCCATGGAACAGGCGGATCTTGATGTCGTCGCCATGCCTTGGAAAGCACCGGAGCAGGACCAGCGTGTAACCCGCCAGGAGGCTCGCCTCTTCCGATGCCTGCTCATGTGATGTAGCCGTCGAGGTAAAGCGTTGGAGCAGCTCGGCAATACCATCTTCACTGACGAGGGACTCGAGTTGCTCCACGACGTATTGGGTCAGTGGGCCAGTGGTCTCCTCATCAGAATCGCTTGATTCATTGTCCGCTGAGCCATTGGCACTGTTTCCAGCTTTGCTGCGTGCACGGATATCCGCGGACAGCTCCGTCAATAATCGATAAAGTGCCTCGAGGTAAGAGGATCCCTGGGAGGGAGGGGTTGCTCGACAAAGGGCAATGAAATGTGCCAAGAGCCACAAGAGACCGTCGCGCGATTTCTCGCTGGCCCGGTGGTGTTTGACGAGCCCAGTAATGATGCTTTGAGACAAGACCCCGGCGTCAAGAAATTGGGCAACCACTGCTGGGTTTGCTTGCAAAAAAGCGAGATTCGGCGAGGTCAAGAAGAAAAAGGCAAAGGCCTCGTAAGACTGTATATCGGGGCGACGCAAAGGTGCCGCAATTGCCTCTGCGAGGACATTTTGATCTGCAGCCGGCCCCGACTGGTCACTCTGCCTGCATAATCTTGCAATCAATCCGTAATATTGATCGGAATTATTGACGATACAGTTTGGATGCGCCTTGATCATGAGAACAAGGAAACCGAGTGGTGTGTTTGACGCAGATGGAGGTCGTTGCTCCAAGGCGGATACTATTGTCGAGGCTAGTCTTTGCCGTTGGTTCTCTTCCAACATCAAGTCTCTGACACTCGACAAGTCTTGCACAAGACCATCCAGTCTTGCTTGGTCGCCGTCATTGCTGGCGTCAAAGAAGGCAGATAACAGAGGTAGGGCTCTGGTTATCCGATCCTTCACGTCACCGTCCTGAAGGTACAAATCGTCCCAATCCTTTCGAAACTGACTTTGCACTTGTCTGCGAACTTTTCTGCCCCGCCATACACGTTGTATCCGCTTCGAGGCTGCAACCTGTTCTCGATCTCTTTGTCGCTTCTCACGCTCGGCCTGAGCATTGGCAATGGTTTGAGAGGCTCCGGACGGAGGAGCTGCCCAGCCTGAAGTTGCCCATGGATTCGTAGATCTCTGCCCGCTGAGATTGACGTTTCGGGGACGTTTCGAGTTTCCAGTAAAGGATGGAAACATTTCGCCAGTGTTTGTTGTCCTGTCTTGACAGGTGAAGCTCGACTGTAGTGACTCGGCGAGGGCGCGGATAGCTCGGTGGCTTCGGGATACTCCAATGCTCCAAGTTGGAAGATTTCTTGGTCGAGTTGAACGTCTGAAAGCTGAAATTGCCCAAGAGTTCTAAAGGGCTCTATGACGGTAGCTGATATTTGATTGCACGCAGAAAAGGATCCGGCTCCTCCTCCCCTTCCGAAGAACGACGAAATCTAGTGGCAGTGCTGAAGCAAAAGGAAAGACGGCAGCATGACGGCGAGCTACCGAACCAAGAGCGGCAGTTCCTGGACTAGGTTGAGAGGATGTGTAGCGTCCAAGATTTAGAGTGTTGAAGAACTGGAAAGAGGTGTGTTTCGATTCCTTTTCTATTATAGTTGCTCTGTTGCAAATTTCTTTACCTTTGGTCCGTCATGTGATGAGAGTTGTGCTTGGCTTTTGCGCAGGTTTGGTGATGCGCATTTGAGCTTTTGAGCTTCTAGGTAGTTACAGCAGAGTATTGGGCCAGGCAGGGTAGATTGCCGGGCACTAACGCGCTAGGTAACCACTGCTCTGTCAGCTGCTTTGACTGAACGTGGTGCAATCACGTAACGCCACTACTACTTTAGAATGGGTCTGCCCCACGAACGACTGCTCAGAAAGTGCTGGTAACGTACCCATTTGGGTAGCCTGGCCATGTACAATGTACAGTTTGGAATAGTTCTGGTACTTTCCAAAGTCAACCATGTAAGCACCGTTCGACACCTACCTACCCGTAGATATCACAGCGATGATCGCTTGCTTATCCCTGTTGATATCTTGCTCACCGATCAAGTCCATACATTCATATTCTCTTCCTTTAGAAGCGCATAATTCTCGCTCGGTTCAATAATAGGACTGCGTATGAGAAAGGTCATGGCGGGGTAGCTAGTTTGTTATCTCCGGTAAAGGCAGCTACGATAAGATTGTGCAGATAGCCAGAGTACTCGTACCAAGTCATGGCGTGTCGCCTAATGTAAATGTTCATATTGGTTTCGCTAGAGCAGCAACAAATTCACATTCATATTCGAGAGTACTGGTTGGTGAGCTTCAATATCGCCTCGAGTATTCACTGGACAGCCAAATTACAGTGAAAATGGACCCTGTGGAAAGAATTGCTAGATGAATGCCACGAGTTCATCTTGAGATTCGCACGGAACAAGTTTAAAATAGGTGTACAGTTTCATCGGCTACGAGGGTCGCATACCCTCTAGCCTTGACGCGCAATGGCGCTCGAATTGCAGTGTTGAGCTGTACATTTGTAATTTTCAGCCTCGTTCGAGACTCGGGGCATGATTTTAGGTTCGCGGTTAAACTGTCTGTCTCAACGGTGTTTTCAGGGTCTGCTCCAGCCCGCACAGACTCTCAGTCCTGATCTCAGCCCTACACTGAGCCAAAAGAGTCAAAAGTGGAAAATTCCGATATAGTAAAGTGATGGCCAGGTTCAGGAATTAGCTCCTCAAGAGATGATTGTGTAGATGTAGTTCAATCAGTCATGTCTCGTCAAAGTAACGAATGCATCGACGTTGCTCTTTGCGCTAGCATTTGGGGTCCTAGTACAAGAGCAATCGCTAAACCAGCCCCGCCGGCATCTTATTACCAGGAGGTACATAAAACCTACGTCACCAGGATTGCCAAAGCGGCCCACAGAGGTCGGGTGTGTGTACCCAAGTAAATGCCTTGTGTCTGCACTATTTTCTCTAGCATCTTGAAAACAATAATGTGCCGAAACAAAGTCGAGTTGCGATATGCCATGACACGTTAGTCTGCTCCAGAATAAAATATATCATGTCAGACACTAAAGGGAATAGCTGGGGCAACAGTTGAGGAAGCAAGAAATACTACTGTGACATACTCCAACTCGACTCATGGCGCCATTAGAGTAACCACCCAGGATATCAAGGCCCGTGCGATAAGATAGCGTTTGCGCTTGTGGGGCACCGCGACCAGACAAACGGCTGCACACAAGCAAATAGATACCTACCTCATTGATGCTCAACAAAGCAGATATCATGTTCTACTGCTCTCTTGGCGTTATCAAGCACAAGTCTCCTGACTTAAGAAGACTCTTGATGATAATGTCCATATAAAATTTAAAAATGAGCAAGTATAATGAGAACCACCATTACATGTTAATGATTAGAGTCGCTAGGCCCGACTTGGAGATTCAAGAGGAAGAAAACCCCCCGGCCGACAGCCACTGGGCAAACTGGCATGGGCTGGGCGCCGTGGGCGGTCTGGTGGCTCTAGCGCGAAAGGGCACGTCGAGAAAAGCACAGACCATGTAGGCCGATCGCACCTCCCAATCATTCGAAATTTTCGAATTTTTTTTTTCTACCCTTGAAAAGCGCATGGCCTTTGGTGGACGGACCCGTCTTCTTCCCTTTCAACCACCAACAAACAACCCATCTATTCTTCCATCACTCTGAGTTCTCAGTCAAGGAGTGCGATTTTCATCGTACTGCACCGCTGATCTCAACCCAGCACCAAACAATAAAAAACACAAAAAAAGGTTAAAATCAACACGCACAAAATCCCAATTTCCACAGACCCCAGTGTCTATCCTCCGTCTCAGGCTTCTTGAATAGATCGGAACTTGTCCTCAAGCCCTTCGTCTGTTCAGCCTTTCCCCACCAGAAAAAAAACCCTTCTTATCCTCTTTCATTTGAGGATTCGGCTTGGTTTTTTGTTTTCTTCGGTAATCGACCCTTTGAAGTCACCGGTCTTTGTCCCGCCCGACTTCATTCCTCTCGACCGTCTGTCAAACGCTGCGAGCAGTGCTTTCTAGATCTTGGTAAGTTCTTACACCACGCTATCCACTACATACAGGTCTTGCCCTTGGGATTCCCGTCGCGCTTGACTATCCTCGCGACTCAGCGCGGCCTTGTCATTTCGACACCTTGATTCAACTCCAAGTTTGTGTGCCATCGTCGGAATTGCGCTAACTCGTTGCCATTGACAGTACCGCGAACCTCTTGTTCACTCGATCATCATGTCTGCCGCTGCTGCTCCCAACGCTGTTGATCAGCTCGCCGCTGATCTCGGCAACACCTCCATCGAGGCCAAGGCTCCTGCTGCCATTGACACCAACGTCGCTGCTGATGCCCAGGGCGAGGACAGTGCTACCCCCAACACCGCCCAGACCCCGCACCCTCACGCTTCTGCTTCTCTCTATGTTGGTGAGCTGGACCCGTCGGTTACTGAGGCCATGCTGTTTGAGCTCTTCTCTTCCATCGGTTCCGTTGCCTCGATTCGTGTCTGCCGCGATGCCGTCACTCGTCGCTCTCTTGGCTATGCCTATGTCAACTACAACTCCACTTCGGATGGTGAGCGCGCTCTCGAGGAGCTCAACTACACTCAGATCAAGGGCCGTCCTTGCCGCATCATGTGGTCTCAGCGCGACCCTGCCCTGCGCAAGACTGGCGCCGGCAACATCTTCATCAAGAACCTTGATGCTGCCATTGACAACAAGGCCCTCCACGACACCTTTGCTGCTTTCGGTAACATCCTCAGCTGCAAAGTTGCTCAAGACGAGAGCGGTAGCTCCAAGGGCTACGGTTTCGTTCACTACGAGACTGACGAGGCTGCCGCCGCCGCCATCAAGCACGTTAACGGTATGCTTTTGAACGAGAAGAAGGTCTACGTCGGTCCCCACATTCCCAAGAAGGACCGTCAGAGCAAGTTTGAGGAGATGAAGGCCAACTTTACCAACGTCTACGTCAAGAACATTAGCCCCGACGCCACTGACGACCAGTTCCGTGAGCTGTTTGAAAAGTACGGCGATGTTACTTCCTCGTCCCTTGCCCGCGACCAGGAGGGCAAGTCCCGCGGTTTTGGTTTCGTCAACTTCACCACCCACGAGGCTGCCTACAAGGCCGTTGACGAGCTGAACGGCAAGGACTTTTTGGGTCAGGACCTTTACGTCGGCCGTGCTCAGAAGAAGCACGAGCGCGAGGAGGAGCTGCGCAAGTCCTACGAGGCTGCCCGCCAGGAAAAGGCCAGCAAGTACCAGGGTGTCAACCTCTACATCAAGAACCTCGGTGATGAGGTTGATGATGAGAAGCTCCGCGTCATGTTTGCCGAGTTTGGCCCCATTACTTCCGCCAAGGTGATGCGCGACAGTGCCACCGAGTCTGGCGACGAGAGCGAGACCAAGGACGGCAAGGACAAGGAGAATGAAAATGAGACCAAGGAGGAGGTCAAGGAGGAGGAGCAGCCCTCCGAGGAGGAGAGCGACAAGAAGGATAAGAAGGGCGACAAGAAGCTCGGCAAGAGCAAGGGCTTTGGTTTCGTCTGCTTCTCCAACCCCGAGGATGCCACCAAGGCTGTCACCGAGATGAACCAGCGCATGTTTGATGGCAAGCCTCTGTACGTCGCCCTCGCCCAGCGCAAGGATGTTCGCAAGTCCCAGCTCGAGGCTAGCATCCAGGCTCGTAACCAGCTCCGCATGCAGCAGGCCGCCGCCGCCGCCGGCATGCCTCAGCAGTTCCTGCAGGCTCCCGTCTTTTACGGACCCGGCCAGACCCCCGTCTTCCCTCCCGGCGGCCGTGGTGGCATGCCTTTCCCTCCCCAGCCTGGCATGGGTATGCCCGGCGTCCAGGGCCGTCCCGGCCAGTTCCCCAACGCTTTCCCCCAGGGTGGCCGTGGAGGTCCTGGCCCCCAGGTCATGCCTGGCATGTACATGCCCGGTCAGTTCCCTCCCGGAAACGCTCCCTACGGCCAGCCCGGCACTCCCCAGTTCATGGCCGCCATGGCTCAGGCCCAGCAGACCATTGGTGGTAACGGCCGCGGTGGTCCTGGTGGTCGCGGACCCGCTCAGGGTATGCCCAACATTGGCGGTCCTGGCATGCCTGGATATCCTCCCAACGGTCGTCAGGGCCCTGGTGGCCGTGGTGGTCCCCGCAACGGCCAGGTCGGTGGTCAGTTCCCTCAGGGCGGTCGCGGAGGTCCCGGCCCTGCCCAGAGCCAGGACTTGACTCCTTCGTCGCTTCTCCAGTCTCAGCTCCAGGCCCACGCCGGCAACCCCCAGCAGCAGAAGCAGATGCTTGGTGAGGTCATCTTCCCCAAGATCTCGGCTCTGCAGCCCGAACTCGCCGGCAAGATCACTGGTATGCTCCTCGAGATGGACAACAATGAGCTCGTCAACCTGTAAGCACCCTCGTATCCCGTTCAAACTACCAATTTACTAACAACTACTTGCAGGATCGAGGACGACGCTGCCCTTCGTGCCAAGGTCGACGAGGCCATGGCCGTCTATGACGAGTACGTCAAGAGCCAGGGCACCGAGGGTACCAAGGAGGAGCCCGCCAAGGAGGAGAAGACCGAGGAGAAGGCATAAGCAGGGCTTATGCATGTGCCAGTGCAATATCTGAGACCATCTCAGCAGTATTCATACGGTTGGCATTTACGTTTACGACCCTTCTTGACGTTTACACTTTCTCTTTTCTTCCTGCTGGTACAGTCGATTTGTTTTCGAATGGTTCCGGAAAAGTTTATGATACCTGACATCAATCGTCTCAAGACGGGATGAGTCAACTCTCTGCATTTCTTCCGCCATTACGTTATCGGTTACGACTGTCACCCTTTGTGGGTCTGCTGTCATTTGGTGGGATCTGTGACGACCTCGGATCCTCCCACGCGATATGCAACCACGAAACCCAAAAATTGCTATTGCATGTATTTCATAGACTTGCTTTGATGGAGAGGTGCTTGTGTCACCTGGCGTTTATGGTCAAAAAGTCGGTTTGCCTTGTGGTTTCACGCTGGCACTGAAGGGGTGGCGGCTACATGATTCAGATCTCAATACCCCCAATGAGTCGTCACGGAGGAGAAAATCATATTCTCCAGGGATCAGAAGTCAATCCAGACAGGAGCTTCTGAGACTTTAATGAAAAGTATTTACCATATGTCTTGTCACTGTGTCTGTATGCTTATTTGTGCTGTAAACCTCTTGTCTCTGCCGTCTGTGGCCACTCATTGATTCGACAGATCCATACAAACTTTCAATCACATGAGATTACTTTTCATGGTGATTCCTACTCTTATTAGGTAAACTGAACAAGTCGTTTCAATTCCTATAATAACATGACTTTGTCTGATACATGTGCGATGCGGCTCTCTACATCTTTCCTATTGCTTGATCCTGGCCATCCTCCCTTGTGTCCCTGTATAATAGAACGTGGTTTGTGTCTCTGCGCGGGTAAATATCCGCCGTGAGGACAAGAATATTCGCCTGCTGTGCGCCTCGATCCTCGGTCCGGTAAATGAAGCAAAAAACCAAAACCGATTTCCCCTAATCCGGCAAAAAACAAGTCAACACCGAAACCATGACCATTGGGTATCAGAGTTTTTGCCTCTTGCATATTTGCGCCTTCCAACCTTTTTTCTACAGACGAGAAAACCAAAAAAGGAGACTTACCTAAAAACAACAGATGGTAGTCATAAAACGCCGTCTCCTGTGGCTTGCCCTTCCGCTTTGTATGCTGCCAAATACAAGAGCAAGAACTCCAATGCTGCCAAGGTTACCTGGTGACGCCGATCCCTAGGGGGGAGGGAGAAAGAAGGTATGTAGCAGAATAAGGCAATAATGTGCCATACATGATGTTCGCTTTACATGCAAAACTCCAATCGCAATCAACAAAACCGATAAACCAAATGACAAGATTATTATCACGCCTGAATCAATAACCACTTGCCCATCTTCCCTCATCAATCGTGCCTACTCGGGTTCCGCTTCCGCTGCCGACTTGCTGGCTCGGTCGGGAAGAGCTGCCATAGAGCATTTCCATGAGTTTACCCTTTTGGCGGGTACGAACGCCTTCGAGGTAGAGGCCAACGTCCTCGAGGCCCTTGACCTGCTCCTCGACACTGAGGGTACTCGAATTGACACTGCGGACGAGCGGGGAGACGAGCTTGCGGCGTAGGCTTTCAAGATTGGCCTTGAGGGTCAGGAGCTTGCCATTGTGTTCGACCAGGATGCCCTTGTTCATGACCGTCTTTTCGCGCACGTTTTGCAGGAGCTGGCGGTTGCGCTCATACTTTTGAACCTCGCTCGCCTTGGGCCCCAAGATGCGCGTCCAGAGGCTCGAGAGGTCGTCGGCGTGTCGATCATCCTGCAGCGATGACTCGCGCACCACGATCCGGGCCAGGTTCAGGAACTGGCGGTCAATGGCCTCAAACAGCCCAAACAGTGCCAGGCTGTGTTGCAACTCATTGTTGATGGCCTCCTCGAGTACGGAAAGGAACTCTGCAAAGGTGCGCTGTAGTGTGGTGCGCGTCCGCTGAGGCTGGCTCATGCCAAAGACACTCGTCGCAATGGCGCCCAGCCGCGTTGGCGTACCGGTGGATGGGTTCTCGAGCACGCCTGCATCACACAGGACATTGTGAATGTTGGCCCAGGCCGTGGCCAATGGTGGGCTCGGCTGGCCCCGAAGCTGCGTGAGCTCCCTTCTCGCCCAATCCATGACAATGAGGATCCCGTCAATATCCCCGTCCACATTGGCAAAGAACTTGGTGAGCTCAATTGCAAGCGTCTTGAGCGAGTCTGACAGCTCGTCCAGAGAGCGCACAATGAGCGGCGCGCTCGTCATGTTGGAGGTGCGCACACTCTCGCCCAGGTCCCAAACGGCGACGCCAGTGGCCTGCAGGTCACCTACTTGCGAGACGCCATTTTCTGAATAGTAAATGAGTGGTTCAAATGCCCGCGCAATACCCGCGACTTTGATCAGGTCCGGCACGGGTCGCTGTGATGCTGGTTGAAACAGAGAGCGCACAGTCGTAATGGACAAGAGCGCTACCAGGGCGGCCAAGACTAGATTGGCCCATGATTTCGTTACCATCTGTACCTTGGACCGTACAAATGTTATGGCCGCCTCAATTGGTTCAGTCCGTTGCTGGATGTCGGCGCGGACTGCAAATCGTATGTCTGAGGCATCAAGTCTCTTAGTACAAATGGCCACGGACATGGCAGTACCACGGGCACAACTTACAGTTTTCTCTTGCAGCAACCTCGGGCGATTTCGAGGGCAAGACACTTTGCCGTCTCCACTGCTCAATCTCCCTCTTGGCTTTTTCTGGACTACCTGCAAGACTTTTCAACTTGACTAGTGTGTCGTCGTCGTCGCGCAGTCCTGGATCCGGTGTTCTCCCCTTTTCCGGACTAAGCGATCCCGTGGGTAGGCGCGTCCTAATCGCCTGCTCCAGAACAATGTCGTCGTCGTCGTCGGCACCGTCATCGTCGTCATGACCTCCGTGGATCCCGTGCGCCCGATACCTATCGTCAAAATAGTCAATCATGGGGCTGGCGCCACCATACCGCCTGTCCACGCCCAATCCTAGCAGGTTGTCGTTGCGCCTCCAAAAGCCGGCGCTGCGATCACCGTTTTCGAGTCTTCTCCAGGCTGGCGGGCTGTAACCACCGGCGGAGAGAGAAGATAGATCGCTCGCGTTCTCGTCCATCATGGATTCCCTTAAAAGCTCCTCGTCCCCGGGAAGACCGTCGCTGATGACCTGCGACGACGACGCTACGAATCCCGAGTGAGCCGACGGGTAACGGACGAAGGAGGGCGGCAGCGTCGGCGGCGGGGTCAGAGGTGCGCGGAAGTCGTCGAGCGAAGCGTCCAGATGGTTTGGATCGCCGAGTTTCTGGTGGTAAGCCGTCATGATCCTCCACGACTCTCGTCGTCTCGTCGTCCTCGAGCTCTGTAATCTCTATGCTGCTGCTATCCGCGTGTTTTTTACTATCACGTCTGCCGTTTGTCGCCAGCGTCTTGTTGCTAAAGTTGCTGGAGCGGCGGCTGATGGAAAAAAAGGATCGCAGACTGTTGCGCCCCGGTGAGTCCAGGGGCGAATTGTGTTCGTAATCAGTCAACTGGAGTATTGGCCTCTCCTGCTGCGGGAGGGCTGGCAATGCCTTTTGGTTCCTCCACTCGATTTCGGGCAATGCGACGACGGGCTCCTCGGCGTAGTACTCTTGCGCAACCTTTCGTTTACCAAACAGGCGCGACAGTGGATTCAGGCTCGGAAAGCGCAGAGGCGCGACAAAGCCGGAAATAACGAGATAGGTAAAGAAGAAGAAGAGCGACAAGGTAAAGGATGCGATGAATGTACTTGGCGCAATATTGATGTGGAATAGTGCGACGTGATTATGGACAGCGATCAGAGACATGAGCGGGTTGAACTGATGTTGCTGATGCTGTCTGCGGGCGCAATGCGATCCAGTCCGTTCAGGTGTCAATGTAATCGACCGTTGCACAGCTGAGAGAGAAGAGAGGGGTCACGGTTTCAATGTCTGTCTGCAAGACGAGAGGGATGAAATGTCTTGGGAGAAAAGACGAAAGCGCAAACCAAGAGGCTCGTCTCTTTCTCTCTGGTATGTTGTATTGATTGATGGATTGCGAATGATCGAGTGCTGATAAGACGCCCGATAGGATATAAGCCCAATGGGCAAGCGCTAGATTGTAGGTAGGTAGGTGGAATACGTTCAAGTCGTTTGTAATGGACTTGAACGGTGGGATGAGCTGGGCGCGCGAAAGGAGGGGGTGGGTGCGAGTGAACGGAAAGATGAACTGCGAGAGCTAGGTAATGTAGAGGGGAGGGAGAGATACCGTTCGGCGCAGGTCGATTCGCCAATAGATGGTGTGTGATCGACCGAGTATACCCAGGACCGAATCCAGTCACACACAGCAGGGGGGTGGTGGTGGTGGTGGTGGTGGACAGAGAGAGGAAGAAGACGAGTTGATGACTGCAAAAGAATGTTTTGTGATCTTGTTTTCGTTTTGGTTTTAGAAGAGAGGCCAAACTGTTCTTTTCTTGTTCCTTTTTTTTCAAGAGAGTTTTCTTGATTTCTTGCAACTTTGGGAGAGAAAAATTGTACTGTTGAATGTCTGGTCCGTCTTTCAACCATTACGGGAGAGACCAGGAAAAGCAAGTGGACTGAAATCAAAGAGGCTGGGGCCCATCTTGGTAGACTGTGACACACACACTCTGATCAGTTTCCCTCTGTACAGTCCGCCGTTCTTTTTGCGGGTCCTGGACTTGATTTTGAGAGAAAGCAGCCAATCATGCCCCGTAAAACACCATGGGAAACGGGCAAGAGCACCATTGAATGCTGGGTAAATCCTGCGTGGACCCAAGGGATACCTGGATAGGGACCGCAGGGCGTAATGCTAAAGTTGTTGCTAAGCATTCAAGGGACGACGCGGATCTAGGGACCCGTGCGTTGGCGCCCCTGCCGCTAGTTCAGGTCAGTATTTGTTTCTCCCCCAAAAGTCTCTTTTTTCTTTTCCCTTGTTCGCCTCATGATGGAATGCAATTCTCAAGGGTAGAGAATCTCTTCTTGACTGACGAGAAAGCAGGTACAGAGTTTACCAGGTAGAATGACCACGAGGTAGGTTCCATCGAATACAGCGCAAACTGATACTGATGGAGGGTGGCCGCCGTAATAGGCCTCTTCCAATTCCTACTACCATGTGGGATCAAACCGTCTCCTCTTTCCGTCAGTCAACCTTGCAAGGGCAGTTTCTTGGGCAGGTCAAGCGGGTGCGGGTGGGCAGATGGGGACACAAACGGTCAACAACTTGGCTTCTGTACCTACATTTGACAGATGGAAACTCTAATAATAAGCCGCATATTCCGTACAATTATTATATCCCATGAAGCTCTAATCCATGGAACCACACAAGTCCATGTAATCGAGTGGCCGGCCCCATTAGTGACGACAGAGCAGGACCCATGCATTAGTCAATTGACATTCGTCACCAAGACACTGTGTTTTCAACTCTACATATCACCAGTCAAAACACTTAATCTCGAAAGAACAAAAATAAAAGAAATAACTCTAAGAGAATTGAATCTATTGTATAACTTCAAAACTATTTTTCACATTTTTTATGGTAGACTTATGGCTGTATGAAGTTGGGCTATCAGCCAGCGAATGTCAATTGACTAATGCATGGCTCCTGAGAGTAAACGAGTTCCTGCATTTGGTGGTCCTCTTCTCTATCCTTTTCAACCCCATCAGCCCCATTTCGTGTACGCTTCGTCGGGTCAGTCGAGACTCGAGACCGCCCATTGAATGGATCCATCAATCACCCCTCTTTTCCCCCATGCCCCCCGATTATGCAACCACTATATTAGTACGGGAATGCCCGGTGCGGGAACGTCAGAAAGCAAAAACAACCACATTGGTCGTTTGGTTCAGGAGAGTGGAAACCAGAGACGCCAAATCCATCCAAACAGAACGAACAAGACTTGCTCCATTGCTTGCAATGAGCAGTAACTGACCTACCACGACCATTGCTCCCTCGTGTCAACTCCCCACTCGCTGCATCGTGCTGGGTCTAATCCACAGCTCCTATCCTATCGTGGACCTCGTCTGCCTATCTTATCACCCCGCAGTCGACTGCCTATCCTCGGGCGCCCAATCGTGGTCCTCCTGTCTTCCCGTTCTGGCCCTGGTCTTGTTTACGCGATCCACTGTATTCCTGAGCCAAACAAGGTCACGGGATGCCATATATATTGCATATCTAGGTACAGGTATAAACAAACCCTCATGATACGTCGATTGCTCGATTCAGAGCCCGGCATTCTACAGTGGTGTCCACACATCCATGACAGAAGTAAAGTCGTGGATGGAACAGAGCCGCAAGTGGCCGGAAATGGCCTATCCATGTCTGTGACAAGCCGCAACGCGAATTCACTTGTACGGACCAAAAAATGTTCGTGATTACATGTCAATCTTGATAATACCACATACAATGTACGCTTCTGAAGCATATTCATCGCTCAAAATAACTCCAAGCCACCCAGATATTTGAAATCCCCGGCTGGCATTCATTGCTCAGTCGTTCCCCTCGCTGATTGCGCACCATTTCCGAGACATACTTGCGCCCGTCGCTGTCTTTTTTTGGTTCTCGTTTCCAGATTCTCCCAACCTGCAAAGACAAAGCCCTGCTCCTCTGAACCATTTCTAGTCAATTCGTGCCGTCTCCAAACTCCGGGCAGATGGGTTGGAAAGATTGTTGATCTGCCTTGGTGGTGGTTGATATTTGCTCTTCTTCCGCAGTCTCTTTCGTGCCACCATGACCGGCGCAGAACTCTTGGTGACGAGGTAGTTGCTGAAGGATCCTAAAAGTGTCCTATTGCATAGTTAGTCGCCGTCTGTCTGCGAAATACAAAATGATTCAAGCCCACGTACCCCTTCAGTGCACTTCGCCCTCGGCTGCCGAGGATGACCAACGTGGGCTTCACGACATCAATCACCTCCGTGATGAGGTGCTTGGGGTTCTTGCAGTGGATACATTCAATAATGACCCGAACCTCTAGCTGTGTCTTTCGCAACAACTTGGAAACCCTGTCCGTGACATCTTGCACCGCCCTCTCTCGCTCCTCCTCCAATTTTGATTTTCCTCTCGAGGGTGCTGGCGAGGGTGTGTTGCTACCGGGCTCAGCAGCACGCACCCGCGGAGACATTGACGCCCTGTTCAACCCCAGGGCACTAGAGCTGTTGGCGATTGGCGGCTTGACGCTCTTGGCCATTGCGTTGATGGCCGCTGCTTGTTCTCGCATCGACTTTGGGTCGTCGGGCACCTGCGCGCCCGCTTCCACGGTGCCGCTGGCTTCCTCGTCCATGCAATAGAATGCAATCAGCGTGTCGCCATCGCGCAGAACCGTGCCAATGGCCCATTCCAGAGCATGCGTCGATTCATCACTGAGGTCCATGGCCACGAGGTATTTGCGCAAGCGTCTGTGCTCCTCGGTTGCGTGCTGGTAGATCTTGTCGTACTCACCACGGTACAAGATGCGGATTGATCTATATACCTCGGGGTTCGAAATGATGGGAGTCGATGACAGCTGAAGATCCTGGGCCCGTTTGATTGCAGTCACGTCCTGGTCGTCTTGGTCTGCATTCGGATCTGGCGTTGGGGCGCGAGTAGGCGGATCTTGGTCAAAACTGGTCGAGGGTTGTACCGCACGCTTGTTTGACTTTTTCTTGTCTCCATTGGGATTTGTAACAGTAATTTCAGGGTCAAGCAGCGATCTATATTGATGCTGGGATGCAATATGTTTTCCTGATACACCCGTGTCAGTTCAAAGCGGCTCGCTGATCTTGTGTGTTGAGTCAAAACTTACTCTCATCTTCGGCGGCGGCAAGCAAGCTCTTTGCCGCTCTAGTTGCTTCATCACCGTCTCCGCGGCCCTCGGCTCTTGTGGTGAGCTTTCTGCCTCTATGGTCTTCCTCGTCGGAAGAGTTGGCCACATCATCGTCGCTATCGTCATCGGTCAAGAGTTCGCCATACGGACTCAAATTGGACTTTTGGATGCGGCCGTGACCTTCCGGGTCAGACTTTTTGCGCGGCAGGGACGACAAACTCGAGCCTCCGTAAGCTAGATTAGCATCTGAAAGTCGTCTATAGGCGCTATTCTTGTCAATGACTTGGCCATCCTCTAGAATAATCATTCCATCGTCTCGGTTACGCGATGTTGATCCCAGCAGGCTGGCATGGGGTGAATTCGATCTGAGACTGAATCGATTGTGCGGCGACTTTGACTTGCTGTTTCCCCTCAAGGAGAAACCAGACCTGCCTGGTTCGCCCGGCAGAACCAGGTTGGACAGATCAGCTCCTCTCAGAGCTTCTCCAATAGAGGCTGAACGCATCTGTGCTCCTGGCGCACGCCTTGTCGGAAGGGCCTGACCAACATTAGTGGCATAAATGTCAGAGAACTTGTAGTCGGTGGTAGGATCCACGGCACGGTCCCGAGCAAGTGGCGGCGAACGAGGCCCAAAATCGGTAAAGGCGGGTTTGGCAGAGGCATCGGACATGCTCCTATGATGGACATCGCCAGATGGCACAGGAATCCTGTGTGAGGACAGCGTCGGAGAAGTCTGTGCACTAGACACAACAGGCGATCGCTGGGGCTTTGACAAGCTACTGCCTGTACCCAACGGACTCCGGAAAGGGGGTGTGTTGGCTGGCGGCGCCACATCCAGCATGCTGCGGACTGGCGGCGGGCTCTTTCGGAGTCCAGCACTCGGGGGCGCATCTCCCACATCGAGCATGCTCCGGACCGGAGAGCGAGCGTTTAAATAAGGCGAGGGTGTACGAACTGGAGGCTGCGGGGCTCGTGAAGGCTGCTGGCCCGACAACAGAGCCTCAATCTGCTGCCGCTCTTCCTCCATGGCAGCCTCCAGGGACATGAGCTTCCTTCCCGACATTTTGAATTGATGACGAGGGTAGTCTTGGAATGTCAAGGGCCGTATATGGTTATAACCAAGTCAGAGCGATCCTTGCTCCAACAGCTCTGTAGTCGTAATAAAGACAGCCCAGCAAAAGGGACCTTTTGCGTGTCGTCGTATTCAGCTCACCGATGGGCTGTACGGTGTGTGTATGACCTTGTTTGTGGTTGAAACTATGGCTGCTAATAATGTTCGAGTAGGCGGTGCTTCAGCGAGGCACCACAATGGCGTCGGGAGAGACTCTCGGGGGTGCGCCAGTGACCAGTCGAGTATCGTATGGGCGAAGCTGGGCAGAACAGAGCATGATGCGGTTTTGGGTTAATGGGTAGGTAAGCTTCAAGGGACCACCTCTAGCTCATTGGTACCGATGGATGGAGGCACTGTTCGACTCTGGCCCTCTGCCTCCAGTCCAGTCCAGTCCAGTCTCTTTTTTTCTTTTTTGGCTTCTCGGGGTGGGTAAACGGTGGGAAAATGGGAGGAGGCCTCGTGTCGCCAAGGAAAGCAGCTGTCAGATGGGTCTCTGAAGGACAGGCTTGCGAGTAGAGTAGCTCAGAATGCTGAAGCGGGGGGAAAGATGCTGTCGAGGCTTGGCGAACAAACAAGGAGAGGGGCTCGGACTGCTGCTTCTCGAGAAGAAAAAAGGTTCGGCCTTCTTGGCTTTCTGGGCACAAAATATCTATTGGAGGGAAGGAGCAGCGGATTTATCACAACCACCAAGTCAATAGGCAGCGATTGAGTCAAATGTAAACTCAACAGTCTGTCGGGGGTGCTGCCACTCAGTCAGATTTGCATATTTGAATCGTTCCCCGTAGGTGCGCGGCGCGGTTGCAACAGAGACCAGGATTTTGATTAGTTGGGCACAAACAGCGTCCACCCCACGGCTGAGTTCAAATTATCGATCTCTCCAAGGTGGAGGTTCTTTTTTTTTTTTTTTTTTTTTCCCCTCTCTCTCTCCCCATCTCTTTCAGACCTCATCGGACGACATGTGGGCGCACAAAGTTGCCGAGTTTCCCTCTTGTTCATTGCAAAATATAACAAAAGGACACAATAATGTGTCAGCGTATGATTACTCTAAACTTGACGTGGTGCTGATGAGGCTCTTATCGCTCTAGCCCCAGATGCTACAACTATTCCACGGCACTTAAGGGTCCGTCTTGAACTACAACCTACTGGTAGTGCCTGTTTAGGTATTTTAGTGGTAGCATTGCCCAATGGCATGGTAGCTTTATATTTGTGCTACAAAATAACAATACAAGATGCAAAAGGTTATTATCTCTTTACTTGCCGATCAAGGATGCTCGACGTGGTGACGATCAAACACATCGAGCTCATTTGTGGCAGGAGAATCATAATCCACTATAAAGCCCAACAAGGCCAACAAGAAACCTACAATATCGCTTGGTTATAAAGAGAATGACTGCCATCCATCGCCATGGACACTACCAAGCATCCCATAACCAAAACGCTCAGGCAATGTGGATAGCGACCACATGGCGCCGGATAGTGCCCGAGAAGGATGGGATCCACGTCCATCTGGGGAAGCCAGGGAAGCGTTACAGGCTACTCAATGCCTGACGTGCCGTTACCTACCTTGACTTGCTGGAAAACCATCCGTCTGCACATGCATCATGTCTCCGTCTTCCTCTATTCCCATGCGGGTCTTTGGCGTTATCTGCAACGAGCACCTACTTTAGCACTGCTACCATGTATGTAAGTGCTCGGCAGATTTATACCCACATCACGTCATGGTAGCATGATCTGGGGACAGACACCAAAACCAAAGCCCAGTGTGGCATGGTAGAGCCAGCATGTGCTGTGTCAAGCTTTTACAATTATGTGTGGGCTGTGCATTAAACGGTATACAGGACACGAAAATGAATTCCAGGCCAGGATATCAGCTCTTGAAATCGAGTCACATGTGGTCAGTTACAATATTGGGAATGCCATAATCTTGACAAGTTGGTTGCCGCAATTAGATTAATACCTACATCTGAATATAAAAACATTTCACTCACTTGTCAGGTCCGCCACAACCCTGCCACGACAACGCGAGTATTATCAGTTGAAAATGCCGCATTAATGCCCTTTCAATGGACTTTTCTGATAAAGAAATGAAACAAATTAACAAGAAAATCTATAAGGTCTTGCGAACTAGAAACCGTCTACAGTGACGCGTGTTGGCCAAGAATGCAAACAACCCATATCATACTATTCACAAAACAAAAAAAAGGCTCTTTATTGACAGTAGCCTAACGCCAGACTCTGAATTGGTATACCAACACACAAACATTCGTCCTCAAGTCCCCATTTCAACCCGAGATCCATACAAACTGACAAATGCCCTGATCATCGAGGCACGCAACGCAACCTTGGCCGCTTCGAGAGCTTAAAACTGAATGAGGTCTTGGCCCTGGTTGCCACCCTGCTGGGTCCTGGCAAACGGGTTGCCCTGTTGCTGTCCGCCATAACCATTCATACCCATATTGGCCGGACCAGTTGCTGCAGGCATCTGCTGTGGGTTTGGCTGATAGGTAGCCTGGGGCATGCCAGTGAATTGCTGGCGCAAGAAGGGGTTGTTGCCAGTGGCTTCTGCACTCAGCTTGTTGAGGCCTGAGCCGGCCGAGTTGACAAAGGTGCCCGGTGCAGTGTGCTGTGCCGGGATACGGAGATTGCCAGTGTTGCCAAAGGTATCCATTCCATCTCCACCAGCCAGGAGTTGGTTGAGCCTGGCCTCGTGTTCTGTAAGCTCTCTTTGCGGCTGTGCCGTCTGTTGCGGGGGTTGAAAGGTCGGCTGAGGAGGCGGCGTAAATGTCTGCAAAGACTTTGGCTCGGGAATCGCTTGGAGTTGGTTGAGGGATGGCATGGTGGGAGCCCTCTGCGGTTGTTGTGGCTTGCTGAAGCCGGAAGCAAAGGGATTGTTGGATCCCGTCGGCATTGGTTTCATCGGAGATGGCGATGCACTCTGAGCCCGGCCAAAGGGGTTGTTACTGCCGGACTGGGGAGCAGGCTCGGGAGAGGCAGGAGGCTGCTGTTGGAACTGCTGTTGCTGCGCATAAGGATTGTTGAAGCCAGTAGGCTGGGGAGCAAACATTTGAGGTTGTTGCTGTTGCTGCTGTTGCTGCTGGCTGTAAGGATCTAAAAAGCCGGTTGGCTGAGCACCAAAGCCATTTTGATATCCAGTATTCTGGAAGCCAGTGTATTGCTGATTCTGGCCGTTGTTAAAGTTGTAGCCAGTCGGTTGGACAACCATGGGGCTCTGAGCGGCGGTTGGGTTACCAAACCAGTCAACATTATTGCCCTGCTGGTAGCCCATATTGAAGCCGGTTGCCTGCGGTTGCTGGCTCGTAGTTGGGAAGGGGTCGTCATCAAATAGAGACTGAGCGTTGCTCTCTTCAAGCTCGCGCTTCCTTCGTTCATCCTCTTCTCTGCTCAATTTGATTGCTTTTGCGAGGTCGTCGTCGTTATCCTCGCCGCCTCTGCGACTCTCCCGTTTCCTTCGGTCCTCCTCTTCTTGGAATTTGCTAGCCTCGAGTGCCAATCTGTACTCTGCGTCATCCTCGTCGCTTGCTCGTCTACGCGGGCGCCGCTGAGACGGCGACGGAACGGTGCCTTCTGGTGCAAACTCCTCAATGCCTGTAACCCGGGACTTCCACGTCTTCCGGTCGCTCCTTTCGGTACGCAGTCGCTCCTCGTCGAGTAGCAGAGCAGTCAGCTCCTTTGCGGCAACACGCACTGTTTCATACAAGTTAGTGCTCGCTGTGCGCGAGATTTCAAGGGGCAATGCGCACCATTTTGTCCAACATCTCGGCCATCCTCGTCGACGTACTGAAACTCGCGCAGTGTCTTGATTATGTAGACATTCTTGCGAGCCCAGGTCACGACAAGCTCGGAACCCTCGTGCAAACAATAGTCGAGAACCTTGAGAGCCTTCAAAACGTGTCGCCAGTTCTTGCCCTTGTCATTGAGACGCTTATCGAGCATATCCACAATGTCGTAGAACTCGGTTGACCTAAGATGACTGTCAGAACGGGTGGGCCCCTGATGCACGTCGCAGAAATGGAAGCATACGAGTTGTAGGTCAATTGAGCAATCTCGCTCATTTGAGTGCCGGTAGGACCCCATGGATCGTTGCTTGTTGCTGCGGGTGAGAACGGTCAGCGGAAGCTGCTCTGTCCACGAGGAGGCGACGTGAATCCGCGCAGTTAATTGATCACCATACCTTCGCGCACTTTGACCTGGACACTGGAGTAACCCTTGGTCACGTTCTTGACACTTCGCATCACCTTTGACATGATTGCGGTATTGATCGATGGACTGCGATATGGCGGTAATCGATCCGAAAAAAGGTGTCGTTAGGGGAAGAGTCGGAGGTTGCGAAACACGAGTTGCGGCGCACGCACGCTTTGGGGGAGGGATGTGTCGAAGAATGAATGAATGGGCTTATGACGATGATGGGGCGGGCGCAATTAAAAGGTCGCAAGCGGGCTAGGTACTGTAGGTAGTCTAGGTGTAAGGGACCTAGTAATCCTGTACTAATAAGCTTGGAAGTCCCAATGACTGGCACCTGCGCTCAGCCAGGATGATTTTATTTTTTTCCTTCTTGTCAACGCAAGAAGGAAGCGGTCCGTTTTACACAGAGTCTACACAGAGGACAAGTGATGGAAAATAAAAGGAAGCAGTAGATACCTAGTTTGAATCAAATTTCGATTCAGAACGAGGCACTTGCTGGCTGGGATGTGTTGCGGGTCGCTTTGACCTGCTTGACTCTGGGGTTGGGTTGATTGATTAATGTAAAAAAAAGGGCAGATGAAGGTCGGCTGAAAGGTCGGTCGGTCGGTCGGTCGATAGAGGGGTTCTGATCAATGTCTGGGCCCAGCAAAGCTTTCTCCCTTATTGGGGGGCGACCCTCTGTAATGTACCCACCATTTAGTGAGAGGACCAACTGGACTGTACCAGACAATGCAGGTACATTTCAATGTACATTGATGTAATTTTACACCTAACCGTTCAATGTTGCAACTTTAGGGCCTTTTCCCGTTTGGCACGCAGATGTATGATTCACTTTTTGCAAGACACGGTGAGAATTCAAGCCACCAGCTTCTAGCAGAGACTACGTAAATCATCAAATATATATGTGATATAAATTCTTACATGAAATCACTCAAGGAACATGATGGAATAAGCCCAGCATACTCGCTTGACACTGTCCAGTCCCTCTTTACAACCGTGAAGAAAAGGATCTTTGACCCAATGAGCTTTGCTGTACTAATGTACGTCGGGTTGCAATTGAGCACTAATTAGGTCCTGACCAGGGTGCATAATGTATGATATACACCTAATGATGGTCAAGTGTAATCCAGCCCCTACATAAATCATTCTATACACTTCAGAGCAAGATACGCAAACAGCTGAATTCCGAATCAAGCTACAAGTCAAACCCCAACAGAAAACCTCTAGGCTTCCATCTGGATAAGCAAGCCTAGAAGCTCGTCAGTGGCCATTCTGACGACGACCTGAAAGTCTGAGCCACTCTTGGTAGCCATGCGTGACGTAATGCTGCGCTATTCCAGCCTGTCAAAACCCTTCAGGGTTGCCCAACTTGCAGCTCGGCGCGATTCATGTCCAACAAGGTCCAGTCAAGCTTTGACTGTACCACCGACAAGACGTACACTTTGAGACTTTCTGCTCAACAGTTCCGTCGCTATCCGGATTTTATAGTCGGTACATTGGTATCCGAATGAACCGTATCTGAAGAAGCTGTGGAATCAGCGTCGTCTCTCCGTAGGCGGCCTCTACTGTTTGGCATTTTTGGATTGTAGGTTTTCATGATTTGTTATAGCCGCCAGAAATCTCCCAGGAGCTGTCGACCAAGTGGCTTGATAAGTTGCATCTTCGCTTTTATACTTGGACAACCAAATAAAACTCGACAAGAATCTACAATGGAAAGATGACGGCAGAAATGTGCACGATGCGTGGAATATATCAAATCGAGCGAGAAAGTGGTAATTGTCCTCTGGAAGGACCATCACCAGAATATGCCACCTTGTCCATGTCTGAAAATCAAGCTCGGAAGGCGGTTGAAAGGTTACTGACATCACACGGGAGCACAGGACATTGTAATGTTTAGAGTGAAACATACTCTTTAGGAGGTAGCACAAAAGGGACAACTACAAAAAAGATGTATTTAGCAGACAGAGATACAGCCCAACGCCCGCTCTTGAATATGGAAATGCTTGGCTGGCTGGCTAGCTTTTCCCCTTTGAAATCAAAACAATGTCAGGTTTGGAAGACACCAGTGGGGGTATGATATACAATGCGCAGGGAACAACCTATTCGTCTTCTCCCTCGGCGTCCTCATCTTCGTCTTCGTCTTCTTCTTCCTCCTCTTCTTCATCGTCGTCGTCGTCGTCGTTCTCATTGTCTACATCTGGAACATCTTCGTCGTCATCGGAATCCTCTGAAGAGTCTTCTTCATCCTCATCCTCTTCATCGTTCATTACAACGTCCACGTCCTTTTCTTCGCCAGCATCCTCCTCCTCTTCCTCTTCGTCGCTGTCACTGTCGCTGCCGCTACCGCTCTCTTCGGACACGTCATTAATTTTGACCTCGAAATGAGCAGCCGTCGTCTCGACCTCTTTGCCACTTTTGCCTCTTGGCTGCTTGACTTCGACAGTGCCGCCCAAACCAGCTTGCTCTGGATCATCCAAGGCGTCTGACGGTTTCTTCTGCCCCGCCCAAGCTGGAGGCAGACCGGGGCCACTATCTGCGTTGCCATAGTCGCTCTTCTTGGTGCCCTTGGGCCAGCGACCTGGGCCGCGTCCTGTGCCGCCCGTCTTGCGACGTGATCCACCACTTTTTGACCTGCTTGACGATTTTCTAGAACTACCACCCGCAGGCCGTTTCGGCCGAGGACGAGGTGCCGAGGCGGGCGGTCGCACCAGCACTGGTCGAGCAATGCCAGAGTTCAGCCGCCCCAGGCCTGGGCGCTTGGGATTGACGGGCGGAAACACTTCGAAACGGGTGGGAGGTATGTCTTTATACGGCGCCAACCAGTCAACCTCGGTCTCGACCTGGGCAGCAGCTTCGGCCGAATGATGCGATCGCAATTCTGCGTGCAATAGGTCGTTTCCTGCGTCCCCGCCATTCGTCTTGACCACTTCAGTCGATTCCATTACATTGACATCAATCGGTTCAGTCGATTCAAGCACCGTGGTCTCTCCTGGCATCAGCGCTTTGGGAATATTTCCTGCAACAGCAGCAAAGTCACCAGCGGCTATACCGCTTTCTGCAAGCATTTGGACAGTCTTGTTCTCCTCTTCGTCTTCCCGAGGCGCTATGGCATTGAGAGCTGGGCCCAGCTCAAAGTTTGTGGCATTGCTGCGACCCATGACGTACGGCGTCCAGGTCAGGACCTTGTCATTGAGCTTGACGTACTTTTTCGACTCCCACTTTTCAACGTACTCGTGACAGAATGCCAGATCAACCCGAAAGGCGTATAGCTTGGTCTGCGGGTCGCGAACAAGAGCCCGTAGCCCTTCAAGTGCGGAAATGACATCGTCAGGCATCATGCCCGTGTCGTCAGATATCTTTCTTATGCTGAGACATGTTCTTGCCCCTCGGTCTTCGGGCGTGTGCTCGAGTAGATATTTGCACATGATCAATCGCCAGTAGTTGCGATACGACACCAAGCCCATGTCCGAAAGTGGCTTCTCTGGCGATCCAGTCTTTTGCTCCGCCCGCGTAAGAAGGTAGGAAAAGTCAATGAGCAAGTGGCCGTAGCCTTTGCGTTGATGTATCGGCAATGTCAAGATACAGCTCACATTGTTTTGACTGCTCGCTCGTTTCTCCTTGGAAAAGTAGCCGACAAAATGGTAGCCATTTTCGTCGTATTCGCACAAGACGTAGAATAGAAACGGTTCAACATCATAGTACAGTGTTTTCGAGCCGAGAAACAGCTTTGCGAGGAGGCAGAGATTCTGACAATAGACTGGATTCTTTCGGCCATCGACCTCGAAGAATGAAATAGAGCCTTGCCGGTAAATCTCATCGCCGGGTGGGTGTTTGGCGGGGCATTTGAGCTTATGCCGCCATGCCACATAATCCGAGTTCATGTACTTGAGACAGAACTCACAAATGTAGAGTACGCGGTTTCGGCTGTACTCTTCAGGATAGGGAGCTGCATACCATGTGTCAATCTCCCAGCCGCCAAATTCGATACACTCGATTTGACTCGCCGGGCCACTGGAGGCCTTTTTGGACTTTTTCAGGGAAACAGACTCCATCTCGGCTTGCATGGCTAGTATTCGGACACGCCATTCCTCGTCCGCCTTTTGTTTTGCCTCGTCAAAGCGTCTCCTATCGTCTTTGGTGGGCATTGTCTTGGACGTATCGGCTTCGGCCTCGGTCAGGATTCCGCCATAGGGCTTTCCCTTGAGCTCGTCTGTCTCTTTATCGTAGAATGAGTAGAAAGGTTGGGTATAACTTGATGGCATCAGAGATGCTACAGGTGGTTGGGCAACCGCTGCGGTTGCTCTTACAGTGGAGCGTGCTGGTCGAGATGTGCCTGATCGAGCTGCGCGCTTCTTGGGCTGTGGTTCCTTGGAGAGAATCTTTCGAAGCGCTGGCGGCGCAACTTGCATTCGGAGCAAAAGGGTGTTTCGAGAGTTTTTCGAGATTGTGCACTTTAACGGGGGACTAGAAGCTTTCAATCTGAGAGACCGCGAAGAGCGCGGCCGTGTCGGCTCTTCTGCGCCCGTGGTTGTATCGTCTCGCGAGTCATCATTATTTGACCCGTCAGAGGTGTTTCTTCGGCGCTTTCGGAGCGACATGGCCTCGTCCGCGTCGGCAGCAGAAGAGGTTTTTCGTTTTCGCAGCACTCGAGAGCCATCCATGGGGTCCTCATCGAGAACAAGCTGATTAAACACGGAATGGGAGTCTGGTTTATTCAACGCGCGTTGAGGTGGCAGCAGATCGCGTGCAATCTTTGATGCCGTAGAGCGCCGCGAGGTAGCCGGGGACACTTCGCCGTCCTGGGGCTCTTCATTAGAATTTGCCGCAGCCGTCGTGAGCTCGGCTTCAGACTCTGACTCGGAATCACCCCCTTTGCACTCTGGGCACTTCCATCCGGCCTCATCTGTGAAAATAAATAAGTTGACTGCGTTTGCATGGAATTTGAGAATATCTTACCCGGTTTGTGATCGAGCGCCCCTGCATCTCGAGCACATTGCTGGTGGGCTACGAGGAGAGCTTGTCAGTAGTGTTACGTGGGCCGAGGCAGAAACAGGCCGCCAGACTTACAGTGTTCACCACAGCCTTTGCAAACGAGGAACACCTCAAACTCCTCGCCAGGGTCGTTTTCTTCATCCTTCTTACAGAAGATACACAGATTTGCAACTTCGGCTTCCGAGTCTTCTTCGTCTTCGTCATCTTCGTTCTCGGCTCCAGCTGCCCATTCATCAGCAGACTCTCGATCGCTGCCAGCAGAAGCAAAGCTCGCATCGTCGCCGCTGTCGCTTTCGTCTTCGTCCGTCTCGCCAGGCTTGATCTTGACGGCACCAACACCTTCGGCCTCATCCTCCTCGTCATCGTCGCCGTCCTCGTCTTCATCTTCATCATCTTCCTCGTCCGCACTAGGAGCATCAGTATCGCCGACCGGTGGCATCAGCTCATCAACTTCGCCCTCGGCATCTTTATCCGACACTTGATCTGCATCATGGACGGCCTCGACCCCATCCCCGACCCCGTTATCGATATTTTGTTTTTCTTGTACTCGGTCATCGGCATCCTGTGTCTGGCCTGGATTTTCTGCTGCATTCTCGTGATCAAGTGGATGCTTGTCGTGCTCTGTGAGCATATTTCTATCCAGTCGGTCGTCTCCATGTTGTACTTTGGGCCGGTAGTCATCATTTGTTGGCTCTGCTGGCACACTGGCATTTTCGACTTGAACGACTTGGCTTGACTGGTTGCCTTGGCCGTTGCGGTCGGATTGTGGCTCTGAAGCTGTATCAATGTCCATCGCCTCGGGTACATCCTCATCTTCCTCATCAAACTCGGCGTCTCCTTCTGATAATATGACACTTTGTTGGAGCTCTTCCTGAGCCGACTGCGCGTTGGCCATGTTGAGCAATCGGGGGCGCCAGGCAGGTTGGTGGCGACAAGAATGATTGCGATGCGGCGCTGAGTGCGAGTTCTATGCAGGGTTGTAATGGGGCGACGGCGGGGGAAAGCACTCTGAAATGTGCAGTCGCCTGGTGAAAATCTGTTAATCCGGTCGCATACCTCGTGCAGGTATAAACTTAGATCGACTGGTTCTCTATTCCCAGGTCGCGCGAATGGAAGCTTTCATCGAGGGGCGCAAAAGGCATTTGGGCGCAAGGGAACGGATCGGCTCGCAAGGTAGCTGCTCAACGCGCCACGGTTCGGCACAGACTGGTAATGTGGTAGCCTTAATACTGAGTGGCGCCGACTAGATACAATCGGCGCGTGAATACAGCATCACATTGGCAAAGATTGAATGGTTCAAGGTGCAATAAAGCAGAAAACAAATTCACAGCGACCCCTTGGCGACGGCACGAGTGCGAAGCGTTGAAGTTACCACCACTGTTGGTTTGCATGGAAGCTACCGATTGGTCGAGATCCTGGAAAGCCCCAATGTGGGAGAACCATTAGTCACAATTTTGGAGCAGATCGTACTATTTGAATTATGCATGCACAACTCTGGATGGGCCGTTTTATGCGCACCTAGCTATTCACAAACTCTTTACGCCTCAGGCATCCACCAAGCTCCATTCTCGGGATTGGGTCGACTGTCGCAGAACGTCAATTGACCTATTGCGAGACTTTGATAACCAATTGCGACCACAACTCCGGCAGGCATTGAGTAAGTGACCCTTTTGCAAGACCATAAGGTCTTTCTACTCGTCTTGCTGACACAAGGTCATGTAGTTGCGAACGTACGACCGCCGCAATGCCCGTCCCTTTCGAAGCCCTGATTCCCTATGGAATCATCCTAGCCGTAAGCTTTCCACCGACCCAACTACGCGTAGTCTCTTGACGGAAACGGCATACTGAACAGCCTGGTAGATGTTTGGCGCCACCGGTGCTGGCATGTCCAAGATCAAGCACATGCAAAACGGTGGCAAGCGTGCACGACGATCGATCGATCAGTGGGACAGAGTAAGGACGCACGACCTAGTATACGCCGCAATGAGAGGCCAGGCTGACTGGAGGGATAGCAAATGATGGACCGTGACCGAAGATTGACCGGCTACTTGAGAGGACAGTCGGACCATGCATTGGCACCAGTAGGCTTTGAGCTGAACAACCCATGGAGGGTAAGTTGTGGATTGCGGCAAGACGACGACCACCGTGGACTAATGACGTGTATAGGTCGAGAAGAGAATGTCGTAAAAGATGTTTGCGAATGGGAAAGGAGTGAAATAGACACCGGGAGCAAAGACATCTGGACAGTTCATTGTACAAAAGCCAATCAATACAGCATTCATCAAGTTCAGTCGCAAAGTTTACAAAGTGGCATATTTTGACATGGTCTTGACACCATGCATTATTCAAGAAACATTACTGCTGGGGTTTCTGCTGGATTTATTTTCTGGCATCTATTCATATACTAATCTCGGGGCGGTTCTTGTTCAGTCCATCGAGCAGCATGCAGGCTTGGCAGAGCTTTTGGCTTGACATGTAACCGCAGCGTTCGCATGTGCCCAGTTTCTGCTTCGGCCTCAGTGGTACACTGACGCTGTTTCCGGCTGGGCCAGTTATGTTTTGCTTTGACCGGTCATGTCGTTGAGCTGGAGCCGGAGCCTTTGGCACAGTCACCTCCGTCTCGAGATCTGCTTCTTCAGCCTTTTCGTTTTCACGCAGCTGCTTCTCCATGATGGCCATTTCACCACCAGCGCCCCGACCAACAGCTGAACCACAGCCGCCCACGCTTTCTTCCTCTGCTGCCTTTGCAGCCGTGGCCGTCTTTCCTTTACAACCGCAGGCATCTGCTGCTTGGCCCGGGACTAACCTTGCCATGTCCTCGCCACTCCGGACGACGTCTAGAATTGCACTGGGTCTGACCTTTTCGAGGTTCTTGATTAAACTCCTAGCACTCCCTCGAAAGGCCTCGGGGCTGTACAGGCACTCGGTGCTAAAGTAGTCGAGCTTTTTGTGGTGTGCATACAGCACAATTTCCTTTTCGTATGCGTACTTCAAGGGCTTGCTTCTCTTGACCTCACTTGCATCGCTGCCAGTGACGATACTGGTGCTCCTCGAGAGTCTGGACAAGTCTCCACGTAAAAGATTCATCAATATCGTCTCGGCCACATCATCAGCATTGTGGCCAGTCACGACGTGCTTGATCCCCAGCATCTTGGAACCCCGATCAAGAGCCTGCCTTCTAAACACACCACAATATGTGCAGTTGCCCTTTTTACCAATAGTCTCCACGACTTGGTCCATGGTCCAGCCGTAGAGTTCATCGTAGCCAACAATCTTGAGAGGCATGTCGTACTGTACAGCGTTGCGTTTAACCGTTTCCAACGAGTCATCTCGATAGCCCTTGATACCCTCGTCAATGCTTAGTAGCACCAGGTCTAGGCCATAGTCGTAGCGCTCATTCAAAGTCTTTAACACGGATGCTAGCACCGTAGAGTCTTTACCACCAGAAGCGCCTATGGCGACCTTTTCGCCAGGGTAGAACAGTCTTGACGAAGTAATGGTGTGGTGAACTTCATCTTCGAATATCTGGATGAAGCAAGACTTGCAGAGTTTCTGGTGGTTCTTGGGCCGCTTGATCATGGCGCGCTGCGTCTTGCAGATTGCGCAAAGAGCCGGCGCCATCTTGAGGATCTGTTAATTCCAGTTGGATACAAAATATCAAGCAGAGTCGAACACTTGAAAAAGAACAAGATTTGTATTGCGCAAGTTTTCTCGTTGCCTTGCTGATACTGAGTCAACCCAACATTGAAATCTTTACTGAGCAAGCGGCGACATCCCACCATCAAGGTACGTACTCATCCGAGGGGCATATGCACTAGTCTTGATTGAGCACAAGCTTTTACGCTAGGCGACCGAGAATTATCCGCTCCTCACTGGATTCCCCCAAACCCTACTACGTGCACCACAAATTCATTTCGCGGCCTATCGAGACGAACTTTTTTTTCCTTCCTTTGTACTCCAGCGGCCCGGTCGAACAACAACCCAACAGCCAACGACCACACGACAAACATTCACCATGGTAAGCACACGATAATCCTCCTATCGACGATGCGTCTTGCGCATTCGACTACTTTTCGCCAAATGATGGCGCTCGTTGGTTCGAGCTGTCGGAATTTTATTCCGCTTGTTGCTCTCGGGCACAAGTGAAGATTTGGCTTGAGATATCGTGGGTGTGCTGAGAAATGCCACCATATCACGTTTCTCTTTAGAGATCAAGAAAGACCACAGTCAATGGAACAAATTGCTGATGTCTTCCTTTCTCAATGATAGCCTCCCAAGTCTGGTAAGAAGGCCGCCCCGGCCCCGTTCCCTTCCTCGAAGGCGGGTAAGAAGGCTCCCAAGGTAAGTCGTGTTCATGAATATCCCATTGCATGTGCGTGGTTTGGCTGACGTTTGACAAGAACCCTCTCATCGAGAAGCGCCCCCGCAACTTCGGTATCGGCCAGGACATCCAGCCCAAGCGCAACCTTTCGCGCATGGTGAAGTGGCCCGAGTACGTCCTGCTCCAGCGCCAGCGCAAGATCCTCAACCTGCGCCTGAAGGTTCCCCCTGCCATCTCGCAGTTCCAGCACGTCCTGGACCGCAACACTGCCGCCCAGGCCTTCAAGCTCCTCAACAAGTACCGCCCTGAGACCAAGGCCGAGAAGAAGGAGCGTCTTACCAAGGAGGCTACCGCCATCAAGGAGGGCAAGAAGAAGGAGGACGTCTCCAAGAAGCCCTACACCGTCAAGTACGGTCTCAACCACGTCGTTGGCCTGATTGAGAACAAGAAGGCTTCCCTCGTCCTGATCCCCAACGATGTCGACCCCATTGAGCTCGTCATCTTCCTGCCCGCTCTCTGCCGCAAGATGGGTGTCCCCTACGCCATCATCAAGGGTAAGGCCCGTCTCGGTACCGTGGTCCACAAGAAGACCGCTGCCGTCCTGGCCCTGACCGAGGTCCGCTCCGAGGACAAGTCTGAGCTCTCCAAGCTCGTCACCGCCGTCAAGGACGGCTACCTTGCCAACTCTGAGAGCGCTCGCCGCACCTGGGGTGGTGGTATCATGGGCGCCAAGGCCCAGAAGCGTGAGGAGAAGAAGCAGAAGGCTCTCGATGCCGCCATCAAGGTTTAAGGGATTGAGGCTTGTTCCACGGGATAAGGAGTTATGAATCTGAATCAATTGCACAGTTCGGCGTTGGAGGGGTAAAATGGAATACCAAATAATGGATTTGCATGACACCTACTCCTACTACTCATCATGTCCCCAAGCAGGTTCAGTGAATGTGAATAGGACAAATGCCAAGGCCAAAAATGAAGAGAATGAATCAAGCCATGCCGCGAAACTTATCTGCTACTGTTGAACGCATGCTGTAAAAGGGTCAATTACCCACCATCAATGCCAGACCATGGTTATATACTTTGTAAAGTTGCAATTGAACAAAGGATAAATCACACAAGCGCATTCATACATGAACACTGTGGCATATTACACGGGGTTGATACTTTCAAGGTCACATAATTATCCAGCATTATACAAAATACATTTATAAAAATGGACAAGTTTTTCTCTCTTTCTTTATGCCGGCTGGGCCTTGGACACATTTTAGTTTTGCCCTTGGCTGCGACTTGCCAATCAATAATAAGCTGACGAGCCAATAGATGAAATAGTCTGGTGTGTGTGCGCTTTGTGCAACGGCTTGGGTGGAACTCAACCATTCATCGGAGAGTTGGAGGCGAAACGCTAAGAGGCTTGTCATACAGTTGAACCAAACAATACTTGTCCCGGGCTGATTCCTCGGCATGCTGGGCATTTTGCTTTGGGGGGGGGGAAAAGAGCAGAGAGGAAAGAGAAACCACAAGCTTGACCACGGCTCATGATTTACGGTTAAGTTTTGTCTGAAGCGTGTGAAGCCGTATGCCCGCTTGGCGATCAGGAGGGACGAGGGGGGTGGAGAGGGAGTGTGACCGGTACGAAAAATGTCCAGTGTCAGGTTATCAGCACTGCTCAACGACAATATTAATTTCGGCATCCTGTATCCTTCCAAGAATCGGGGGCATTTCATGGAGGACCTATAGCAAGTCATGTGTATGCTCGAGAAGGTATTCTTCATGATTGGGGTTTTGCAAGCATGGAGCTGATCAGTGATGAGCACAAGGTATCTCTGACAGCCAAGTTTCATCCCACGTCCACGTACCGTGTGGCCCCCAGTCGAGGTTCGTCCTTTTTTGCCCAGCCTCGGGATATTAGACTCGAGATTATGGGTGTGTCAATAGATGAATGTCTACTGCAGTGCAAAAGTCCGGAGGTCAGGGTATCACTCAACAAGTCAGGGAGTTGGATGAGGCCCTCTCTTGACCCTTTTTCCCCCGTGGGTTCAGCGAGACCTGTACCGCTACTCTGACATTGTCGAGTTCCGTTTGTCGAGGACTTTTGCTTTGCATATACTATAGTTATTATCGCCGTCTCGTGGCAAAATCATTTCCCGTCTTTCCCTTCCTCGCTTGGAAAATCCATTTCAGACCTATATAGGTATCCAACTGCTTACCAGACATAGGCTTGTCTTCTCACCGACTTGCTTTGCATTAGTCTGCCCTCGGAAAGAAGGTCTTGGGCGCGGGATTCGCTAAGACGAGTCAATCAACGGGGGAATCCCACAAGCACGCACTCGACGGTTTTTTTTCTTTACAAGTCTTGGAAACTGTTCACACACTGCGCGCCATCATCTGCAGGTCGGTCTAATCTTGGTACCGGTGCTTGTAGAATCCTCCGGGCTCGGCGGAAAGTAGCACACTGAAAGTGTCGCTACACTATTCAAAAGTTACTCTTGTCCCTTTCTTGCTCGGTATACATTCAATTCTCTTGATTACACGACAGTCGTTCTCTATATACGAAACAAAGATGCCTCGTAAGTTGCCCCCCAACAAACAAACAATGTTTTTAAGTTTGAACCCGACAATTCGTTAGCGAGTGAGATCTCCCCGCATAGATCTCGCATCTTTGTGGCAGTTTTTGTGGAGGGGATCTCCAAAAATTACCGCTTTGAATAAGAAATCGTACGATTTCTCGAGCACCCAAGACAAGGGATTCACAGTACCATGTGCTAACCAAGAACCGCGACTGCGACTCTAGAAGATACAAGGGATCCCTTTACCTATGCGCTGTCGTCCAACCAAGCATGGGCAGGTTATAAGAATCATCAGAACCCAGACTTTTTTCCCAGGTTGGCTGCTGGCCAGAGTCCGTCTATCCGTACGTATCCATTGTCATTTCATCTTGTACCTGTATACTCTGTTTTGTACAGGGAAGCTAGAGAAGGAGGCTTGCCCTAGATGTGATTGTTAGTGGTCAAAAAAGCAGAATGGAGATATGCAATGCAAGGACGTTTTTTCTTGGAGATCAAGTACAAAAGGCTAATACTCGATTGGGGGGACGATATAGTCTGGCTAGGTTGCTCCGATTCGCGCTGCCCCGAGACGACGATCCTGGGGTTACAACCGGGCGACGTGTTTGTGCATCGCAACATTGCCAACATTATTTCGCCGACCGACATCAACACGGCGGCCGTGATTGAATACGCCGTCGCCTTTCTCAAGGTCAAGCACGTGGTCCTCTGCGGCCACACGGCCTGCGGAGGTGCCGCCGCCGCCCTGGATGATGGCCGCCTCGGCGGTGTCCTCGACTACTGGCTCACTCCCCTCAAGGCTGTCCGCAACGCCAATGCCGAGGAGCTGGGCCGCATCCGGGACGACAAGGAGCGCGCGATCCGCATTGCCGAGATGAATGTCGAGGCGGGCGTCAAGGTACTCATGGCCAATGCCACCATTGCCGAGCATATTCGGGATCGAGGACTGCAGGTTCACGGTACGATTTTTGATATTGCCAGCGGTCGAATCAAAGATCTCGGCCATGGCACAGTCAAACCCAGCAAGACTGCATTTGGTGATTTCGGTGCAGGAGAAGGTGAGATTATTAGGGGCAAGCATGCGACTTTGGTGTTTAGGAACGATGGTGCGGCCATGGAGGCTCGGTAAATGCAAGGATTCGTTTCAATGGGCTACAGCGGCAAATGGTGTTCCAAGGTACGGCGTTGTCAAGTCTAGGCGCAAAAGCAACATTCAGTATGCGCTGCAGGAGTTTTGGGTAGTTTTTCATGGCACAAGATCAGACTATATGCTCCAGAGGTTTGAGGGTTCTTGTATGGTATTCTAAAGTCTGACTACCTTACAGAATAGAATGTCAATCCAATACAAGACCGACACATAACACCCATAAGCCAAGTAAGAACGGGCCAAGGGGTATAATGCAGATCCACGGCTCACCGTTGAGCGACTACCCACAATCACATGTGTTCCTGAACTGATTTTACCTTACTGGCTGATTTCTGCAATTCCCGTTATTAGATATTTGACTTTATTGGCTTTGGCAGAGGTAAAGAAGTGTTATAATCCGGGTTTAGTGCTTGCATGGCTTGTACAATCCCTCTATATATTACCTAGACGTAACTCTGGAGACTGCATGCAGGGCTTGTGTTGCCCCTCTATACGCCTACGTCACAGTGGACTCTGACCTATGGAGGGGTTGGATCAGCGATGGAGGGGTCCTGTTCAATTGGATGTAACCGCCAACATTCCAATCCTTCTTGCAACATCATCGCGTCCAATCTTCAAGCCAAGACATGGCTTCATGTGTACAAGCAATTTTGTCAAATCAGAATGGGCAGTCCTGCATGCTTTTTGATGACGTGCGGCCTTGGCTCTCGCGAGAATAGAGTCAATATCATAAAGCCCCAGATTCCTTGCATTGCCAAGAGACGATGTTGGGGGGAGCTCCATTCAAGATGACCGCTTTAGGGTTCGAGGGCTGGGTGAGATAAAGATCTGACAGCGCGATCGACTTTTTGGTTTGATTTCTTCTGGATTGCAAACAATTCTAGTCGCAATACTCGATTGGTCATCCTTTGTTTGACCTCGGCAGCCTCTGGAAGAAATTCATTCATTTGAATCGGATTACAAATCTCCCCAGAGATATAAATCTTCAGACAAGCTTCCAATGCTTCTCGGTCTTGCAAAGTACTCGACGCCCTGGTATTAGAATCACGTCATGTCTCTGGCGGTTCTTTCGGACGAGGATATCCGCAGCCTTCTCGAGTCGTTGACTCGCGAAGACGCCGAATCACTCGCGCACTCGCTGAAATGCGCACTTCACGAGTACTCGACGGGTACACAGTCGATCGAGGCCGGCCTGATCCACCAGCCGGACAGGACCACTATCCACTCCAATACTACGAATGCGACGACCATGTTCATGCCCTCGTGTAGCACTGCAGGACACGGAGTAAAAGGCAAGCATCTACCTAGCTGTTGTCTCCTTTATTCGGCTGGACATGACCAGGACTAACTCTGAGGACTCAATAGTCATGACGGCTTCTTCGCCAGACACGGACCCATCCCAACCAAGAATAAAACCCACCGGTTCTTTAACCCTGTATTCTCCGCTGGGCACACCGATTGGCTTTCTTCATGCCCAGACTTTGACGGCCTTTCGAACTGCACTCGCTTCGTCATGCCTACTGCAGAAGCGCCAACATGTACGAACTCTTACCGTCTTTGGCTCCGGTCTACAGGCGTACTGGCACATTCGACTGGCGCTGATGCTGAGGGGGCCCACGATCCGGACCATCAATGTCATCAATCGCCGCTTTAGTGAGAATGCCAGGCACATTCTACAAAAGTTTTATGCGGTCCCCCCAGAAGTCAAGCAGAGGGAGGGTTGGGAGAATGCCCAATTCAGTGTTCTGACGCCGGGATACGGAGAGTTTAATCGTCTGCTCAAGGACCATGTCAGGTCAGCCGACGTTATATACTGCACTACGCCCAGTATGGATCCGCTGTTTGAGGCCAGTATACTCACCAGCCACGAGGGTAGACGGCGAGGAAGGCTGATTGTGGCCATTGGCAGCTTTACGCCCGAGATGCGGGAGCTACCGCGAGAATTGCTTGAACAGGCAGTCAAGACTCACGGTCACGGAGTGCATCTCCACAAACATGCTGTCGAAGGCGGCGTCATTATTGTTGACACGCTGGATGGGGCTCTGAGGGATGCCGGTGAAGTCATTGAGGCGCGTCTAGAGCCAAATCAGCTTGTCGAGTGAGTCTTACCCCTTATTACGGCCCGATAGTGTCCCATTGGGGAAGGAAAATATTGACATTTCATAGACTTGGCGAACTGGCCATGATTCACAAGGCTCGCATGGTAGAAGAGGAGGAATCCATTGCTTCAGAATCTACGCGTGGCTCAACCGACATGTCTTCGGATCTCGATGCTCTTTCACTAGGTACCACTGGAAGCTCTGCCATGTCGACCGTTTACGGATCGACGAATTCCAAAGAAGAGGGCTCTTCCAACCGGTCCTCGTCGAGACCTTCCAGTCCGTCCCGCTCGCAGAGCGGCAGCTTTTTCCACAAGAGGCGGAATTCCAGCCAAGCATCGGTCGACGCTGCCAAGCAAAAGCGCGACGATCATTTGGCCAGGTGGCTCACGGCGGGCAATGTGATTTACAAGAGTGTCGGACTTGGTTTGATGGATCTTGTGGTGGGAATGGACATTATCAAGCTGGCCAAGGATCGAGGTGTAGGGGGCCATTTGGAGAATTTCTCATAGGCAGAGGATTGTTCTCCTTTGGCTCCCATTCTGGACTGAAATCATGGGCCTGCAGAAATTGAATGATAGAACAATCAAATGTCGTGGTCACTTTACAACCGATGCGCATACCAATGGTGTGAGATGGTGTCTATTAAAAATCTCAACGCACAAAGTTCAATACCATGGATTGCTATGCATTCTTTTATCCATATTCAATGCCGTTGGTTATAAAACACTTGTGATGATGGAATATACTACTCGGCAACCCAAACAGCAGCCATACCCATACCAGTACCAACACACATACTCGTGACACCAACCTTTTCTCCACGCCTCCTCAGCTCGTAGAGCAATGTGCTGACCTGTCGGGCACCGGTGCAACCAAGAGGGTGGCCAAAAGCAATGGCACCACCCTTGGGGTTGATCTTGGCCATGTCGAGGCCGAGCTCATTGGCGCACCACAGGCACTGGCTGGCAAAGGCCTCGTTGATCTCGAAAATGTCCACATCGTCCTTGGTGATGCCCGCCTTTTCAAAGACGGCAGGGATGGCCTTCCAGGGGCCGATACCCATGAGCAAGGGCTTGACGCCGACAATAGAGGCGGCGACGTACTTGCCCAAAATGGTCTGACCGAGACGCTCGGCCGTGGAGCGCTTCATCATGAGCACAGCAGCGGCGCCGTCCGAGATTTGCGAGGCGTTACCGGCGTGGATGGAGCCGCCCTTGGCAAAGGCGCCCTTCATCTTGCCGAGCGACTCCTTGGTCACACCGGCGCGCACGCCGTCATCCTTGGAAATGGTTACCGTCTTGGTCTCGCCCGACTTGGGGTCCTCTACTTGGACCGTCAGCGGGTGGATCTCCTCGTCAAACAGGCCGGCCTCCTGGGCCTTGGTGGCCTTGTAGTACGACGATGCCGCGAATGCGTCTTGGTCTGCGCGGCTAATGTTGCGGTCTGCCGCCATTTGCTCCGACAGCACGCCCATGGGCACCTTGCAGTTGGCCGACTCGGGGTGCGACTCGAGGAGCTCGGAGAACTCGCTTACGGCAGCAGGACTATTGGAAAAGGCACATGTCAGTTGCGTGGTCCGTTACAAAAGATGAGACACGAAGAGATTATATTCACATACCCGTACTGTGTGCTCATGCTCTCGACACCGGCACCGACACCAATCTCAATCATGCCGCTCTTGATCTGGTTGGCGACATCAATGCAGGCCTGCAGACCGCTCGAGCACTGACGGTTGAGGGTGCGGACGGCCGTGGTCTCGGGGAAGCCGGCGACGAGGGCAGCTGCGCGCATCTCGGTGGCACCGCCTCCGGGGGCCAGCACCTCACCGACGCAGACATCCTCGACGAGCGACGGGTCAATCTTGGACCGCTCAATCAGGCCCTTGAGGGCGCCGGCCATCAAATCAGCTGCTGCCGTGTCCTTGAAGCCACCCTTGCCGCCCTTTGTGAATGCGGTACGAAGACATGCCGTTACGACAATCTGTAAAGGAGCCGTGAGGGTTAGTTTCTAATGCATGGTATTGATGCGCATATCTGGACGGATGAAAGAGAAAAGGGCGGTGGATATTGCTGCAACGTACATCATCAGGGCTCTTGATCAAAAGGCGCTCCTTTGCTGACTTTGAGCCAGCAACCTGGTTGGAGATTTGTTGTAATCTGTCGGCGGCTGTAGTGTGTGTCTGGGTCAGCATGTGATGGGATCGCCGTGGTCGCAGCAGCAAGCAAGGGAGACTCGACTTGCGACGCGGTTGTGTTTGCTGTAGGCGGGCTCACTACTTACCACCCATTTTGTCTATTGTGAGGTATTCTTGCTCCTTCTAAACAAACAAGTAATTATGAATTGTTAGAGAAAAGGAGACAGATGATGGGAAAATGGGAGAAGGAGAGAAAAGTAGACATGCGACGACGACGACGCCGAGCTTGTTAAGAAGACAGACAGACAATGGGCATCTGGCCTGCATCCTCCCCACATTGAACCTCGGAACCTTTGGAGCTTTAAGCGATGATCCCTGTCGGAGCTGACATCAGTCCCCTAGCATTTCTTTCCCCAGAGGCCGGGGCACATGCTCAACGCTAAGACCGGCCCAGAGGCTTAGCGTCGGCCACCCATTAGCGTTTCTTCACATGTGAGAGGTTCCAAGTTGCAAGTCATGCGCATACACAAGTTGTCATACTCGAGTAGACGTACATTAGACACTCTTTCATGGATTGGGGACAAGTGATGAAAGTATAGTGCAACGAATAAATCAAGAGCATCAACTTACCACACATGTAGTCAAAAGTTGCTCGATATACGTTGTACCTGGGCAATACAGCAACCAGAGAGCAGGCATGTTGTATACCAAGTTGCATAATTCTATTACATATAGACCAGAAACCCCCCAGAAAGGCAGAAACTATATATTCCTCTTGTACAAAATTCAGAGGTATGGTTCTCTACTCGCGAGTGAGAGTAATGCGTACGGTCCCTCCATCGCGAGGTCTCAGCAATACTTTCACCAGCTCAGCAGGTTCCAAGATATGAACGGGCAGAACCGTGTCATTCTTTTTCGGGACCTTGATCCTGCCACCTTTGGGTGCCTCGATATCAAACTGCAGGACGATGAGGGCGACCAAGCTGAGTATCTCGGACATGGCAAAATGACGGCCAGGGCAGAGAGTCTTTCCTCCGCCAAAGGCCCGAAAGGCTGCCGGGTGAAACTGTCGTTCCTTTCGTCTCTCGGATTCCAACCCGTCATGGCCGAGGAAACGAGTCGGGTCGAATTCGTACACATTCGAACCCCAGATTGACGGGTCGGCATGAATAACGCCGCCAGCTATCTGGACAATTGATCCCTTTGCTAGATACCAGCGGTCTGCGAGAATGGTTGTCTGCTTGACCATGCGTATGCTGTTGTTGTCCGAGTTGAGCCTCAGACATTCTCGGTATACTGCTACCAGGAGCGGACAATTATTTCGGAGGTCATCAATGGCCAGAGTATTAGGGCCTGCCTCTTTTCCCTTGATCATGACGTTTTGTAGCTCGCCGCGAACACCAGCAAGCAGATCTGGATTTGCAAATATCTGCAAGACAATCCAGAACGTCGAGGTCGTTGCATTGACTATACCCGCAAACAAGAAGGAAAGTTCTTCTCGTGCGGCCGTTTGCAATGTCCAGCCATGTTTGAGGGCTATTCTCACCCGCTCCTGTATGATTTTCGATCCCGTCTTGTACGTGCCGCTCTCGAGGTATTCAGCAAGCGCCGCCACGAGCTTTTCTCTTCCTCTCCACGCTCTCGGAGCCGTTATAGCGGGTAGGACATTAAAAAGGAGCAGGCCGAGCCCGTGGTCAAAGTCCCAGAATGCCTCGACGAGTCCAGGATTGCGAGCGATTGGATTGTCGGGGCCGTACAGATACTTTGCCGTTGAAATGGAAACGAGGCGCTGTACCCAGCCCAAAAGATCAACTGTGTCGGTTTGGCTGACTTTCAAACTGATCATGTTTTTGCAATGTTCAACCTCGATTTTCATCTCCCGTACCGCCTCCAAAGTCAGTTGGCCGAGATAATCCCCCGGGCCAAGCCACGCGTACGTCATTTCTTGAATCTCGGACAGAAAACCTCCTGTCTCGCCGGGTCCGGGGTCCAGGTTCTTGCTAGCAATCGCCTTGGTGGCCTTGTCGAGTCCAAAAACCCTCTCCGTCACTTCTGGGATAATAGGGGTAAAAGACAGGGCTCTCGACGACCGCTGGACCGCTGCCGCCAACGATGCGTCCGTCACAATGTAGATGCGCGAGTTGGGCACGGCGAGGGTAAAGATGGGCTTCTTTGAGTGTTCAAGCCCGAGCTCTTTGATGTAGCGGCCGCCCTGGAGAACCATGCCCAGCAAATGGCCAACGTAAGGGATCCCCGATGGGATAACGGGTGGTTCGCGTGCATCATGAGGCCGAGTCGAGAACCAGTAAATGGCTGTATAGACCGTGATGAAGCCGGCAAGAAGCCATGGAGGCAATAGCAGCATGTTGAGCGACATTATTGAGGACCCTTGGCTCGCCGAGGCAAGCCAAACAGTCGGGTATATCGGGACATGAAAGGTCCTTAGTTATGCCAAATCAGTCATGAGGCCAGATTTCGAGATTAGCCACAGTTGTAGCTGCCGAGATTTGACTGTAGTCGCCGTTGAGAAATCAAAAGCTTCTTGATAATTCTTGTACCCTCAAGTTACAACATGTACAAGGTTCTGTTCGAGTTCAGGTAATGGGAGGATGGAATCCGAGTCTGCTGTTTAATGTCCCAAAGAGTTGCAATTATCAGAGACATCCCTCACCAAGGAGGACGAGGGGTTGTTGATGGAGGTCATCTCCAAATCAAATGCCGTCTCTTGTCAAGGTTCAGGGGTTTACAGCGGCAAAACACAAATTGACCAATCATCAATCATAATTATCTCGATCAGTGGGAGGCGGCGACAAGTTTGGTATAAATTCCTTGGATCTCTTTTCTCTCTGCCGATTGGCAAAATCCGGAATAACGATCAAGACGTCGTATTCAACATTTCTTGGAGGTCATGAAAAGGCTGTTAATCACGTCGATTGAACCTAGTCTACCAGTCTTTTGGGATAATGTCGAATCGAAATGATAGTTTTGATACAAGATACTTGGAATGATGGCAATGTCTGAAAACTCCGAAGAGACAGATTCGTGCCATGTCATGATAATGACAACAAGCATCTGACACACAAGCTCATGTCTTGTGGAAATAGGAAAGGCTATTACGGGCAAAGAAACAAGAAATGTGATACAAATTGCTTTCGTCAAGATTACCTAACATTCATCCCACTTTGGAATTATTGTGTTTGCTGTGCAGATCGAGGATGAGCATATCACGGAGTGGCCGTGCATCAAGGTCAATATGACGAACCACAAAACCCATGTTACCAGTCCTGGGAGCCATGCTCACACCGGTAAGACGGTTACGCAAACTACTGCCCGCATGGGCGTCATCCGATTCGAGCAGGCCAAGAATGTGCAAACTAGCATTTCGATTAGCAAATGTGGCAGTTGAAACATGATCAATCAGCATTGGAACTGTTATTTCCTTGTCACAGTCTTTCCATGGGATATTCTTCACCGCTTCGACGCCCCACAGATTGTCATATTCTGTCCACAATATGGAGTTTACATGTGCGAGGCTCTGGTGAGATGCCACCTGCAGCTGACTCAGCCCAGAACCGCATAGCCATGCCCATAATACCCAGTACAAACGTGGGGGGCACGCAGCGTGGCTTGGGTTGGCTATATTCCAATTATAGACCAGAGTGTTGCAATGAGGTTGCGATGGATAGTATAAAGGCTTTACTAATTTCCCCCACGAGATTAATGTATACCAAAGCAATATACCAAATATAATCCAACACCATATTCATTTACCCTAAAACAGTCAAAAGTCACCATGCCAAACATGACAGCAGTAAAGCCTCAAACCCGTGCGCCTCCAAAGCGGCGGGAGCAACCGACTGGCAGCGGTACGAGCACCAAGGACAACGACACCTATAGCACCTTTACTGTCGAGGACACGGTCTGGAAACATCGCCTCTGGCGCCGAGCAGGCGGCTGTCTCCCGGCGGGCCAAACGGGTCATTGCTCTGTCTGACCTGGTTCCTACGTCCGTGACAAAATTAGGGGTGTGGTTCTGAGGATTTGCGACTTTTACAATGTGAATTATTTTGGAGATATCCGGTCACTATTTTCTAGAGGGCCATCATTGTAAGTCGGATCTACCTTATGGTGGAGACCATCATACTGACATTGAAAGATTGCTTTCATCAATGGGGCACAATGTACTATAAGGGGACTGTCAGGAAGCACTCTGGATTTTCACCACTAGAGCGTGTCATTCTGGTTGAATGGCCAAAAGGGCAGATGACAATTCTGCTTGGTTGATGTCTAAGTGGCTTACAAGCTCATTATTTTATTTATATCGAATAAAACATTCAGGGTAAAATCAATAGTGGCTCAAGGGCGCAATTGACGGAAATCCCTACTGGTATACTGTGAATCCGAATTCTCAATAAAGCAAGTTTGACAATGTAATTTCTTTTGCTCTGTTCAGGTCATCCTCATTGGACTAGTTGGAACCTGTGCAAATTCTGACGGAATTCAGATATCAGTACACATATGTACACTCTTTATCATACAGCTAAACCCAATCGCATACCCTTTTCATTTTCCTTGGCCCCCATGTCAGTCAAATCATTACTTGCGACGCTGGGCAAGCATGGCCGGGTGGTTCAGGTTGGCTCGGGAAGATGTCGACAGCTTGTGCACAATCTGCCTCTTGTCCCACACCGACGACCGTCCCTCGACGACGGCGACCAACTCCTCGCCCACGCGGGATGCAAACTGCTTCTTTCCACTACCCCTCGACTTCTTCTTGTTGACCACGTCCAGGATCCACAGTATGGCCGTCCGCCGCCGTTGCCGCAACGTCAGAGGCTCTGGTACTTCGAGGGCCTGACCACCACCGGCCATGCCCTTCATCATCCTGACGCGCACCAAGGGCGCCACGCTGTCGATGGCGAGGGTGAGGTAGAGAACGGGGTCTAGAGGTAGCTGCTCTGGAGGCGGCGAACCTGGCAGTAGGGGTCGCATGGGGTTGACTTTGGGTGCTGGTGTGGTTCGCAGAAAGTTGAGAATCAGTCCCACGTGCTGTAAAGTAATGTCAGGTCCCCGTGTATCAATCATGGCATGTAGTTGTAGGTGTTTGGTGCGAATCTTACCCTCTCGGCAACACTGAGCTTGCCATCCCGCATCAAAATTCTCGAAATTTGGTGGATAACGGCCGGGTATCTGTCCTGCAACTTGTCGTTCTTGCCCGGCGGCGTGGGCATTCCAAACTTGTGTCCTATTTCATCATCGTACAGTTCCTGCCCGGCAGCAGCCTGTTCCAGCCTGGACAATGCCTCGGCGTTTAGCCAATTGTCGGCAAATACTTCGGTCCGGCGAACAATTGGTGCTGATTCTGTTGGCGGCGGTATCGAGGAAGCGTCTGTGCCGTTTGATTTCGTCGTGGTATCGTCTGCCAGGCCTCTTTTCGCAATGGGAAAGGCGATCCGTCGCTCCGTCGTCTGCAGTGCCGGCCGTGACCGTATGCACAGATTCCGGCAAACACCCCAAGGGTTCAATTTCGAGGCCATTGTCAAGACAGACGTATATATGCGACGACCAGGTCCAAGCAGCGATCGCCGTATCTCTCTTGTACAGTAGTAAAAGGAACCAGAGCTCCTGAGCTTGGCCCCGGGATGATGCGCTGCGCTTCTGGCTTTGCTTGGCTGCTGCTAGCAAAATTATCTGGAGCCCAAGTCGCGTGGTGGGTTAATCCGACTGGGTTGTTGCATAAAAGTGCTCTTGTGCAACATGGTGAATTATGCAAATAGCCTGGGCGGCGCGACCACGACGGAATGGGATCAAACCAGTCGCCGGTTTTTACCCCAGACCTTTGGATTGCAGCTCCCATTGATTACCCACTTGCCCACTGGAAGCCCCTGTGGATTCTGGCCTGTTTAGCGCATTCTTTCGCTAGCAAAACGGGGAATTGGCTCCCGAAGAAAGCAGCAACATTCGTCGGTGCATTCCCGCGTCAGCGAGCCATTCGTGTCCAACTGCCATGACTTTGGCAAGTGCCTCGGTGGACCTCGGCATGTGAATCGGCGGATTGGAGACAAGACCCCGTCTGACTGTAAAGTGATCCCATTTTGACCGTAGATTGGCTTATTTGTGTTTGATAGTTGGAATTTTCTCTCCTTCTTTCAATTATCTACCCTCTTCAGCAAGGGATATTGAGTTCGGACTCCGATCCTATTCTCTCTATCGTTTCCGCCCACGTCCCGTATCATTTTCACCACGCGAGCGAAACTCGGACTCAGCACAGCGCGATAATTGAATATTGTCGCTGCTGATCATCACCGCCGCTGAAGAAGACATCTACGTACACCAGCACGCGACAAGAGGCACAAGCACCAAAAATCGCCCATCATGGTCGCCGACGCAGTCATCTACCACCCTTCGGTGGCCCACTACCTCAAGTTTATCGCGACTACCATGGGCCGCGATAAGCTTATGCGCACCCTGCAGTACTTTTCTCGCTTCTACGCTTGGTACCTGTTCCGGACCAACGGCACCAAGGCCGAGATTGCACCCTTTGAAGCCATCAAGAAGCAGTTTGGCCTGGCGCGCAAGCTGCTCCGCGTCGGCAAGAACGTCGAGCACCTCAAGGCCGCCGCCGTGGCCGCCGACTCCAAGACCATTGACCCGGTGCTGCGGTACACCACCGTCGGCAGACAGCTCGGCTACGCCGGATACCTGACTTTTGACACGGCCACGGTGCTGGATGCGCTGGGCGTCAAGAAGTGGGAGGGCGCCAAGAATGTGCAAAAGGAGGCCTACAGGTTCTGGGCCTTCGGCCTGTTGTTCAGCATCGCAGCCCAGTCCTATACCCTGTACAGGCTGAGGGAGAGAGAAGTCAAGGTCGACAAGAAGGAGGGCGAGGGTGTTGTAGAGGCCAAGCGCATTGGAATGTGAGTATAGTAGTCCCAGAGACCGTATTCCTGGACTCGCACACCCCTATTGTTTCTGCCAAAAGTGCTGCTGCTGACATTTGATTCTAGTGAGCGGGCTGCTGCAAGACTACAGCTCATCTCGGATCTCTGCGATTTCACCACACCTGCCTCGGCGCTCTCGTGGATTGACTTTGACGATGGTGTCGTGGGCTTGGCCGGTACGGTTAGCAGTTTGATTGGTGTTTATACAATGTGGAAGAAGACTGCCTAGGCTTTACCGACTTGTCAAATGCTAGTGGAAAATTAATGGTCAAAGTTCGTCCCGGAGAAACAGATCCTGGGAGGCAAGCTCATGTCTGCCATGGGTCCGGCTTGCTGGGACATGTGGACATGGCACATGGCAGTGATATTACCAGAGTTCATGTCAATATGTTGTTTGTATTGTGTAATTATGCAAAACCAGAGGTGTCGTTTCCAACATGACTTTGAAGAGTGCAACTCCCTTTTATTATTCTTGTTCTGATCAAGTCCCATACAAGTCTTTTGCTGCAAGTTGTTATATACGTCCTACACGTTATCGAGTGACCTGTCGGGTGCAAGTCCGTCTCTTCGTTTCGCATCTCGCGGCCCACGGCACGAAATAGTCGCCCGACTTGCTCTTGTCTGTGGAGCAAGATGGAATAGTGGAGTACAACGTTGAAGTTAAACGACAGGGGCGAGGACGCGATAACTCAAAACCACCATGCCTACCTGGGTCAACAGGTGTGTGATGGAACCGAGTCGTCTTATTAGTCGAGAAGATTCTCGCAAGCGAGGGAATATTTGTGCTGGTAATTCCGTAGCCTGCGTTATTATCGATTTGCACACGCGTAATGTTGTCCTTTAGCTTTGTTCGTAGACCCATCAAGTATTCCCAAATGATCATTTTGGTCCTCATTGATAGATAAGCGTACAAGTCTTTTTATTTTATTTTATTTTATTTTTTCTTCCATACTTGGCCATACATGGTATTCCTCTCAGGATTTCGGCCGAGGTGCACAAATACCAAAGGCGGCCCCTTGCACACATTTTCGTGGACCCAAAGTGCCATGAGTAACATCACTCGACCTGCTTGACTTTGCATTATACAAGAATCAACGGCATGACAACAACTACCAACCTAGAGTAGATATCATCATTTGCACGTGCTCCTGTCCGTCTGGGACGGGAATAAATAGCTTGATGAGAATCTCGGGCAGGGCCAGTGGGGTGACATTCCGTGGCGCTCTGGCTTGCCTTAGTGTGTGATTATGCTTTTCCTGCCAAGGCCGCGGGATCGCCAAAACGTCCAGCATTCCTCCAATTTTTTCCTGGGCATCTCTTGATACGCCTCGGCGACTAGATTGTCAAGACAAGATTTCAGATTTCTGCCGACTGACCTGAAAGAACTGGGTGACAGCGGGATGAAAACCTTGATCTTTTCCACCACGCTGGCGCGGGAAGTAACAAGTAAGAGAGATTCCTTTCATCTAACTGCCCCGAGCTTTGCAGCACGAGGCACCTCTCAGGACTCTGATAGGGTCTTTCCCCCAAGCCCCTCCATATCTCGAGAGTGGAGGTTTTGCAACTTTTGAGCTCCCCGTGGATTTGGTGCCGTTACGACTGGTCGCACGTCCGTCCCATGGGCTATCTGATCCCAAACCCGCCCTTTCTCTCGCAAGGGTAGCGTTGCCATGGTCCTGGTAGACTTTGTAGTACGGGACCATGGGCTGGAAAGTAGACAAAGTAGGTGCCGTGTGATACATTTTTCTGTGAATCCTATCTATCGCCGAAGAGCTGGGTCCTGTCCGTGCAACTTTGCAGGCAAACAGGGAACATATTGTACCTATTCCGTGGTAAGATCAGAGATGTTGTTCCTTTGCTTGAACAAATGAGAGATCCCGGCATAGCGGCCATGATAGCCCCTCCTAGCGGAAAACGACCGGCACCCCCAGTACCGCCATGATAGCAGCCGCTCCAGGACCAATAGACGCAGGCATATAGACAGTCATGTCCGAATGGGAACTAAGAACTGGGGGTCCAAGGGCGGATGAGCGACTACTGCATGTTGGAGACCAGGTGAGCAGCAGTAAAGAGTAGCAGCACATTGGTGACTGACAGGGCTGCTGGGCATGTTCCTACAGTGTACTACATACCCATTATCCAATGTAGCAAAGGACCAAGAAACCAAGCCCATGGTTCTTGTACAGAGTATGTGTGTGTGTGCCTCTGCGAGACCCGTAGGTAGGCGGCCCGAGCATGTACATACCATACTACACACATAACTCCACGCATACTGTAATGTAATGTAGCAGTAGACGAACAAGACACACATGGTTACCACGCGGCTTGCTGGGTCGGGATCTGCCGTCTGCCTTCCAGATTCGCTTTCCCGTTCCTTTTAAGCTTCGTCCGCGCCTACCTACAGTCGCGATCTCTTCTCTTTTTTTTCCTCCTCTCCCTTCTTTGATTAAGTTCCTTCCCACGTACGCCCCTGCGTTGGTCAACTTGTCCCCTAATCTCCTATAGAGATATTTCCCTCTTGGCGATCTTAGCTCATTGTATCCTATAGTCTCTTGCCATGTATTATTAGTCCCGACTACACAGCTCCAAACTCCCAACCTAGTTCCCTAATTACAGCCACCTGCCCTCTGCAGACTCTCTACTTGCTCTCGGGCTCACGATATTCTGGGATCCGAGCCTTTTCCCCCTCAAACTTTGCTTGTCTCTCATCTTCCCGACATTTGCCATGGTCTTTGGATTCGGGCGCAAGAAGCCCGTCGAGGGCGAGGAACCAGTTCCTACCGATGCCGACGCCGTCGCCCCCCGGATCGATCAGAAGCCCTTTTGGGAAGCGATCTGGCCCGTCCTGGCTTGCGGTGCCGGTCTCTTTTCCGACGGCTACATCAACAATGTTATTAGCTCTGTTGGCACGGTGCTGACCCGCCAGTATGGTGACCTGTACTCCAACTCGGCGGCGCAGAATGTTGCAGCTATTGCATTTGCTGGTACTGTAAGTATTTGCATATAGCACAGCGCGGAAAGTCCTCAACGTCAAGCGCGCTTCTTATCATGAAAATCACACCAACTTACACCAAACCCTACCGTCTAGGTCGTCGGCCAGCTGTTTTTCGGATTTCTAGCAGATCGGTGGTCGCGGACCGGATCCCTCATTACTTCCACCATTATCCTCATCATCTTTACGGCTCTGGCTGCCGGGTCCTACTGGCATGGCGAGCCTCTTGGCATGTTCTCCATGCTGACTGCTTGGAGATTCTTTGTAAGTTTTCCGCAATCGATTGCGGCTCACTGAGTATTCAATTGCATACTAACTCGAATTTCAGGTTGGTATTGGTATTGGAGGTACTTCACAAGCAAACCCCTCCTCCTCAACCGCGAGTCGCGACTGACGAATATTCTAGGTGAATACCCGGCAGGAAGTGTTAGTTGTGCCGAATCCAGCGGCGAGCTCAAGTCTGGTTCGCGTAACCGTTGGTTTATCCTCTTTACCAATACCATGATTGACTGGGGTTTTGTGATTGGCGCCTTTGTTCCATGTAAGTCAACTTTTCAACATGGAGCGCAAAGTTCTAACCAATGCTGACTTTGTCTCTTCAAGATGTCGTGGCTGCCGCCGCCCACAACACTCACTACGGAACCATCTGGCGTACCAGTCTGGGTATCGGTGTCGTTTTCCCGCTCATTCTGTTTATCCTGCGTCTGAAGCTCAAGGAGCCCGAGGAGTTTAGCCGCAACTCGATGAGAAACGTCCGCACGCCATACTCTCTCGTGTTCAAATACTACGGCTTTAGACTGTTTATTGTGTCGCTGGTCTGGTTCATCTACGACGTAAGTCTGCAAAAACACTTGCAGAGTCAAGGCAGTAAATTAATCAAGAAATAGTTCTCCGTGTACGCATTTGGAATCTACTCGACCCCAATGTTGGACAACATTTACGGCGGCGACGGCCCCCTCACGACAGTCTTTGGCTGGAACACTGTAATCAACCTATTCTACATTCCCGGAACCATGATTGGAGCACCCATCAGCGATCGTCTCGGCCCGCGCTACACCCTCGCTCTCGGCGTTGGGCTGCAGGCCATTGTCGGCTTCATCATGGCCGGCTGTTATTCCAAGCTGGCGCTGCCGCAATACGTTGGTGCTTTCGCCGTCGTCTACGGCATCTTCCTCTCGCTCGGCGAGCTGGGCCCCGGCAACAACATTGGTCTTCTCGCCGCCAAGACCTGTGCCACGGGCGTCCGCGGTCAATACTATGGTGTGGCGGCTGCCGTGGGCAAGATTGGCGCCTTTGTCGGCACCTATGTCTTTCCCTACATTATTGCGGCCGGTGGCGGCGATGATAACAAGCAGTACCAGTACCCCTTTTACGTCTCGGCCTGTCTGTGCATTCTCTCGGCCTGCCTGGTGCTCTTCTTCCTGCCACACATTGACCAGGACACCATTACCAAGGAAGATGCCGAATTCCGCGCCTACCTCGAGAGCCAGGGCTGGGACACTAGTCAGCTGGGTCTCAAGAACCCCAATGCGCTCGACAGCGAGCATGGTGAACCCGTTGCCGTGAGCAAGGATGAAGGTGTGCCCGAGGTCAAGGCCTAGGAGGACTTGCCTCCCGCATACACCGCACATTTCTCAGCGCAATAAGCGTCTGTTTCGGCCTAATCGGCGGTTGAACGTTGTCAATACTTTCTTGTTGGGAACATAACCTTGGGCATCATGATCCATTGGGCGGATCGGGACTTGTATAGCCTTTTTTTTTATTCCGTCTAGGTCGTGTGACGTTTGAACATGTGGGATGACGGCGCTTGGATAATGTTGATTTCAAAACCGAATACCCCTTTCCGTATTGAGCATCCTTGGTTTATAATAGCATGAGTCCTATATCGTCCCATTTGTGGAACTCGTTCATCTCGAGCGGGAACATTGGTGAAATTCTGCAACCTTGCGAAAATTTAAAATGTTGACGGGTTGAATTCATGGTGAAAATGTCAAACTTGGTGTCAGTGAGATCCAATTCCCCAAAGCAAACCTTGAAAAAGCTCCAGTGCCACATTCGATAAGCCATAGTACCTAATAATATGAGCGTATTGGGGGCTCTTGCTATTGACAACGAGAAGGGGAAAAGCAGTTGGGTTTAACATACAATATACCATTGTACCAGTGTTGTCCAACGGACGCTGCATGTCGTCTGGGGCTGGAGTCGTGTCGTGTCGTGTTATCAAAAGTTAAACCGCAACAGGCTTACAATCACAAGTAGAGAAAACATATGATTGAACTTTCTTATTTTTTTTTTTATTATTACTTCCTTATGCTTGATGTCTTAATGCTAGAGAACAGAAATCTAGGTTTTACAAACTATTGCGCCTGCCATGCCCTAAATTTACAACTCATCGTGGTCAAAGTCATCATCATCCTCAGCACCAGGGCCACCGGCACCTTGGTACATCTTGGAGGTGATGGGGTAGGCGACGTTGGACAGCTTCTCCTTCTGCTCCTCAAAGTCCTCAGCGTTGGCGGTGCCAGCGTTCTCCTCGAGCCAGTCAGTGGCCTCCTTGACGGCGTCAAGAATCTGAAAAGTATATTAGTTATTTGATGACATGTGCAGTTCATGGGGGGTTCAACTTACAGTCTCCTTGTCCTCGTCATCAATCTTGCCACCGAGACCATCCTCATCATTGACCTGGTTCTTCAGGTTGAAAGCATAGTTCTCAAGACCGTTGCGAGCCTCAATGCGCTCACGGGTAGCCTTGTCCTCCTCGGCGTACTTCTCGGCCTCGGCAACCATGCGGTCAATCTCCTCCTGGGTGAGACGACCCTTGTCGTTGGTGATGGTGATGGACTCGGTCTTGCCAGTTCCCTTGTCGTGAGCGGAAACCTTGAGGATACCGTTGGCATCGAGCTCAAAGGAGACCTCAATCTGAGGGACACCACGGGGAGCGGGGGGAATGTTGGTAAGCTCAAACTTGCCGAGGAGGTTGTTGTCCTTGGTCATGGAACGCTCACCCTCAAAGACCTGGATCAGGACGACGGGCTGGTTGTCGGCAGCAGTCGAGAAGATCTGGCTCTTGCGGGTAGGGATGGGAGTGTTGCGGGGAATGAGCTTGGTCATGACACCACCGGTAGTCTCAATACCAAGAGTGAGGGGGTTGACATCCATGAGAACAATGTCCTCGGTACCCTCCTCGTTGGAGAGGACACCAGCCTGAACGGCAGCACCGAAAGCGACAGCCTCATCGGGGTTGATACCCTTGCTAGCCTTCTTACCGGCAAAGAACTCCTCGAGAAGAGCCTGAACCTTGGGAATGCGAGTGGAACCACCGACGAGGACAATGTCGTCAATCTCGTCCTTCTTGAGCTTGGCGTCATCGAGAACCTGCTTGACGGGCTTGAGAGTGCGCTTGAAGAGGTCCATGTTGAGCTCCTCGAACTTGGCGCGGGTAAGAGTCTCGGAGAAATCATTGCCCTCGAAGAAGGCCTCAATCTCGATACGGGTGGACATTTGCGAAGACAGAGTACGCTTGGCCTTTTCGGCCTCGCGCTTGAGCTTACCCATGGCCTTGAGGTCCTTGGTAATGTCAACACTGTTCTTCTTGTTGTAGGACTTGGCAAAGTGGTTGATGATGCGCTGGTCGAAATCCTCACCACCAAGGTGGGTGTCACCGGCAGTAGCCAAGACCTCGAAAACACCCTGGTCAATGGACAGCAGGGAAACATCAAAGGTACCACCACCAAGATCGTAGACAATGATGTGGCGCTCAGCGTCGGTCTTGTCAAGACCGTAGGCAATAGCGGCCGCTGTGGGCTCGTTGACGATACGGAGGACGTTGAGACCGGCAATGATACCGGCGTCCTTGGTAGCCTGGCGCTGTGCGTCGTTGAAGTAGGCAGGGACGGTAACAACGGCGTGGGTGACCTTCTTGCCCAGGTAAGACTCGGCAACCTCCTTCATCTTGCCGAGAACGACGGCAGAGATTTCTTCGGGAGTAAAGGTCTTGTCGGCACCATTGACCTTGACCTCAACAACAGGCTTGTTGTCCTTGTTCTTGACGGTAAAGGGGAAGTGCTTGATGTCATTTTGGAGGTCCTTTTCGTTGTACTTGCGACCAATCAGACGCCTATTTGGTGGAAAAGACGACAGTTAGCAAAGTGTCCTCAATATCCAGACTGCCCAACTAGAATTGAGTCTCTCTCAGGTTTACTCACTTGATGTCGTAGATGGTGTTGGTGGGGTTGGCCGCGGCTTGTTGCTTGGCGGCATCTCCGACCAATCTCTCGTCCTCGGTAAAGGCGACGTATGATGGGGTAATTCGGTTTCCTTGGTCGTTGACGAGAATCTCAACCTTGCCCTTTTGCATTACACCAACGCAGGAGTAGGTTGTGCCCAAATCCTGTAGGGAACGGCGAGGTTAGCAGGTGTTTTCATGGCGGACGGGAACTCTACAAGCTCAATAGAGCTAGAGGCCACGTTTTGACTTACAATACCGATAACAGTTCCATATTCCGAGACATCGTCGGCACGAGCAGACGAGGCGAAAAAGAGAGGGGCGCAGAAGAGCAGGCCGATCCAGGCGATCAAGCCAAAGCTCAAGGCCCACGAACTCTGAGATCGTCGAGCCATGGCGGCTGTGTGGAAAGGGTGAAGAAGACGAAAAGAATCAATCAATTGGCAAACAAGCAGGGCGTGGGAAAAGAGAGGGAAAAGTAAAGTGATGGAAAGAAGCAGATGCTCTAGACAGACAACACCACTACAGGTGATGGATCGTCGTCGTTTGCTTGTCGTCGCGCAATTAAGGCGGAAGTATGTGAATGGGGAAAAAAAAAAGGAAGAGCAGAAGAAGCAGCCGCAAGTGTAGAAAGATTTCTTATGTATGTCCCTGGTAGAGCGCTTCAAGCTATGCCTCTCTCCTAAAGAACAGATAATTCATAAGGCCACATCACAGCTAAACTAACCTAGCTCGATTTTTTGGGGGACCCGACGCACGGGCCATAGTAGCTTGTTGCACCCCTGAATCCTTGTAGTTCTCCGGTACTCTAGAAGCCAGTTTTTGCGCCATCGCGGCCACCGAGGATACTTTTAGAATACCCCGGAAGGAGGCAAGGTCCCCAGTTGCCATGCTGGTATGTACTATTTGCCAGAGTAGCATACTAATGTATGCAATTCACCTTGTTCCATCAGCATCCATTATTTCTATCAAGCAATCAGCCCTGCAATTAATTGCCAGTGCCAGTGCCAGCTTGCCTCAATGCCCGGAGGACCTCGCTGGAGTTGCATACTGTGTCTAGAGTCTAGGTACTTTACTTGCCACTTTTAAGCTTAATACCAGACTGCCAAGTGGTTTTTTTTCCTTCTTTCGCCGTTACTGCCTACTACTGCCTACTAACGCCTGCTCAATACTAGTCACTACGTGTACAGAAAAAAGTCTTGAGTCATTCTCTCATTTTGCCGCTCTGTATGCTGCGTGTCATGTATACACGCTGCTGACATACTATCGTCGCCTCTGTGCCACCAAGCCCAACTTCTTTTTTGGACGCCGTCTGTTCCTGGACTGAGCGCATGGATTGTTCGCGAGCTTTCCAAAGATCCACACTCAAAAAGTGGCACGTACACCAATACCACGAGCTTATTATGGGCAATGTAACATTAAAATAACTGTGCAATGATCTGTCCATTCCCCAGAAATAATAGTGCTTTCGCCAAGTATAGTATGCCATGCCCAGCGTTTTGAGTCTGATTTGCTGCTCAATCACTCCTTGGGAAGACATTCTACTGTACTATCATGTTGCACCGACAGAACTCTTGCCAGACGTACTCTTTGGGGGGTTGCACATGCCGACATAACACGTACCGTCAATGAATCGGTCCCAGAAAAAATTCCCGTCGTCTGCTCCAATAGCCATTTTCGGGGAAAGCATGTCTTTGTCATGCGGGGACACCACCATTACAAGACCCTGGCTTGTAGCCACATGTCCAGTACGTATCGTAGGACAAGACATGCAACCCCGTCAAATGCCTCCGGACAAAGATGACCGAGATACTTTTACAGAAATCAACAAGACATGAGAGATGATACATGTGGACGGATAAATTCCACTTGTACACCGGATCCACTTCACTAGATTTTGCTTTTGTTTAATCGTGTCCAATTTGCAAGCCGTTGTAATTTGTAGGTATGGAATGTGTAGGTACGGAATACTAGTGTGAACCAATTATTACCGGTTTGCTGTTCTCAAGGTAGATGAGGGAGAATGCCGTCAATGCATTGCATCGGACTGGATCTCATAAAAGGGCTGGCTACAATTCAGATTTAGCACGTGGCTCGTTTCTAAGAGAGCCTCAACCGCCAGACTCTATTTTGTCTCAGCCACATTGGCAAACTTAATACCTTACCCAGCCATACACCTAGGTTAGGTACTGCCAGGATTGCTTACCAGACAGCAACCTACTTTACCTCCAAGTGAGCAATGCAACGTCTCGAGTTTACTAGTTTCCTTGTTCATACACTTCTGCTGTCCGAATGATATCATATTGACAAGCAGCGCCCCTTGGGTCATGAGTTCAAGGTGCAATAATCAAGACTCGTCTGGCAGACCTGTCATTGCTGTGCTCATCTCTGGTGCAGTCAACAAGCGGTGATCCTAGCGCGTCAGCGAGCGCTAGTCATATGGTATAGTCCTTGACCAGGATATAAACCTGTGCAATAATGGGAGTCGATCATGGCGCCCTCGTATATTTTTGTGGCATCGACTCCTAGTTGGCTCCTGTCATCCCTTTTGTATAGCTAGACTTTGGTTTGATAGTCTCATTATACCCACAACATTTCTTGATTCAAACTAGGTGGCATTTTATAAGCCTAGATAACCAAACTTGATGACTGCATACTCGGCATTAATGCCAATAGCTAGAGTATATCCTATAAGTACAGCTAAAGCACACCGCCAGTCAACATGACAACTCACCCACAATACCGATAGAATGATATCAAGCTGCAAAAATCAAGGGGAATGCATAGAAAAGGTGGCCCAGAGATCGAGGTAGAGACCAGCATGGCAAGTAGATGAATACTCTATCATTGCAGCTCATAAGCCGAAGAAGCCCTTGCATTCATGCGAATATTAGTGGGTGCAAAGGATGCTCTGCCAGATGATATCATGAAGATATGACCCCCTTGTTTCTGCGAGGAGCATGATATCATTCAACCTTTTGTTCGAATCTCGGCCCATCCTGGCAAGACTGATCACAGGCGTAGAGGATGGTATTACAAAAGCAGCTTGAAAAGTATATGAACCGCCAAGGCAAAACAGCTCAAGATCTGCGGGAAATACACACCAAGGGATATAATGTGCAACGGAGCAATAATAATTGTTCTTTATACACCATTCACCTTCCAAGATATCGGCGTAGGAGAAATGCAAATTCGGGCATGTGCCATGGAACAGGTGCGAATCTAATATTAATCAGAGTGCATTCGCCTCGTAGGAGAGTGATGCAAGCGAGTTGAACAAAGCTATATTCCTGTCTCTCGGAAAAAAGACTCTATTGAAAGCAGATCACGCAATATCAAGTCGCACTCGTTTTATTAATTGGCAACTTCCTCGCAACAATTCAAGCAATGATTATAAGATTTGACCTGGGTCGCACATGGGCACTAAAAAGGGGCTGCCCGGCTGGCTTTACCGCGAGTCAGTGCGCTAAAGAGGAAAAAAAAAAAAAAAAAAAAAAAAGAAAGAAATAAGGAAGGAGACAAAGAAGAAAAAATTTAGTTGACAAAAGGTCCATGATTATTTTCTGTCCTTTTTCACTTGCATTTCATACTCCATCTCACCAACATGGTTGTCTTTGTATTGCAATCCATTTACTGGCACCCCTTGGAAAGGTTGATTATTGGATAGTCATTCCGACATGCAAGGTACCAGACAATGCAGAAGCGAAAACGCCATTCAACCTCTTGTTAAACATTACTGAAAGCGTCAATTCGTCTGATGGATTGCCGCCAAAATCCAACGTTGCGGAAGTTTCGGGGATTTACAGGTGTGGGGACAGCTCTCTCAACGTCGCTTAGCCTGTAATAAGCACAAACGATGCCAACGCTAATCTCAGGATTCGGCAAAACAACAGCGTCCGCGTGGTGTAGCGGTTAGCACTATGTTCTTATATCCTTCGTAATATGAGAGATATGCATGGGTCGCCAGTTCGATCCTGGCCGTGGACACTTTTTTGCATTTTATTCATCAGTATCTCATCAATTACCTTCATTCTCTTCTTTCAATTTTTTTCGTCCGACTCTATGACAACTCGTTGTTTATTTCGTGAATGTTTGATTGTCATTTAACATGTCTGCCTACTGCAACCGTCTAGAATCGTCCAAATCTATATTCCGTAATGCCCACCCTTTTCTCCCTTACTCTTGTAGTAAGATACAGATGACTGCCCCAGTTCCTCCCAAAAGACAAAGGCTCGCATTGAAGCCATATTGGTCATGATGCCCATTGCATAATCAAGACTGTCATCTCCCTTCAATCTGCCCCAGTGATCACTGGCTGGCGACCAAGCTCAAGTAGATATTCCAGCCAACACCAGCCAAGCTACCCAGCAGATTGCGACCAGTAATGCTCTTTACAAATGCAAAATTGATAAAACTGACAAGGGGCCACAACTTTAGACCAGCAAAGATCATGGGCCAGAACTCGGCAGCAATCTTGGCCTGAATGCTATCCCAGTTGACAGGACTAGTCTTGACACCGCCCGTGGCGAGAGCGAGCAGGTAGTTGACACTCTGATCGGGGGTGCTGAGGGGGGCGCCGAGCGGACGCGGCATGGCCTGCTGCACACCGTGGATAAAGAGGCTAAAGACGACCGTGTTGAAGGCGGCACCGACAGTCTGGTCCAGCAGCATCTTCATGGCCGTGTTGCGCAGGTTGAGCTTGGGCTCCACCAGCTTGCCCTCCTGCTCTTCCTTTTCCAGTTCCTTGTCGTCGCCCTTGGAAGCCGACGCCACGGCCTCGGCAGTTGGCGCTGCGTGGTACGCTGGCCAGGTCGACTCTAGGAATTCTTGCCTAGGGGGAAGGGTTAGTCATGTCCAGATAGTGCTTCATAAAAGTACCAGACTGAATCTGCTAGACACTGCAGATTAAGCTTTCAATGCCTGCGTCATCGAGGCAAAGAGATACAGTGAGAAACATGACGATTTCTCAAGCATACCATAGCACGTTTGGATGTGTGTTTAGATAGTTGAAGACAAAGAACTGAAAGATTGGAACCCAATCAATAACCAGCGGTGTCTAAAGAAACAAGTGCGTCAGCGAATCGAGCCCACAGCATATGAGCACCCATCCATGCCTCTCTCTCTCTGTGCACGTTGACCTTGCCATACACTACTTGCTCACATACCTCGTGGCGAAAAGAAGTAATGACCTGGGCCAACAGATTGGAGGTTGCGGCCAAGACGGCAGACTGTATGGACGCAACCTCGATGGGCGGAAGCTCGAAGACCATGATGACAAATAGTCCTAGACTGTAGCTTCTTATTATCGACGACTCGTTTGAGATAGTGAAGCAAAAGCCCAGGTAATGAAAAAGGTCGTGATGCACTTATATTCCCAAAAGAACAGATCACGCAGTATTTTCTTTGGTGAGCGTTGCCTAGAGCTGGGTAGGTAATGTAGGTAGGTAGGTAGGTAGGTAGGTAGGTAGGTAGGTAGGAAGCGAGGTTTCGTTTTGCCCAAGCTTGTGAGTCTTGACACGCCCGCCAAACTTGCGCTTGGGTGCTACTTTACATACCTTGTTAGTTCGGACCCTTGTAACGTAATGTAGCCCAAGCTTGTGGTTGGCCCAAGGCGGCTCATCTAATTGATGACGTGCCAGTGTATTCTTTGGTTTGAAGTGGCCTTTTGTCCTTGATGAGCGACCTGATTGAATGCCCAAGATTATCGAATGTGACCCAAGGCAAACAAGGGCTGTCACAATGATATACAATCAAAGAACACATGTGCGACTTGTGCCATGATCGCGTCAACCGTGACAGCTTAGGAAGGTGTCTTGGCGGTATTACCAATCAATTCAGAATAGGCCACGCATGCGGATAGCACAAAATCATGCAGTATAGAGAATTTCAGGTACTTGTAGAAATCCAGTAATTAGAATCCTGAAGTATAATTGACTCATTGCAATGCATTTTGATCTTTTTTCCGGCTTTTCTTTTTCCCAGTGTGTTGTTTCACTCTATTCGATCTTTGGTGCTGAACCTTGCATCCCAGTATCAAATACACAATAATACATGGCCATCTCCGTATTTTGCCCCGACATCAGGTCTATTCATGTGCACCTTTGTGCCCCCCAAACTCCATGCTCAAACCATGTATATCAACGGTCCTTGCCATCATTCGTATGAATAAAAACTCATGGTCTGGTGAGGATCCACATGAGAAAGAACTGCACCAGGTAGGAATATCCAAATAGGAATTGGGTGCGCTGGTTGCGCTTCGTTCGTGACTCGGTCTGCATGCGGGGATCACTGGAGTTCTCGGGAAGTAGGACATATCTCAACGATCGCATCTATACAAAGTCAGAACCATTACCAGTCGCCCGCTGCTGTTTCGATCGGAAAACTTACCAAGAAGAGGGAATTGGCCATAAAGGTATAAATGAAAACCGACCAACCAATCAGACCGCCCGTGCCATTGCCTCCATTGATGATTTGAGCAGTGGCTACCGTAACAATGACTCCAACAAACTTGTAGCCAGAGTACGCGACCAGGTCAAGCAGCTGGGATCGTTCCGAGATGCTAAGGAAATAGCAGCCGAGCCTCAAAAAGGCAATCTCGAGCACGACGACGAGGGCCGCCAGGGCCGCAGTCGCTCCGAGGAGTTGGGGGTCGAATTCGCCCCGAAGACCGGCCAAGAGCGTCGAGAGGAGGATATACGTCACAACAGCCATCACTAATACCATGTTAGAGTCGCTCGTCTCCCAGAACAACCTGCTTTAAACCTACCAGGAATGTACATGTCCGGGCTGTTGATGTCGTCTCTCGGTGGCAGGTACCAGCCCTCTTGGCCACTGGGCCCAATGGCCTGCTTGCGCGACCATGGCTTGTGACGCCAAGGGAAGAGAACCAGGAACAGCTTGTTCACAACGTAGGAGTTTGAAACATTGAAGTAGTGCTTGAGCGAGGACATGCTAAACCAACGGTTGACCTATTTGACTGGTTAGCTAGTGAAGCTCTTCTCGATATCCAGTGATATTTCCACCGACATTTTGCTCAAAGTATTCTTGGCCCTGCTTAAAGGCATTCTGACCCATAGATGCAGCTATTTGCGCAGTAGGATCGTTCATAAAGTTGCCGTACTGCCCAAACGCATTGGCTCCGGTCGCGCCTTGGGGGCCCGGCTGGCCCTGCTGATAGGGATTGCCATAAGCTCCCTGTGTTTGCGGTTGCGACGAGGTTGGCGGCGGAGGAGATCTCAGCTGGGGTACTGTTGAGACGTGCTGCGGTACTGGGTGATGGAGCGGCGGCGAGGGGCCGTAGTTTTGGCGCTGCATCGTGGCGGCGGTGCCTTTGCAAGAAGCAATCGAGGAATGAGGGTGTGGACTGTAGAGTGTGTGCTGGGTTGCTCTGTGGGCAGTTGGCTGCTGTGGCGTTGGGTTGAGGACTATCGACGTTCGCAAAGAAAAGCTCCGACAATGTGTGAATTGGAACTTGGTGATGTGTTTTGTTGGACCGCCAGGCCGCAGTAAGTGCAGTCCAGTGCAATCAGCGAGCTGTCCAATCCCCTGTCTGCTGGCGCTAGTGTTAAGACTCGTGCTGCTAGAGCTTCGGAGTTGCACTACGGGGGTCAAGGTACGTTGAGGTACAGACAAAATCCCCCCAAGCCTAAAATAACGAGATGGGCGGCTCCCCGGCTGGCTGGTCACTGGTCAGTGCTACTGGACGGCAGCTAGGATCGCACAGTCTGGGTAACGTAATGGTGTGCTGAAAAGTGAACCTTGACCCGCCCAGAGGTCCAGAATTGAGGGCTCCCCGAGTCGGAATGCGCAACAACGGACATCCCGGATTATAGCTATCGCCCCCCAGTACCTACCTGTACGTACCTGTCTCCGATAACGTCGTTGGGGCCTGGACTGGTGCTCCTTTCTGAACAGATCTACAAGAGAGAACTTCATTCTCCTGGAAAGAAAAAAAGAGTGGCTGCCTCCTTGTGCATTCCTTTCTACACAGCTTTGGGAGCTTGCTGCCTTGTATTCGATTCCTCTTACAGCCAACTGCCACTGGCTTCTCGGCTGCCATGTTGGACACATTCGAGATTTTGACCACTTCTGGGGTCGTGCTCTGGTCGCGGTCCTACGGCACCGTCAACCCCTCCATAATCAACAACTTCATCACCGACGTATTCATCGAGGAGAAGGGTGCAGTTGCTGGAGCAAAGGACGATTTACCGACCGCCAGCAATCCTCCGTACAAGGCAGATCAACACACGTTAAAATGGACCTTGTCCAAGGAAATCGGCGTCATATTCGTCGTATGTACTCTTGGTCGCAACCACCCTCTGAATCGCACCTCTTATTAACCCAACATTCTCTAGGCTGTATATCGATCGCTTCTACACTTGTCTTGGATTGACAAGCTCGTCGATAATCTCAAGACCATCTTCGTGGATCTCTACGGCGATCAGCTCAAGAAACCAAACACCACTCTTGTCCATTGCCACAAGTTTGACGAGTACTTTGACCAACAAATGCGACAGCTCGAGTCTGGCCCGGCATCAAAGAATGGATACATAGCTGCAGGTGCGCTCACCTCGGAGGATGAGAACACATCTGGCCATGTGGGCGATGAGCCACCGCTCCCTCCTGGCATCAAGCACCGGACCCGAGCTCAAGATGCGGCGCAACCGATCGCATCCACAATTGACTCATCTCCTGCCGTAACCCCCTCGAATTCGCGACCATCCACGCCCGGCACCAGCCATCTAGTTGTAGGAAAGGGTGGCCCGCTTGGAAAAATGTCGCGAAGAGCCAAGAAGATGCAAAACAATTCTGCTCCCGCATCATCCGGCGATGAGGGCCCCAACAGAAAAGCCAAAAAGGCACCGAAAAAGGGGCGCAAGTGGAATGCCGACGGGTTTGCCAGCGAGGAGGATGATGTGCAGCTGGACTATTCTGCCACTGCCAATGGGCCAGCGAGCGAGAGCGAGGCCGAAGGCCGTTCTTCCGCAATAGAAGGCATCGACTCGTCTACATGGGGCACAAAGACTTCCAAGGGGCAATTTGTTCTCAAGGATCTCGACGATGAAGTCAATGAGATTCTTGCATCGGCACAGTCAAAGTCGGAAACGCAGTCCAGCGGCGGTCTGGTTGGCGCAGGCTTCAGCTCCATCAGCGGCCTGTTCCGCAATGTGGTCGGCGGCAAGACGCTTACAAAAGAGGACCTGAAGAAGCCAATGGATGGTATGAAGGATCACCTCATCAAGAAGAACGTGGCGCCCGAGGCTGCAGTTCGTCTCCGTGACAGCGTTGAACATGAGCTCTTGGGTCTCAAGACTGGCAGTTTCGAGTCCATTGATACGCGCATCGCCAAGGCCATGGAGGCATCTCTGACCAAGATGCTCACCCCGACTTCATCGCTGGACTTGCTTCGTGAAGTTGACGCCGTTACTCGACCTTCAGCACTGTCTGGCACCAAGGCACGACCCTACGTCATATCCGTCGTTGGTGTAAACGGAGTTGGAAAGTCGACGAATCTGTCCAAGATTTGCTTCTTCTTGTTGGAGAACAAATATAAAGTCTTGGTCGTTGCAGGCGACACTTTCCGTTCGGGTGCTGTAGAGCAGCTCAAGGTCCACGTCAGGAACTTGAAGGAGCTCACGAAACGAGAGGGTGGCCAGGTGGAACTATTCGAAAAGGGCTACGGCGGTGATGCCGCTACCGTGGCCAGGGACGCCGTTCGCACTGCTGCCAACGAGGGCTTTGACGTTGTCTTGGTCGACACAGCCGGAAGACGGCACAATGACCAGAGACTCATGTCCAATCTGGAAAAGTTTGCCAAGTTTGCCAACCCTGACAAAATTCTCATGGTTGGAGAGGTAAGCAATCATGCAATGATTACGGCTTGTTCAATGTCTTTTAACACTTTATACAGGCACTTGTTGGAAACGATTCCGTTGCGCAAGCACAAAACTTTAATGCATCCTTTGGCCAAGGCAGGAGTCTTGATGGGTTCATCATTTCCAAATGCGACACTGTGGGGGACATGGTTGGCACTATAGTCAGTATCGTTCACGCAACGAATGTGCCCGTCCTGTTCGTCGGTGTCGGCCAGCATTACGAAGACATTAGAAGCTTTTCAGTCAAATGGGCTGTCAAGAAATTACTCAGTAATAGCTAATTCTAAAGAGGAATGACCTTTTGACCACTTCCTCTTTGGACAATATACCTCTGAGATATCGGTCCAAAGCATAGGATCCATAATTTGAATACGCAACCAGACCTGTCACCACTGCAACTCGTCCTCCGGAAACAATTCCGATTATGATTTCCACCTAGCCCCATTTCCCGCTAGGACGTGATGGGCTTGGCAAGTTCATAGGCATTTCTACCCTGCCGAGATGGAGAGCGGAATGAGACCAGGGTTGTTCAGCTCATGCAAGCTACCAAGTAAATATTGTAACATTCGCCGCCATTTGGGGATAAACGCTCCCTCTTTTACGGTGGGCTTGGGCATACATGCTCCCATAATGGCTCTCGTCTCCGTGCAAGGCTGACAGGCGTCCAAGTCTTCTCTAAATGGAAGCATGAGAAGCTGAACGGCCATATTGGGAGGCCTTTGGGTCATGAGATAGATATCTGGTACCAACATTAACACATTTGTTCAGGAGGATTGTCCATCAAGAACCATCCTTCTTCCCTTTGATAGAGTTATACCCTCATCTTTATGTAGTGTATCTGCTCAAAAGTCAATCAAGCAATGGCTAGCCAAAATTCAGTACCTACGGGTCCTTCATTCGCCATCAAACGCCGGCCAGTGTCTATAGCTCACCGCTCACCAGCGCAACCAGCTTCATCTTTGCCATTGTCTCAACTCCCGTCGCCTCAGCCCTCGACAAATTTGTTGGATTTTCAAGACATTAGTAGAGGTAGCCAACGACAGTCTACAAGCAGTGCCTCTGATTGTCCATCAACTGGCGTAGCCAACAGTGAGAATGCCTCTGGCCTTCCCACTCCGCCTCCATCAGCAACTTCTGGAATATCGCAATCGTTCCGGGCAAGTCCCGAATTCCAGAGTGCCCCGGTGTTCTTTGCGCCCCTAGAGACGAGTTCACTTCCAACGCCACCGCCATCTGCTAAGCCCGAGCAGTCGTACTTTTCACTCCCGCCGTCATCTACAGCCGAACGTACCCCAGATGTACCCCCTCGACCTACAAACCCAACAAGTTCCACACGCCAAACCGGTCCGGCGCCTGCAGGGCCGAGACCTGCTTTCACATCACATCCATCCAACTCCTCCAATGGTGCAAATCTCGATGCAGGCACACCTCATCCTGTATATCGATCCAAAACGCAGAGGTTCCGGGATGGCGTCAACAAATATTGTAACAAGGAGACGGCAAACAGGGCTTATTCTAATGGTATCGAGCTTTTGGGGAAGACTAGTGACAGACTGGGCAGAATCATTGACCCTCTGATGCCGGTTTTGTCTGTAACCAATCCGGATTTTGCATCAACGTACCAACAGATCAACCAGGCTGGGGCGCAAGGCAGCATTCTGCCACTTGTCGGAGCATTGGCCCAAGTGACGCTCAATGACAATACCGAGATGGACGCTGGGACGGCACAACCGTTTCTGGATATACTGAACCAGCAACAAGCAGCCTTGGGCACCTCAAGCGGCGAGTTTGATCCCAGTGGCTATATAGCAGCCCTGATGCAGAATGGCGCGTCGGGCGTGAATGCAGACGTGATCAACTCGTACATACAGCAACAATCCAATGCCGCCATGGCATCTTTTCAGGCCAATGTGACCAACATGCAAGGAGGATCCTCTGTGCAGAATCCCTTTCTGGATCTCATGGCGGCAGCCCAGTCAGGTGATTCCACGCAGCTAATAAATCAAATCATCCTGCAACAGCAACAGCAACAACAAGCCGCAATGGCAAATCTGGCAGCATGGGGTTCCATGCCTACCAATCCTGTTACAGGAGGTCCATCGGGGCCAGCCTCATTCGCACAGGAGGCGACACCCACGAACGGCCCAACCGCCGCGAGCCAGTCACCAAATAACACGGCCCCCGGTGAGCAAAACGACCAAACATCTTCTGTGCCTCCAGCACAGTCGTCCACGTCTCCTGGCAGCCAAGACCAGAGGCAAGAGTGGACCCGCCAGAGCATCCCCAAGTTTGGAATCGGCAATATATCACTGCCCGTGAACAACAATCTCCGTGTTTCTGCGCACAACGTCCTCGCCGGAGAGCTGGCGGACCTGTCGGGCTACTTTGAGATGAAGCTCTTGTACAGCAGCCGCCAGGTGGTTGACGAGATGGCTTCCATGCAGGAGCTGCGGTCAGATGACGACATGACCATCCTCGAGCCGTGTGCCATGACCGACTTTGGCATCCCGTGCGGCGGTGTCAGTGTCTCATGCGCCCTCGCCATGAACGAACCCGATGACGAGGGGCTGATCCCGGCCATGTACCGGGTTCTCGTACAGTCGCCATATGGCCATGGCATATCGCTGTCTTACTTTGTGGCAGCGGAGAATCTACACGCGCTCGAGACGGCTGCCAAGACTTTCATGGTGTCTTCCATCAGCTGGGTCGACCGCGCGACCCTATGTGATTCCATTGTAGAGAAATTGGTGGGCAAGTGGAGATGGGGAGAGGAGACGCCTTTGATTGACCTGGGAGACGGGTTTCAGCGGGAATGGAAGCAGTTGACATTTACGGCAGATGGTCGGTATCAGTATCAAAAAGGTGGCGGCACTACAAGCTCGACGCAGGATGCTGCAGAGGCAGGGCCGGAATCTGGTCCTTTGAACGGTCGTTTTGAAGCTTTCGAGTATAGGGACGGTCCGATTCATCTGGTCTTGACCGAGGACCATACCTCTGGGGTTGAAGTACAGGAAATTCTTTTGAGCAAAGGCAGTATGACTGTCAAAGGAAAGATTTATTGCAAGATTGCAGCTTTATAGTTACGACAATACATCTTGAATAGTGTAAATTCCGGATGAATTTTTCATTCTGATAATGAGAGCTTTTTGAACAAATCCGTAGCACTAGAAGGTAATTTCAATGACAAGACTCCCTTATTTCATACTGCTTTCATCATTTCCTTTAACCGTGAGTGGGTGGGGGTGTTCCAACAATAGAAAAGTTGAATGCTGGGTTATCTGATCCACCGCCCTCCTTCCAGATGGACGCGTATGGGGCATAGAGATCCCAGTTGGAGCTCTGCAGAGATGAAAATGATCTGTTAGAATATGATCGCATATCTCTTGTAATTGTATATACGTACCGTGTTGAGACCGAGCTCAGCCCAGGCAAAGAGACCAGAAGACAAGTCACTGCCTAGAACAATGTAGTTGATGAACGGATCGTATTCTTCCGTTGCGCCGTATCCAGCAAAAGCATCCTCCAGATTCGGAGTCTGGGCGATCTGATTTGTATTGTAGGGTTCGAGCTGCTCGACGGCGTCGATGAGCTTTTGGTCAAAGAAGAGCTGGGACAGGTGAGCCACGACGCCGCCAGTGTACGTCCCATTGTCGAGGACTGGTAGCCGAGTCAGTAAATACCATCCATGCCCGTGTCCCGGAATAGATGATCTCGACAAATGACGAGCTAATGAATACAAAAGACGACTTACTTTTCGACCCCACGTGAACAATTATGTGTTGATGCGACGCCCGTGCTTCATAGTGTCCAGGAAAGAGCGTGTCAAAGTTGACAACGCCCTCGTCGTCCGTGGGCTGCACGCCACGGAGATAGCTCGAGGCGAGACCACCCTGGCCCTCGGCGCTGACGCCACTGTACTGTCCGGTGCTGTTGCAGGACCAAATGTCGACCAGCACATCGGCCGGCTCGCACGTGTTGACGTCGATGAACTGGAACTCGAGGTGCATGGGCACGCCCGGCTCGTCCTCGACCACGTCCTGCCGAATGAGCTCCTGGTAGACAAAGTAGGGACCATTGGCATTGTCGGGCGCCAGGAGGCAGCTCGTGTTGGAGGCAAAGAGGTCCTCGGCTGGCGTATCCTGGCCAAAGTCGACAATACCCGTCTTGTTGTGGTCTACCGCGGCCCATTTCTGGAATGCCGCATCATCTCTGCGGTGGACAAAGGATTCTATTTTGTTTTGGCGTTTAGTTCTCCCTGTCCAGAAGTCCCCGGAACGGGCCATGACTTTACTTACCATCCTTGAGGCCTCTCTTTTGGCGAAGCTCGGTGAAAGTCGCCTGCCGACGAGCTATTGCACGCTCCTTTCTGGCCTTCACCTCTGGTCTTTGGTTACAGGCTTCCAAAGCTCGAGCATTGAGCGCCGCAACCATGTGAGCATTGCTCGCCTCTTGGACCCGTTTCTGATGACCTTCTCCGGGATGTGCACAACCGAGGGAGGCAAGAGACAGGAAGAGGCCAGAGGCGGCCAGAAATTTTGACTTGAAGACCATTCTGCTAGTTTATGGGATGGTATTGTGAATTCAGAGTGAAGAACAAGTGCAGGTTGGCCAACCCTTTGCTTCGTTGTGGAGGCAAGAGACCTTTTATAGACGGAAAGGTATTAAATAGACCGCCGAGTTGTATACAAGCCTGCATATGCTACGTAAAGTCGGACGTTATGAGCCAAAGAATGAAAAGCGACATGATGAACAGAGTTGGGTCGAGCCGTCCGTCCACCATCGAGACTCGTCCATCATGCATCTTGACATGATATGCGATGCTACGCTGGCCGTCAAATACCAGGGTCTTACTAGATGGAAACACCAACCCCCGTGAAAACCCCATCTCGCCCTCGAGGATCGACGTTACATTCCGAAGAGGGTCAAGATGAGGACAAAGATTTTGGTAAGCAATCACTTCCGGGAAGCGCATTAGCTGCAGTCTTGGCCATGCAGCAATGTTTCTTTTCACAGTCGAGCCAAGCGCTCGCTGGAGGGGTCTTTTTTTTTTTCATTCTCACGTCACCCCGTCTGCCTCTTTCCAAGGAGGAGGTTAGAAAGGGCGAGGTAGTTTGGTAATTGGAGGAAGTCGATATGGTTATTTATAACCTTGTAAGCACAGTATACTATGTACACTTACAGTTGTGGGTTTGTATTTTCTCCCCCTTTTGCCTCGCGTGGGTTGTCTGTATTTTCCATGATATCCACAAGCAGAAATCTCCAAAAGATGGTTTGATCCTGTGAAAATACTTTAATCCATGGTCTGAAGGATTTTCAAGACCATAAAAGTGGGCAAGTAGTGCTTCAAGTAAAGTACTTTCATGTGCGTATCCCTTCACGATGCCGCCCACGTTCCGAAAGCAACGGGGATTATTGCAGTCTATACTCTGCTCTCCACTTTATTTTGAACAAAAAACCATCAAGTTCCGGAGTGCTTGGGAAACAAATCCGCGGCAAACGGCCGACAGATTCGAATTCCCTGCTTCGTGAGTGGTCATGGACAGACATGGGCACCTGCCAAGATCTCCACAAAGACAAACCCGGCCCCTGCCATGGAGGAATACATACTGACACCCCAGTTGATGTGGCATGTTAGGTACCATGTGTGGCGCCATGAAGCCACTTCAAGGCTCCGAAAGCAACCAAGACTTTGAGCATGGTAACGTTCAAGACACTCTTGTCGAGATGGAACAAGGCTGTGGTAAGAAAATGAGTTCATTAGTCGGCCAAGTATTCATACGTAGCTATAGAGTGAAAGATGATATACATATGTGGGTTTAGAGTCAAGCATAAAACCCGAGATGTAGTGGATGAGCGCATATCTCAACAATTGGATATTATCCCTTGCCTGATAAACCTCCCTGCTGGCTGACTTACAAAGCTGGGTTGTAATCTTTACGTCGGCGTGTTGTAAGGCAGAAGAGATACTGCTACAGAATTTATTTGGACATGCCAAATATTGGACAATGCTTGGTGCTTGTGACAAAGGTCGTTTGACAATGAATTGGGGACGAGCGTGGGCTTGCCTGTCTGTTACATGATGCAGAACACGATATCGGACATGGCAGAGGTCTATTTGTAGATAGCATACGCACCGAGACGGCGAAAGTATGACCGGCTCGTCTGTCTATGCAAGTCGTGATTTGAAATGGGTCTTGCGACGTATCCTTACTTTGCGATTAGAGAATACATGGATGAAAACTCAACTGTAGTGGTGCCGACTGCAGCCAGCCTGAATGTTCAAGCAAAGATATCCAACCAAATGTGGGTAACTGGTCAAAGTGACGTATGTATATGAGCGTAGCAAGTACCAATGCCTTGGTTGAGAGGTGCCGGCTGATGATGATGCTACAAAGCACGGCGTGTATACAGACATGGTCTAGGGTGGCTGGCTGTGATGGCTGATGCTCATTCTAAGGGTCCTGCATGCTCTACCTGGCAAAACCGACATCTGTATACTCTATGCCATTTACTGGTGTCGCAAAATTGTGCAAGGGCGGCACTGATTTCTATAGATTACGTAGATCACTTTAGTGCTTACCACTTGTACGACCCTTTGTTGCTGTATCAATTTGTAGACGTAGGATCGGCACATGGCTGGTTAGTATAACATTATAATCTCGACCGCTGTCAATAACAGGGTACTGGCTCTGTTATTTGTATTTTACTAGGTGTTTGCAAAAGTGGGTTGGCGAAAGAGAAAAAAAGTATATTCATTTTCATGGCCGCTTCCAAGTGGAAACACGAGTTTCGGGAATTTCCATGGCGTTGAGCATCTTTACAGAGACCTGGCTGACCGTTCTCATATGTGCATGAACCAACAGTGGTTAGGATCCGGTCCAGCACATGGAAATAACCCTGTCAGTGGGGGGAAGCATGTCGATTTGTCGTTTTCATCACCTCTTGTGCAATACAAACGATGTTTCCTTCTCGCTGGGCTGTGTCTAGGCTTGGCAATATGGATATGTCAGCATAGAGACACGAATATGGTATTTCAAATCATGCCTCGGCAAAAAACTGCAAACTATACGGACTTGTCGAGTCCAGTGGCCATTTCCGATCCTTTTTTGGTAGTCAAGTAGCAACTAGAAATTTCCGCAAAGAGGGGCGACTCCACCATGGAGCCCGGAAAAGTCGTGATGAGGTCAGGGGTGGCATTTTCCCTGCGGCTTGAAACTCTGAATCGAGCCGACCCCGATTTTGCATCCATTTCAAATGCTTGTTTGTACACCATAGATATCAAACATAAGTGCCCATTCGAGGATATCGAGAATAATATAAATATAGCCTTGAGATCTGCTGTGAACCCCAAACTCCCTCTTCTGCCACTTTGAGAACCAACAAATCTTACTATAACAACGCCAACAACCACCAAATACGCAAAAATGGCCGTACCAGAAACCTTCAAGGCAGCTGTAATGCCCGAGGCTGGAGCCTTGAACGTCGTCTCGGACCGATCCTTGGCACCCCTCGAGAAGGGAGAGGTTGCCATCAAGATCACCGCAACCGCCATCAACCCGGTTGACTGGAAGATTCGTGACTACAAGGTCTTCCTCCAGCAATTCCCGGCCGTGGCCGGCTCCGATGCCGCCGGAGAGATCGCCGCTGTAGGCCCCGAGGTCACTGGCTTCGCCGAGGGCGACAGGGTCTTTTTCCAGGGCATCATTGGAAGATATGACTCTAGCACTTTCCAGCAGTACTGCAAAATGCCCGCCGCTCTCGTGGCCAAGACGCCCAAGAACATTAGCGATGAGCAGGCTGGCGGCATCAGTCTCGCCACCGTTGCCGTGGTCGTTGCGCTCTATGACAAGGCCAGCGGCCGCGGTCTGACCGCACCCTGGGAGCAGGGAGGTAGCGAGGCGGGCAAGGGCAAGGCCATTGTCGTCCTCGGCGGCAGCTCGTCCGTTGGCCAGTACGCCATCCAGATGGCCAAGCTCTCGGGCTTCTCCAAGATCATCACCAACTCGAGCGCCGGCCACATTGAGCACCTCAAGAGCCTGGGTGCCGACATTGTCCTTGACCGCTCCAAGCAGTCGACGCCCGAGGACTTTGCCGCCGCCGTTGGCGACCTGCCTCTGGACTGTGTCTTTGACGCCATCTCCGGCAAGGACACCCTGCTCCTCGGCGTCAAGGTCATCCAGGCCACCAAGACGGAAAACACCCACGTCTATGCCGTGCAGACGAATGCCGACGACGCCAACAAGCAGGGCGAGTCGCAGGAGCCAAAGACGTCGGTCAAGCCCGTGCTCGGCATGGGCGCCAAGCCCGAGCTCCGATACCTCAGCGAGCCGTTGATGAAGAGCCTCGGTGGCGAGGACGGCTGGATTGCCAAGGGCCTCTTCAAACCCAACCGTCCCCTGGTCATCCCCGGTGGTCTGCCAGCTCTGGAGACGGCGCTCAAGAAGAACAAGGAGGGAGTGAGCGGTGAAAAGGTGGTCATCAAGCCTTTTGATGCATAAAGATACCCCATAATTATAAATTCTTATTCATGCTATTTATATTGCCGTCTTTCATTATCTCGAATATTCATTGCTTTCACAAGTCGCCCATCTTGTGCGGGATGCTCTAGACTTGTTTGCCTCGTGTTATGACCCTCGACGTTTCCTCCTAAGCGCGTAGTGACAAAAGCAACCCGGCTCATCATCCTCTTCTTCATTGCCAATATTGTGCCAGTTTCTCCAGTGTAGCGATCCTAATAGTAACCGTGGTCTTGCCGATAGTCCATTGCTGGTGAGGGCAAACTCAAGTCCGAGTCCGTCACCTGTGACCAGCTTGAAAAGGAACTGAAACTAGGGGCAGGAGACTGCTCTTCCGGATAAAAGCGAGTCTCATAATCCGGGGGTACCTCGTCAAAGTAAGCCGAGAGTCCGCAGATATCAACCGAGCCGTCCATTCCTTGTTTTGCAGCCTCTTTGAGGGCGCCGGGGAAAAGTCCCGGACCATCTAGATCAGCGTAAACGACTCCAGGGCGGGTTGCTTTGATAAACAACCATACCTCGCCATTGCTGCATGTACAACGCAATTTGCTAATCATACGGCCTGATCCCGGGTCTTTCGAGAGGTAAATGCTCCCCCATGCTCTTTGAATACATTCTAGTGCTTGCACGCATCGGGCTGTGGGAGGATCTGCCATGTAGCCAGGAATGTACTCATACTGATGATATTCATTTTCAAGATGCTGAAATCCTGGCCTTCTGTGGGAATTGCCGACACGGAGAGGCCCTGAACTAAACATGGCCAAGACTCCGTCAAAGTGGGTAAAGGAATCCGCTCCTATCTTGACTGCGAGAAGCTCAAGTCTTTCAGCAAAGGGGCCGGTAAGTATATTGACGCAACTGCAGTTGAAGCATTTGCTTTGTAGAATCAAGGAAATACCCAAGTGAGTCGGGATTTTCATTTCCCATAGATTCCGTGTTCCGTTCTGTGGGAGGTTGATAACCGGCATGGCCTCGCGTATGCAGAAAAGTGCTTCGATGTACGTGGGATCAGGGGCAGGAGAAGTTGTGCGGAGTCTTGTCATTTTGTTTGACGATGAAATTATATAATTGGCAGTGTATACAGGGTATAGTAGTTGACTCGATGAAGAGTTTCTGTCTGAATGTAGTCACTTTGGTCAAGGAGTTTTGAGAGGACTGTATTTATATCTAGATTGAGGGATGCGCGAAACAATTAATCACAGAGCCATCATCAAGTGATTGGTGAACTCAATAACAGATCCCTTCACTCAGAGTGTGAATCATGTTACCACTCTATGCCAGCATTTTCCCTTATTCACAAGGCGGCTCTGGTTCATCCTTCCAAGCGTAGCCGATTGATGGACGAAAATACTCATACAAGACGTGTATGACCGATTCATAATAACAACGTTTTGTGTCTAGATGACATCGTACGCTGATTCCAAGGTTTGATCAAGCTTACTCCTGTATATTCAACCAATGTCATCCAAAACTCATCGTTCTCGATGTCTTCTCTCGGCACGACAACTGCTTCCTCCCCCCGGGCCCTCCTCGACACCAAAGTACGCAGCCACTCCGTATGCCATTGTTCTGCCGTCAATGCCATCATATTTCGCCATATCCCGTAGCGCATCAATCATGCCCCGCCGCCGTAGATCCACGGTTAGCACCCCCTCGCGCGTGCTGATAAAGTGCATATAGATGCCATTGTCAAAGTGAACCATGCACTCGTACTTTCCAGTCTTTTTACTAATCTGGAAACGGAGCTCATCCCGGCTGTCCAGCAGCATGTCGAATGCCTCGAGGCACTGTCTTCGGGCCGTCATGGCTTTACTCGCGGAATGATGCTGCCAAGAATAGATTGACGAACAAACTTTTTGATATACTTTCTTGATCCGGAAGAGACATGATTCAGGGGTCGGCAGTATAAAGCATATATACCCATGTATCCATTATACTCTAAAGAGCTGTTTGATATTGGAGATCAAAGAATTCGAACAAAGGGCTTTTCTCTTATTTCTATGGCGTTGTCGTCAAAGAGTCCTTCAACTTGACGTTTAGCAAGTAGGCGTCTGCTGCTCCATACTGGAACATGTGAAGTTGCGCTGTCAACATGCCCGGGCATGCATATCAGACTCGCCAAAAAAACAAAGCCTTGGTCCTTCGGAATTCGACTACTACTTGGCACACGTTTCAAGACCCATCTCTCAACACCAATCTAGATTGGGGAAACTCCATCCTTGAAGCAAGAGTATGGTTACTAGGCATATACTCATATGAATGTTACTTGGGCCTGCATGGTCTCGCCGCACACACGTTTCTCACAAACCCCATTGCCTTGGCTTCACTATAATAGAAAATTGAATAAAACAACTCTGGTTACACCTTTGTTCATAGAAAATTATGTACCTCCAAATCATATTCACCCAGCTGGCCGCCATCTTGGCCTTTCCGTCGGTCTCGGTTTATCCAGACTTTGCCTCCCGCCGGTTGGTCCACTGTCCAAGCGAGTATGTAGAGCGCTCGATGTTCTTCGACTTGGTGGTGATAGACGCGATAGTGACTCTCGCGGTCGGTGTGATAAACGTGAAGGCGTAGGACTTGCTATGCTGGCACCACTGGTGGACCGGGAATCATTGTAGCCATGGATATCTTCAGAGCTGCATTTTCGTGTGTGCGGCAAAGGTGTCAATGATGTTTTCCCACCACACCCATTTGGTGTAGCTTTAGAAACGTCTTCCGCCGCCACAGAGAATTCGCATTCCTCGCGGTCCAACTCGGCTCCTGTCCTCCACCATTTCGGTGCATTGGTCGGCGGTCGTTGTGCGAAAAAGGTAGTGATTCGGATGGTCCAGATGAGGTCGCCATGTCGAAAGCTAGCCTTCCTGACATCATTGGCCAGATTGCACAATTTCTTAACAAATACATCGTCTTTACCAAAGTTGAAGCGCATAGGGCCAACGTCTCGCAAAGCTTTGGATCTTCGCGCACATAGAGCAATGCCATAGCCCTTTTGTAAAAGCAGTGGCGGAAAGTTTGGCGTTCCTTCAAATCTTCTGAGCTCAAACTTGGCGCCTTCGCTCAATAATTCTCTGACTGTGTCGCGAAACGCCCAGTCCATGAACCAGAGTTCCTCGTCTGTTATCCAGTCCGACGCCGGTGGTGCGCGGTGGCCGTCTTGGCGTGTAATCAATTTCAGTTGCGTCAACTCGCCATTCTGATATGGTGGATCGGATCTGATCTCTTCATGGTTCTCGGTCATGACTGCAATGGTTTTTGATTATTTATTCAGATGATGCAGGTATATTCCTGGAGGTCAAGGCTCCAGCCGGTTCCTTGGAGGCTGTACAATTTATGCAATCTTCCAGCAACCCAAGGTCGAAAGGATGCTTGTTCACGCTCGTCTTTGTCGATTGCCACTCAAGAAAAAAAGGCCAAAAAGGTGCGATTCACGTTTTCCGAGGTCATGAAAAAAAAAGGATCATGTCGCTCAATAAGGGGCTTTGGCGGATAAAGGCGATTTGGTGTTTCGTGCCAAGACCAGGGGACAAAGACAAAAAGGAATTATTGCAGATCCGACACTGCTACAGCAACAAACCCAAAATGTCACCCGTCCAAAAAGTCGCGTCCAACACAAAAAAAATCACCAAATTGTCAAGCTTGTGTAGATGAACATGAATCACTGAGGAAACGTACTTTGTTCCTTGATATCATCGCTTGATCATGTCATGATTCGTCCTTGCCATGTTCGCTTGACCATGAAGTTGTGATTGCATCCAATGCAGTCAATCAAGGGCTCGTGATGGTAAACTACGATCAATCAAACATGACCCCAGATACTCATTAGACCTTGCCTTGCCAACACGAGCGCGTTTCGATCTACCTCATTGCTTTTCGACAGCGTTGAGCCATGCCTCCTTCACTGCGCTCCAATACTTTTCAGGATCTGTCCGCATGTGCCCAACGTGAGGCGAGTTTTCAAATCTCTCCAGGTCCACCTGGTAACCAATCTGCTTTGCACTAGCTGCATGATCCTCTACTGCCTCCCACGGTATAATATCGTCCCCCGTGCCGTACAAATGTATCCTCGGGGTCTTGACGCTCTCGAACTCGGGATCATTAATGATCTTGCAACTAAAGACGGCAGGGCTGGGGATTCCGCGGAGCCAAAGGATACCGTGGCTGACTAGCAAGAAGAGCGCACTGATGAATTGCGGGATAACCAGAGGACCTGGAAACCACGAGGCGGCGCCAATGGCCATGGCGCGGGACCACGGGCCGATATTGGACCTGAGCAACGGACTGCCGGGCGTCGAGTCGAAAATGGATAAAACGTGAGGCAGTGCTTTTTCTGGGTTGAGACTGCTGTATGCGTGCAGAGTCGACGCATAGTTCATGCCTCCAGTGTTGGACATGGCATGGACGAGTACCCGCTCATCAGCTCCGGCGAGCGCGCCGAGTACAACTTCCATCCTCTGTGATCTTTGTTCCGGCGTCTGATAAAAGAGCCGCAGCATGGGTCCCATGATCAAGATGATCTGCGCGCTGGGGTATAGTAGCAGATAGCCTAGAATGTATTTGTGAAGGTGCTTGGGAAGGGCGTCTCCCCAGGCGTATATGAGAATCGTCGTGGGATCTGTTGATTTGGTTGCCGCATTGTCGCTCTTGGTCCCCGGCCGTACGTATACCAGTTCGCTCAGCTTTGTAAAGCCCGGTAGTCCTTTTGACTCTGCCATTATAAAAGACGAGGACGGATGATTATTTAATAATTGAGACGAACAGAAGAAAGGATAGGCTGGTCAATTAAAGGAATCCTGCAGGATCATCTCACTCTTATCAATGCCTACACGGCGATTTGCAACCGGACTTTGCTTCATCGACCGGAGATTTTTTTCGAGCTCCAATCTGTAATGTTGGGGACTCGTCATGGTCGCTACCTGACTATCCATGTTACTATCCAGCAAAGCGTTGAGGCCGCTGACCTTGGCACCAATCACTAAACATTATGATCCACTTTTCGGATCCGAAGGCTTGGTCGCACTATTCGTGCACTTGCTCTCTTTGGATTTGACACTCGGTAGCCCGAGTATAGTGCAGGAGGTAGTCGGTTATTGGCTCTTTGGACGAGTCTAAATTCTGCACGGAATACTCTCTGAAATCAGTGGTCTATGATATAACAAGAAGCTCTTTGTTTCGAACATCAGTTGGCAGATTGTCCGCCGTACTACAATATGTCTCGTGATAGTGTCATTGGCGATGGGACAAGAGATACAGAGGCTCGATACTCTTGTCAAGAGTGACCATATATTTTCAATTGTGACTTGCCTTGAAGAAGAAAAGGAAATAAGAAGAAGAAGAAGCTGGAGATGCAGTATATGAGGAAAAGAAGCAGAGAAGGCCAACAGAGCTAGGTTTGTTTTCACGGGTCATTCTCTCTGTCCACAAAACTTGGCAAAGCGGCCGTCGATATCAAGGTATTCCGCGACCAATCACTTCATTTCGAGCTGCCAAATGTTTGAATATCATATCATCGTTGAGTTTGTTTTCTGGTGGCAGCAATTCTCATCGAGCAGAGATGCCAGACCTTATTTATTCGGGTTGAAGCTGTAATGTTTTTGCTCGCTACAAACATTCTTGAGCAGGTTTGCGAGTGTCATTACCGATCCGCCCGGGCCTAAATCCGTGCAAGCAGCCATCTAAACCACTTGACAGTTCTACTTGGTCCGGTCTTGATGTCCCGGTATCCGATGCATTCGGCAATGTCGGTATGCCAAGCATGGAACGACTGGCGAGACTGGGTCTCGGACACATCAAGCTCGCCGAGCCTGAAACCTCCGAGAGTCGGTTGAACTACGGGCCCACAGCGCCTAACCGCCAGCCGCCCATGGAAAATGTGAAATGATCGGCGAGCCTGGACTCGGCTGGAACATCGAGACCACGGTGCATTTGAGGCTCTTTTATCATTGGTGCAAAGTTGGAGGGTCATGGAGCCAATGACTGCTCCTAGGCAGTTGGGTCGTGCCCGTGCCCAGTGTTCGTTGGGCAAAATCTGGGGAGAGAGCAAGTGTAATTAATGGACACCAATCACTTTCAATGTCTCGTCTGACAGCCAAGACTGCTCACCATGTCCTTTTTGCGTATCACTGGGATAAGATCAAAAGGAAAGAACTCTGTCTGTGCCTGTGTAACTGTCGCGGATACGACGGCCCAAATGATACACCGCACCTCTCCGGCCATGGATGTCCTGGGCAAGGGGCAATGATCTGCGAACCCGCTTGATATTGTCTGGCCTGGACAGGAAAAAGGAAATCGATGGACCACAATTTCTACCGGAGTTCGAGGGGGATCATGCTATCCGTGGCTCCATGCAGTTTATTTTGCTCGCTCCGTCTTTCCACGACTGGGGGGCAGGCTTGATTTAAAGGCATGCAGTCTTCAGGGGGTAGTACTCTGTAATTCATCGAGGACAAGAGATGCAGAGCTACGGATACTACTTTCAAAGTTTCTTTCCTACAATAGAGTTACTTGAATTGCTAGTATCCAAAACCGGCATGTCAAGACTAGCGTTGCCGACTGCCGCCTCTAATTTTGTTCTGACCCATTTCTGATCTTGTTTTCGGATAGCAGCGCGTTTATTCAAGCCCGTATCTTGGTGTATCCTCGTTATCTAGACGCAGTGCCGCCGGTAAACGCGGGGAGGTTTTCTCAATACCATATTATGATCCACAGAGGTGGTATGACTTGGTGTGCACTATTAATTCGTCAACAAGATTTACTTGTGCTGCATTGGTTATCAAATAGTAGCCATCTGAGGACCGTGAAACCTTGGTGTTCACGTAGCCAGCGCTTGAAGCTTGTGAAGCACAGGTAGGCAGGCAGGCCAGCATCTCACGATCAAGTGTGGAGGCGAGCTGCTTCTGCAGGGGGCGCCTCGGGCGCTGCTGTGCTCGTAATGACATTGTAAAGCCCACTTTCATCCGCATTTGGCCCAAAAATGCTGCCAAGTACTGTCAGCCAGCCTCTTTGCGGCCAATGAAGAGGTAGATTGAGGAGATATCACGTCGATCGCTGAGGCGCAGAGGCAGGTCAACCATGTCCTGTACCGCTGGCTGTCTTTGTGCGGCTAACTCGCTGTACACTGATACCTTGGTCATCGAGGGGTGGTCGTGGCATGAATACCTCATCGTGATATGGGGTCAAATGATCTCAGATTGGGGGACAAGATGAAATGGTTTCACCAACAAAAGCGACATCTGCATGGACTAGTACTTTGATCGGTGTGCATGGGGTAGCAAGCCACCAGAGCTCCCACAACCCGCAGATTAATCAATGCCACGGGAATAAAGATGGTCCATTATCTCATCTTTAGATCCCCATGATTGCAGATCTCAGGTCGAGCTTTGGCTTACGCGGGGCGCGCCCTACTACTGCCAGCTGCTACTACTGTCTTGACTACGGCAACAGAATCATCTTCTCCATTCAGATTGCCTAGGTATAAAGTACATTTGAGGCAATAAGGCAGTCCACAAGATACCAGCAAGATTGAAAAAAGATACGAAGCAAATGGCAGTAGTTTGAACCGATACCGAAAGTAGCTCTCGTATAGATGATACGAATGCACCTGTGGTTCCTAGCTAATCACCTTCAAGGAGGCCGATGGAAGGTCTGCAACGATCCGTTCCCCCTTGTCATTAGGCCCTAATCGGGTGCTGGGGCCAAGCACCCCAGCTCTCTCTTACTCTCCAGATGGCGCACGACAGAGAGTGACCATTGCCATTGGGAATTGTTGTTTGAAGCCAAAAAAAAAAAAAAACATGTCGGCTGCGGTCTTTCCCTCGAGATTTTAGACCATCTTGTTCAGATCAATACAGCCTTCCTTCTTTCTAGCGGGGCTTGTATTCAGCTGCCTACGGACACCGACAAGAAAAGGATATATATATCAAGGGGCGACTAACATGATACTTGGCTGAGTTCGGTATGCCCGTCTCCGGCAACTACGAGCGCCCCTTCCCGAGGGACCCTGAATTAGCTCGAGGGATTAGCGCGATATGTCAAGAATAAGGACCGGCGCTTGGGCAGCTTGACATTTAAGCGATTTTGATCTCTAACGTTGGCATTGTGTGTCCTGTAACAGATTGGCTCCTAATTGACCTCTTCGCCTTTGCTCCCGATAACATGTCTGCAATACCGAGCGGGAACTACGAATTTGATGTCATGTTTGTCTACTTTACAACAGGCATGTTGGTCGGGCAAAGTGGCACATGTGCGCCAATGTCAAGGCATTCTGACCTCAGGTTCGAGGTCGGATGGAGCATGGCATGGCAGACAGCAGCAAAGTCATTCACTCAATGCCATGACGTGACATGCCAATAATTTGTTGCTGCATTGATTCATGGCCTGTTCATTATACAAAAATCGCCGGTCACAATCAATGCTCAAAAGCCATGACCCTCTCCGGCCAAGCATGAGTTTGAGCAGAGACTGAACGCAACCTACTACCCTAGCTACCTATGGACCTGTGTAAGACGGTAGACCGACAGATCTCATAATCTAAGAATAGGCGCCCTGGCATTGACATGGTCCCACACCACAAGACTGCCTTGCGAGCCTAATGAGGCCTAACAATGGGCGAACCACCTGAACCTCGAATTTGCATTTAATACAATAATACTTGGGTATCCAAGAGTGGAAGAAGATGTAAAATTCATGTTACCAGGCAGACCGTTGCTACTCGTGACATCAGCATCCTTCTTCAGCAATGGAGTGTCGCAAATGCTAGAACAGACAAGAAAGAATAATGAAATGGCTGACCGGATTTGGGCAGCCAGCGCAGACCGTTTAGTGGGCACTTGCCTGGGGGGAGAGGAGGGGCGGGTGGCGGCCGGGACGACGTTTGCACGCTGCCCATTTATCAGCAATCGTACCTTTTACACTTACTTTTTTACCTTGGAAGAAAGGCAATCCCCGAGTGTAGGTGAGACCAGTCATTCAGTCAGTTCAACTGCAAGCATGAATCTTGCTTAGCTCGGGCCGCCCATGTGCTTTATGTAGGTATGTTTGTGAATGCAAGTAAGTATGCATCCTTGTCTGGGAGGAAATGTACATTATCCATCTACGTAAGATATGGGGTTATCCAGGCTCCGTGCTCACTCATCATCAGTCCCAACTCCCTCCCTCAGGCACTGACTGCTGGCGCTGATGGTCAAGCCATCCACCCAAAACCTCCCGGGGCATCCACTTTGCCTTTACCTCACCAAGCCGCTTTGAGCCAAGCCAAAACCAAGCCTAGCAACCAGCCCTTTTCAAGTCCCTCACAACCTCTTCTCCTTCTCTCCTCCTTCCCTCCTTTCCCCGACGTAACTGACATTTCGTCTTCTTCACCCTCCCGTCAAGAGAGACTTCTTCTTGCCGTTAATCCCCATTTACGGCTTCTCTCTACACATTTTTTGTTCTGCTTTCCGTTTGTTCTCCCCATCGCAGGACTCTACTTGATTGTTCTGCTCACCAGCGTGCCGTTTGGTAAGTCCCTCAACAACTTTGTGCCTCCCCTCTGACCTCTCCTCTTTCTCTCCCTCTCCTCGTTTCCGTTTTCCCACTGCCCGGGTACCTTGACCGACCGCTGGGCTATTCACTCATTCACTCTACCATCTCTTTCTCGAGTTCAGCTCTTTGCACCTTACATCCAAAGTCATCTCCCCAACCTAATTGCACCTTCTTGTAAACAAACAAGATCGAGGGTGCAACATTTCGAACATTCTCTAGGCTGCATCCTCTTTCTTGCACCTTTGTTCCTTGCATCTCTCCTTCTCCCAGCATTTTTGGTCCCGCCTGTGCTGTCCGCCGGTGTACCGCACCTCCACCGCTGAGATTTAGCCTGCCTGACTCGAACGCCTGCAACTCCATCCTTCCCAACCCGCCGATCTTGAACAAACTCATCACCGACTCTGCCACCACACGCCACGACCCGGGAAAACAAGCTGCCAGCAATCAGAAAAACCAGCTTTACTGACATTTCATCTGCAAACAGATTTTTCTCCTCCTTCCCCACAAACTGACACAAGTCGGCTCATTCCACTACTCATCATCGAGAAGCATTTGCTCTCGTAAACCGTCACGATGACCACAATGGTATGTCCCCCTCCTGTCTACACCTAGCTTGCTCGTCCCTGGACTCGTTGCCAAAGAAACGGTCCGGAGCCATGGTTGTATCTTGTCCCTGCCAGCTTTGCCTAGCTGGACCATTTACCCATGCTTCACCGTCCACCACCTGGTGAATTTGTCATGTCTCTCGTTCAGTTGCTAATGAGTTCACTGGCAGGATCTCCGCGTCGGTAACAAGTACCGCATTGGTCGAAAGATCGGATCCGGTTCCTTTGGTGACATTTACCTCGGTACCAACATCATCTCTGGCGAGGAGATTGCCATCAAGTTGGAGAGTGTCAAGGCCAAGCACCCTCAGCTCGAATATGAGGCACGCGTCTACAAGTCCCTTGCTGGCGGTGTCGGTATCCCCTTTGTCCGCTGGTTCGGTACCGAGTGTGACTACAACGCAATGGTTCTGGATCTCCTCGGACCCAGTTTGGAGGATCTCTTCAACTTCTGCAACCGCAAGTTCTCGCTCAAGACGGTTCTTCTGCTCGCCGACCAGTTGATCTCCCGTATCGAGTACATTCACGCCAAGTCCTTCATCCACCGTGATATCAAGCCCGACAACTTCTTGATGGGCATTGGCAAGCGCGGCAACCAGGTCAATGTGATTGATTTCGGTCTGGCCAAGAAGTACCGGGACCCCAAGACCCACTTCCACATTCCCTACAGAGAGAACAAGAACTTGACCGGTACCGCTCGATACGCTTCCATCAACACCCATCTTGGTGTCGGTACGTTACTTGCCTTGTCCCACTTTTTGCCTGGTTTGCATTACTGACAGCATACAGAGCAATCCCGTCGTGATGACATGGAGTCCCTCGGCTACGTCATGCTCTACTTCTGCCGCGGCTCTCTGCCTTGGCAGGGTCTGAAGGCTGCCACTAAGAAGCAGAAGTATGACCGTATCATGGAGAAGAAGATGACCACCCCGACCGAGGTCCTCTGCCGTGGCTTCCCCAACGAGTTTGCCATCTACCTCAACTACACCCGATCGCTTCGCTTCGACGACAAGCCCGACTACAGCTACCTCCGCAAGATCTTCCGAGACCTCTTTGTCCGCGAGGGCTTCCAGTACGACTACGTCTTTGACTGGACCGTCTACAAGTACCAGAAGAATGCTCAGGCTATTGCTCAGGCTGCTGGTCAGCAGGCCGTTGGCGATGACGACAAGGATGCCCGTGCCCGTGGTACTGCCGCGGCTACTGCTGGCCAGCCCTCTGCCAAGCCCAACGCCATTCCCAGCTCTCGCCGCAAGGTGATTGAGCGTGGCGCCCCTGGCGTTGACACTCCGGACACCAACCGTGCCGTCGGTGGAAGCGATAGGATGTGAGTGTCTCGCCAGCCCAGTTCAGCCCAGCCCAGTCTTTTGAATTCCTTGTAAGGAATATTTCTTTCCTTCGCGTTTAGTGTGCTTCTCAAACGCTGGCCGAGGGGACCTGCTGACACCTTTGCTGACTCAGTCCTCGGTAAATAGGCTGCGCTCAGCTTCCAAGGGACAAGGTTCGGGTTTCCCAGCTACATCGTACCGACCCAAATGATTCTTTTGCCTCTGGCATAAAGAAATTGTTTATTGCGACGTACTGAAGTTTTGAGCCGCCCGAGATCCTAAACCAGCACGCACGCACCTCTCAAGCCCTCGCAGTTTTCCAAACCTTTCTACACTGGCATTGGCGTCAAGGAAGAACTCGAAGCATTCGCTCGAGTAATCGATTTGAGTGTTTCAACTCTCCTCCGACGCAGCCACGATGGTCAGGGAGGCCCGTTACGAGGCCAAGCTTTTTTCTTTCCTATTACATGGACCGCTTTCCTTCCGTTCTGCGATGAATTCTTCGAGTGCATAATCTTGGCTCGGAAGTTACGGAGCCTCAAACCTACCGACGAGGTTTGGGGTAACCCGGCGCTTTCCGAACGGCATGCCCGGCACTTTGACCTCACAAAGTGTCAGCATTCAGCAGATTGTGTTTATCGACAAGCAATGTTCACTTTTGAGACGGATAGTCAAGCATACGTTTCGAGTCGAGCATTCACGAATTGGCCCATCGGCTTCTGGTTATGATCCGTCACTTTTACCAGTACCGTTGGGACATCGTTGCGATGCGTCAGCCTTCCTAGTGCGAGCACTTTGCCTTTGGTTTCTTTCCTTTTCTTTCTTTTCATCACATGTTTCCTGATTTCCTTCCGCCTCTGGGGAGTCTTAATTACGGCATGCATGGTATTGGTCACGTTTGTGGATGGGTTTTGGCGGCCACAATCGTATCGTTACCATGGTCTTGACGCTACAAAATCCATCAGCATTGATAAAGTGGCATTTGACCAATTGATTCTGCGAGTAATCCCAAAAGCCACTCTGGGGGTTTACCAGCATCACGTGGTCAAATATCATGGTCACGTGATTCAAAGCATCAATGGTAATCCACGGCATGGCTGCTGAAGATGACGTCCCGCCCTGTCAGCAAAGCTACATATTCTGTCAGTCAATACTACGCAAGGGGATGGCTTCTGGACTCGCCCGAGGGGAAATGCTCGCGCAGCCAGGAGGGAAATCATGGTTCTTCCCAGTACACAACGCTACGAGCGTACATACACACACTCTACTTAGTCTTCGGAATCCCAGTTCATCACTTTAAAATTCTGCTCTCCATATGCTTTTGGTGATATTGTGCAAGTAAATAAGTGATGATGATTTATGTATGCCCATGTCTTACTCTGGCGTAAATTCAAGTGACATGTCTTGTCCTGATTATCAGACAGCAGCTCAAGCTCCGAAGGACAGAATGATGCCTGTTGGTATTGCTTTGCTCGGCCTTTCTCGAGGTTGGTGTGTAGGAGCCTAGCTCAAGGCAACGACGTTGCGCGAGGCTGAGCTGGTATCAATGCCCACCGTTCTGTGTTCCTCGACAGCCGATAGCAAGTTATGACTGCCACTAGCTAACGTAGGGATGTGGCTTGACGTTTGTCGTAAATAGCCAGTTACCTCCGGTGTAGTTCATTGGGGGGGGGGGGGGGGGGGGGTAAGATGATGGTCACGACTCGTGCATTTTCAGTTGGCTGCCCCTTTGTTTCTCTTGCCTGAGTTGTCTTGGCGCTTAACGCGATCATGTCCACGTGTGCATGTCAGTAGTCATTTGGAGTTCCAGTGGACATGGCTTCTCGGCTAGATCAGTTAGGTATGCAGGTTATTTAGATAGCCGTGTAGGTACTGTAGGTATAGTTGCATGAGAGGGTGGTAGGTAGTATCTATGATTGAGAGAGATTTGGTAGTATTTAGAGTTGCCGGCATGTTCAAGTCGACGTCCCCCCATCATCTGAGATGACCTTGGACTTTTATATTACATTTTATACACTACATATCATATTTGAATGGGGCTCAAGCTACAACAGACTGAGAATCGGTGTACATTAAAAGGCGGGTTTATTCTTTTTCTATTTTAGGCTATCAAGTACTGCACTAGTACCTACAGAATGTACACTAGATTCTCAAGAGTTCTAGATTTTAAGCGATTGCGAGGGGATTGGAGGAAGAGGGGCAGCATTGGGTGACCTTACGATCAGCCCCGCTCATTCCCGCCCCCAGGGCTCAGCAGATCTGCTTGGCTAGCTGGTTGGGGAGGGAGAATAAATCATGCGGGAAAGAAACCCCGGCCAGATTGTAGTACTTTCCCATTCATTCATCCACCTACGTACATACATTACCTACTGCTGCTACCCACCTGCTAACAAGCGCATGTGCAATGTACGTCACGTCCAAACTCTAAACTGCCGACCACCTTTTTGCACTGGGACGTACCTGAGAGCTCTCAAAGCTACATCCATAACCTGGTACCTTGAATCTGGGTAGGGACTTGGAAACTGCTCAGATCGTCAACAATAAACAACAAGACAACTCGAAGTCACTCTCAAGTTTTTCTTTTTCTTTTTCTTTTTGGGACACTCGAATCATTTCTAGATTTGGCACTTCATCTTGCTTCGCTAGCATCTGTGCATAGCCTTTGTCTTTTTTTTTTTTTTGCCATTCTCGCATTCTCCACACTTGATACTGTTCTCGTCAGGGGCTGACGTTATTCTACTCCCTCACCATGAGTGATTCAGCATCATCTGAGGATTTCCCGTCGCCGCCCACGGTGGACATCTTCTACCTCACCTTCAATGCTGGCAAAGATTTCATTTCGAGTACAGTTTTTGGTAATCACGTATACAATGCCTTCAAGGAGAGCAACGTTGGCACCACGTTTCTCCCAGAGCTGGTTGCATTGTAAGTCTATTCCGTCTTGCTTATTCAGCGTGGTGCACTCTCGCCTAGATCTGGCTAACATGTTACCTCGACAGCTCTCTGCAGGAGCTCGCTCCTATTGCTGACGCGTTCCGAGGAGGTTACTGGCTGAATCCATACGTTGCGTGCTATGAGGCTGCCCTCAACCATGCGACTGCCAAGTATATCGCCGACGAGGGTCGCCGGGATCACCGCAATGGAAATGTATCCCATGTATCGCCTAGGCCTTACACTCTGGTCAAGTCGTGCAATGTCGGTATGACCGGCATCATGCTCTTTGCTCAAGACCCTACCGCTGTGAGCAATGTCCAGATGGCCGAGACGGGCTTTGGAGCTGGCGACATGGCAAACAAGGGAGCCGTCGGTCTACGTCTTGACTTTGAAAAGGACAACAAAACCACCGAGCTTACCTTTGTCAGCACACACCTGGCTGCAATGGAGTGGAATCTGGAACGGCGAAACAAGAATTGGGCCAGCGTTGTCAGCACCTTGGTGTTTGGTGATCCAAAGAAAATCGTGGCTGCCGATGAAAGCAGACATAGGTCGGACGGCGTGTTTAGTGAAGACCAACCACTACTGTTTCATTCCGACACGGAGAAGCAGCTCCACGACATTAGCATCTACAAGCCGGGCAGCCATTTGTTTGTGGCTGGTGACTTGAACTACCGCATCTCCCAGACTACGCCGCCCGAGAATGCCGTCTTTCCAGAGTTGGACCCCGACAGCCCTCACCACTACTCGAGATTCTTGGCCCGTGATCAGTTGATGCTTCAACAATATCAAGGAAACACCTTGCATGGCCTGTCCGAAGCACAGATTGACTTTCCTCCGACCTACAAGCTGGACATAAAAGACAAGAAGTCTGGTTCGAGATCACGATTTAGCAGAGATGCGGAAGATGACGAGGTCGACTGGACATTTGCAACACACCGCTGGCCAGGATGGTGCGATCGCGTTCTCTATATGGAGGTGCCCTTGTCAAAGAAAAACCCCAAGCCCGAAGAGTACAAGATCAAGGTGCTGAAATACGACTGCTTGCCGCCCGTCCGAACCAGCGACCATCGGGCAGTATATCTAAGGTTGCGTGTCCCTGTGCTCTCGACAGAGGAGCTCACGCCACCTAGCGATTCTCAGTACACCGCGCCTGGCAATATTGTGGATCCGAGAATTCAGCTTCCCCTGGCTATTGAGCCTGAAGCCTGGCAGCATCGGATGGCTGTAAAGAAATGGGAACACTTCATAGGTTGGAGCATGGCCATTGGTCAATCCAAGCAGACCATCCTGATTGCCTCGACGCTGTTACTGCTTGGTATCAGCAGCTGGTATTACAGAAGCCGAACAGCCTCTTAGTTGGAGAGTCTGAGGTACAAGGCTCGTGGGTTCCTCTCTTGGACGGGTTGGCGCAAGTGATTTCTCTATGCCTTGCTTTTTGTTGTTTTTGGTATACCCAGGACGCCCAACATGTTATAGACCGGGGTCGTCTTGACGACAATGTTATATATACTTGCCTTTTGTTTGGTTCATGGGGCTGGGCCACTAGTTTGTGGCTGTCCGTTTTTGGAGGAGCTACGTTATCTCTTATATTCTGCTTTGTGCATCAATTATCGGCACTTGATGGTCGTGCCTTGGAGAGCAAGACGAAGCGATGCGGATTGCCATGAACTCGGGTTTCTGCAGTACCCGTAGGTATACCGGTAGAATTAGAGCCTCGAGGTTTAGAATCAGCGAATCATTATACATTCCACATCTCATCTAGTCTGTCGCCGTGGCATGGTGAAAGTGATCATATACATGGTTATACGACACTTGATCATTTGCTTTTGTCCAAAAGCGTCTGGGTATTTCCTCCTCTAATCATTGTAGTCGCCTAACCGTGCTGCCCAGGGTCGATGACGGCCCCGAGCAACGCCGGCACAGTCGAGCAACGTGCGATAGAATAACTCTCTGCTCTCAATTTCAAACGGGCTGGGGACGTTTTCATGGCATTCCCCTGCTAGGTGGCGCAGTCGGGAAACTGCAAAATTATCCCAGCGCGGGACTGAAGGGACTGCACGATGATATAGCTCCTGCAAGATGAATGGACGCGACCGTGGGTCGTTGGCTGCAGCGGAAAGCGACAATGGCAGAGCTGATAAAAGGGTTCGGTTAAGACGAGGGCATGACTTGATATTAGTGGAAGAGGGGGACGACTTGGAGGACGGCCTACGATCCCCGGGTGCAGGCTTCGTATCTGATGCGAAAGAGACATGGCGGACGCCTTGATGGCCTGGTGGTGGCGTCTTGCTCTTTTCAGGAGGTTCTTCGCCGAATCTATACCGTGGTCGTCCTCGACGTTCTTCCTCTCCTTTTGGACTAGAGAGCTCTGCCCGGTCAAACTCCGATTCTTCTGCTTCCTTTCTTCTGGCCCGTGGCCTCGACTCTTGCTCCCGCGACTCTCTTCTCTCATTCGCGTCCTTTTCGACATCTCTCCAGGCCTTCTTGGCCTCATTCATACACTCGGCGTAATATTGCCTCCACCCACTCAACCTCCAGGTCGCCTCTTCGGTGCTATTGTCTTCGGTCACGGGAACTCTCCAAGGGCAGTGCCGGTATCTCCAGGGCCAGTCCATGTCACGCCAGCGATAGACAAAAGGGTTCCAGTCACGGACCAACCACAAGGGTAGTGCTTCGTTGCCGATTGCCCTTGGGACGCATGCGACGCCTGACCACCCAATGAACCACAACTTGCCTTGTTGGTCGATGATGATGTTGTGGAGGTTCAGATCGTGATGGGTTAGCACAAAAGGTTTCTTTTCGCCTTTATTCCATCTTTGAATCGCCAGCTCCTCCTCGTCCTCCTCGTCACTTTCGTCGTCATACCCAACTCCCAGAGCCGTATCGCTCTCATGCCACCATTTGAAATAACTCTCCAACAGCATTGTGCTACCAAAATCCGAGTTCTCTCTGACATTGTGGCAGTCTATCCTACTTGTATAATAGTTCTTGACGGCGTCTTTTCCCTTCCAGGGGCCTAGCTCCCGATAAATGGGCGTTCTCTTGCACTCGAGCTTTTCTTCTGGACTCAAGTGACACAGCCATCTGTCGAGCATGGCCTCGATATCCAAGATCCTCAGCGGGCCCACGCCGAGCAGCTCCTCCGTCTCGCGGCCTCTGGCATCCCGGACAAACTGGTATCGCGGCGCGCCCCCGGACTCGAATTCAAAGCGCCGCAACTCGCTCATGGCGGCCGCGACGTTGGACAGGATCCCGCGCCGCAGCTCCTCGGCCTCGGGCCGCCACCACCCCGTTGGTCCCCAGCGCGTGAACCAGGCGTCGTGCGCCGAGATACCATCGACGTACTGCATCATCATGTACGGCACACGGATGCGGTTTCTCGTCCCGTCCCTGCTCGTCTCCCCGGCGCTACCGTCCCAGTGGTACACCCGGGGGATGTTGAGGTTCGTGTGTACCCCCAGCTCGCGTCGTAGCCACCGCATCGTTCCGACCTCGCTTGCCAGAGCGCGCTCGTCACTGGAGTGCCAGGCATTGGGGGTCCCGTTGATGGGGATCTTGATGAACCACTTTTTGGCATCACCGTCTTTTCTGTTGCTACTTTTCCGTCCATATTTGCTGCTGTTCGCACCAGCACCAGCACCAGAAGACGACGATGATGATCCTTGCCAGATTAGAGGAAATCCCACACTCATGGTCCCGAACCGCGGCTCGCCGACGTGGACGTGGACGGGTCCGCGGTATTTGGACGCCAGGCCCGCGCGCCACGCCACATCCTCGGCCACGGCCGCGACAGCCGCCCAGTCCACCCGGGCCAGCACGGGGCCAAAGTCGGCCAGTTTTCCCGCCCGGTTCGCGGGATTCTGCGGGTCTTGCGTCTTGTCCTGTTTGTCCAGGGGCATGTTTCGACCCATCTCGGCGCGGAGCTTGACCAGCAAGGCCCTGGCCTCGGGGACGCAGGCGCTGTTGGCGTGGGGGTCGAGAGAGGGGTTATCTGGGTCAAAGGGAGGAATTCTAGTCGTCGAGGAGGAAGACGAAACAGCAGCAATGTTGCTGCCCGTCGTGAGTGCAAGGTCGGCGAGCTTGTTGACCATGTCTCCGATATTGTCTTGCAGCGGTGCCACGACCGTCTCGCGTAGCTTGTCCTGCATGTCCCGGATCGGGGGAACAGCATCCAAAAGGGTGCCCAGGGGTATTTTGAGGCGCTCCATTGGGTTTGTCCAGGGAGGGGAGGACCATGAAACTTGTAAACTCCTTTTAGTGTTTTATCAATCTTTGAAGGGCTGTGTGATACCCGCATAGGTTGAAAAGATGAAGCTGAACTCGGTGCTCTCCCCTCCAGAGGGTGAGATCATCTGCCTAGAGCGATCCCTGGACGTAGTTGACATGACAGGTTCGCGAATGGGACTGCGATGCTGACAAAGAGTGTCTACTACCGGTTTCGTGATAGCAGTCAAGAGATAATGGGATGCCTTTCTTTGTTATCGTGCTTATGGAAGAACAACCGTGATCCTTGCCGAGTTGTATGATCAGTCGTTTCAAGAATTCAGGACTCAAAAGGGACGACTCATCATTTTGTATGCCACTCGCCATGGCGTCTTCAATACTCAGATCCGTCTCGAAACCTCAGAATCGTTGTGGGTGAGGCTTTTTTTGTGCAAGATTATATTATCCCAAACTATATACAGGCGAATCTCGTCTGCCGATATCCAGAATTAGCAATAAAGTATTCAGTGTGATTGAAAACTTTGTTCTGTGCGCGAAAAGACAACCAACCAGCCTTTCGAGTTCGTAGCCCAAAAGTTACATCAGCCAAAATAACCCCCGAAAAACAAATGCGCTACCAAAAATGCCCCAGGACATCATATGCTCCCCTCTTGCCGCCCCCCATTTCTATTGTACAATTCTTCCGTTGCCACCAAAAAGGCTTCATTCGATCAAGAACAGGCGTCAGGACATTAGTTTTGTTATACAAGTATCGGTTCACGTGAGTCGTGAAAAGAATCCACCCAAGCAAAGATTCATGCTGGTATTGTAAAGAAAAAGAAGAAGAAAAAAAAGTGCTCCATTCATGGAATTTCCGACGATGAAATCAAATGTTTCAAGATGGCTCAAAATCCTTCAAAGTATTTGTCGTACTTTTCGTATAGTTCATCGGTATATGGCTCACGCTTGCCGTCATCTTCTGGGTATACATCAAAACATTGGGCATCTCCGGGAAATCGAACTTGTGGCTGGATTGGTGGTCGAATTTGTCTGTCAAACAATGCCTGCCAGTCGAGGTTCTCAAAGAACGGGTGCTGCTTGACGGCTGACGAACCACCGCTGATATTACCCAAGCGGCGCGAGCGGTCGACTGTGCAGAGCGAACGGATAATATGTTGTGCATGATGTGAGATGGGAGGTTCTGCAGGAAATACCACTGGCTTCTCGACAATCCTAATAATCTATCAGTCGTTTGGCGCAGAAAAGGTGTCAAGTGGACAGCTTACTGCTTATAGATTTCAATCGGATTTTGGTGCCAAAACGGTGGATATCCCGTGAGGAATTCATATATGAGAATACCCAACGCCCACCAGTCAACGGCCGTGGTATGTCCTTTGTTCTGTATCACCTCGGGGGCGAGGTATTCAGGTGTCCCGCAAAGAGTATACGTTTCGACTGGTTTGTCGTTTTTGTATCCTAACCGCTTGGCGAAGCCAAAATCTACCAGTTTGACGTGCCCTTGTGCATCGAGAAGCAGGTTCTCGGGCTTGAGGTCTCGGTATGCCACGCCTCCTTGCTGCTCGTGAAGATATTCTAATACCAGGACAATCTCGGCAGCGTAGAATCGGGCCCATTCCTCGGGGAAGCGCCGGTGTCGTCGCAGGTAGCTGAAGAGCTCGCCACCAGGGACATAGTCCAGTACCATGTACAGTGAATCGCGGTCGGAAAAGGATGCAATCAGCCGTGTGATGAAAGGGTGGCCGGCCACGTCGGCCAGGATCTCGCGCTCGTGCCGCACATGGTCAATCTGCTTCAGCTTGATGACTTCGGTCTTGCGGAGAATCTTGAGGGCAAAGACCTGGGTGTTCTCTTGGTCGTCCGAGGCAGTAGCTGGGCGCACAAGACATACGCGCGCAAAAGTGCCTATTAAGGTTGCAATAAAACGTGCGACTTTTAGCCTTCATTCCAATCTGCAGCAGAAAAGGTAATGTGTACAATAAATAGAGTTGGGAAAAATTGCATTTGCGGCGGCATGTCTACAGCTGCAGGTAGGTGTAATAGTCTTACAGACATGCCGTCTCCCACTGTAGGTGTCCTCGTGTACAATAAAAAAAAAGAGAAGAAGCAGGAAAAGGTAAAGCGATAACTTACCCGTCCCCAGCGTCCGAACCACCTTGAAGTCTTCAGGTTTCAGTTGCGCATGTTGTACAGTCGGTTGACTTGCGTTGTTGTTTGCCTTTACAATTGCTTCAAGCCCCGCATGCTGCTGTTGGCCAGTCGCCCCTCCATTGACGTGTTCCATGTTCACAGCTCCAGCGTCTGTTGTCCCACCGAGTGGTATGGGAGTTGGCCGGGTTGCGACGGCGGCCATGCAGTCGAATGAATGTTGGACAAGGCAGGCAGATATTGGTGTTTGCGATATGTATGTAATGTTTATGTTTGTTATCTGGTCGCAGGCGCTGCTTCGTTCCTGGTTTGGACTGGACTCAATTCCCACTTGCGCCTAGACTTTGGTCCTTCAGCTTCCTTTGTTTACGACGAGTTTCAGACGAAGAGACCCCAGTCCGCCGCAATTTCTATCCAAGTCTTTCGACAATTGTTGTCAGTGGGGTTCGATCGCCCCCTCGTGCGTGGGCGCACTGGTGGTTCCGCGGCGGCTGCGCTGAAGCGGGGGGGCCTTCTGACGACAGACAAACGCTTGTCTCTTTCGCTAGCAACCGGGTTGAAGTCCTGTGATACTGCTACTAGCAGCGGCGCATCAGGGCAGCTAGAGGTCCGATCCAGGAGTGTCAATGTGAAGATGATGAGTTGTACGGTTCAAAAGTGTGTTGTCCAAAAAACTACAAGGTCCAGCGCCAGGATATCGACTGCGGCTCTCGTTATTTGGGAATCGAATCGTCAGTGTCTGGTGTGTCCTTGTCGCAAGCGCCGACTCCCCTGCTTACATGCGATGCAGGGTATGTATATTGGTTGCAGATGAGGTGCGAGGTTGAGCTGAGGTAGACTTGGCTTGATATTGCAAGAAGAAGAATTAGAATAAATTTTCTTTTTTTTTTCTCGCCCTCTTCTTTTTTCTCTCTCTACTTTTCTCAGCTGTCTCCTGATTATCAAAGCGCGTCCGAGGCCACACCCCCTAATTCTGTTTTGTTTCCGACGAAGGGCAGAAAAAAAAAGATTCATGGCAACGAGTCTAGACTAGCATCAATGCGACGGCCGGTTTCCCAACGCTGAGGATCGCGCGGGCCCTAAAGTCGAAAGTGCCGCCGCCCCGGTCTTATCGCTCGTATGACGTTATACGCTGCAGCGCAACGCCGTCAACCTTCCCAAAAAAAATCTCCTGCCATGCCTTATTTTACCCTACTTTGGGTACATGTACCCTGCACACGCGGGCGGCCAGCCGGCTTTTTTGGGTGTGCGGGGAGCCACGCGCTCACTCAATCTCGTTCGGTTACGTTGGCGGAAAGTTCCCTGCACATTGTTCTTATTCTTCTTTGGGGATTGCCTACATGCACCTGAACAGGTACGTACCCACGATGGTTGTTTCGTGCGTATTGACATGATTCAATTTCAAGCCTAGAATGGGTTCAAGAACAATTTGACATCTTCTACCGTGCATCTAGTGGCAAGCCGAGTCCCTTTTTCCATTCTTTCGTCCATGATTAGAAGCAATCCTTGATCAGCAATCACATCTGTTCGTATAGGTATTCCCATCGGCTGTATCTAGCGTGTAGATCGCACTTGAAGTAGTAGTGTATTTGACAGCATCTCGTGCCTTTATTTCGACCCAAGATCCCCTGATGGGTGCATAGTATGTACAATATCCTTCCTCCCCTAAGCATGTGCCTACGGCGGTGAGCGCAGTCTACTGCATACTTATCCATCTGACTAAACAGAGGCCCACTGACGATGTCTGGCCTCTTGTCGGGTTTGTTCTGCTTTCTTGTGTTCGGCATCTGAAAATTTGTACAGACTACATCCTTGTTCCTGCTCCACGAGACGTTGGGATGACCAAAGGCTATTCGGTATTTAGCATTCCAGCAGCCAAGCTAGAATACAATACGAAACTAGTCGTGCGCTGACTGGATTCCTGCTGTGTCTACATGAATTCTTGAAAAATCCCGAGCACTACCCGAATGGGTTTCTTTTCTGCACATTCCTGCCAGCTCGGGTATAAGTAGTTGGATCCCTCTTGACTCGTAGTTTGTCCCGATCGGGTGCCGTGGATATGGCCTAACTAGTATAGCATGACCCAGCTGGCGGAGAATAAAGCCTTGTAATCTCCGGAGTCAGCCTGAGCTTGGCATTTTCGGCCAAGATAGGGGGTCTCTCGAGGCGAGGGCGTTGGTGTGTGGTTTTTCATTCTGCAGTGAGCTATGTGACCTACAGTAGAAACTAGGTTAGTAATGAGGATTGGTCGTAACCCGAACCGTCGCGACCGTGTCACGAGACCTTGACACGTTGATGTTCCGAGCTGAAAGAATAGCCATGTGCCATTTCCGTGTAGCCTGTATGAATGACCACATGTAGGCGTGTGACGGAACTTGTGTTTGGTGGCCGTGTCCAAAAGTTCTGCCGTCATACATTGATCGAATAATGCCTTGCGTGCAGATGCACAAGGTATATGCTTAAGGGTTCTTTCTGGCATGCATCAGACCAGCATACAGAGAGATATACAAACAGCAATATTAAGCACAGAAGATATAGTCGAGTATTTCATGATTGCAGGCAGGTCTAGTAGCTACATGGAGAAATGTAGATAATCATAGTGCATCAAGAAAATGCAATTTGAGAAGAGGAAAAAGAATAAAATTATATAGATAGTGCTCCGTCAACAAGCATGGTTGACAAAGAGGGTGCACGTTTTGTAGTAAAAATGTCTCTGCAGCGTCACCCTTTACTTGTTCGAGTGTGATGATGATCATCCAGTCAGTCATACATGGATTGCCAGTCTATGTGTTGATAAATGACATGGATTAACTTGCCAATCGACACATGCAATGCCATGATTTTGAATGAGGCGGGTACCACAAGTTACTCACTCCGGATTGGGATATAAAAATGTATACTGTATCGCATTGGGTTGGTCAGGTACTATTCATTATAATGTAGTAGTTGCCATATGATGTGCTGCCGGGTTTCGGTGCAGTATTTACTGTGGTACTAGGTATGTTGCACTTGCCTAGGGATGTCATTTACCAGTTATTGTCAAGAGACTTGAGCCTTAACAAGGTAAGTAAGCTAAAGTGGCAGTTCAGCGGCTCTCAACAGGGCCAGCCAACCAGAGTTGCAATTGTGGCTGAAGCTGTCTGGCCGACCCCTGGATCCATTTCTCCTCCTAACGCAGAGGGGCTTCCCGTTTCCTATTGACCACCACTACCTTACCAACCAACTAGCCCCACGGTACAGACTCACTCGTGTGTGCGTGTGTGTGTGTGTGTGAATTGTTCATCTTCAGCTGCGCCGACCACACAATCACTTCATCCCGTCCCAGAAACTTCTCTCCTGATCGCTCGCTACGTCGCCAACCCATCACCAGCACACGTACCTGACGACTGCATACACCACTGTAAGCGGGCGGTCGCCGATGACCGCAGTTGAAACCTTTAGACGACCCCACGACATGCTTTGACCGACGCCCTTGGACTTCTTCCAGGGTTAACCCACTGACATCATGTTCAACCTCTCAAATCTGGTCCAAAAGGCTCAGTCGGCTGCTCAGCAGCTGATTGATCCAATGTCAGGTCTGAATCTCACCAGTTCCGATAGAAATCCTGCCAAGTCGACCCTTTTCCAGCACCAGTTTCGGCTCCCGAGCACACAGACGCCCCTGTACGAGATTGCTGCCGAATTGACCATTCCCCCGTCAAACGTTACCCAGGGCGAAAAGGATAGAGAACGAGGCTGGCACTATGTCGGAAAGCTACACCTGTCGGAAGCCTACATCTGCTTTTCCACGACGCCAACCAGCTTTGTCAGCGGTGCCAGCACAGCGGCGTCGTCAGCCTTTACGGGCCAGACTCATGGCGGTGGTCCCAGCGGTAATGGCTTCACCTTCCCACTCTGTGCCATCCGTCGAGTAGAGCGACTCAACAGCCAAAACTTCCAAGTAGGCCTACACTCTTTGCCAGATTTGCGTGTGCCCAGGCTAACCCCTGCCCCAGTTCGCCCTTGCCATTACGACTTGGAACGGTATCACACAAGAGGAAGCAAAGGAAAAGGACAAGAGTCAACTCAAAGAGCAGCGTATAACGATCCAGCTTGCCGGGAGCCGACAGGCCTGCGAAAGGTTCTGTGATGGGCTCAAGAAGGGATTGCGAGCCGCCGTAGGACACGTGGGTAAACTCAAAAAGGTCGTTTCTGAAAACTATTCTGAATACCTTCTTCGGCCTGAAGGCAAAAAGGGCGACAGCCCGCCAGATGCTGGCCTGGGGATGCTCTTCCGTTATCCGGGAGATCCCAAGAAGCTCAGGGACCGCGCCAAAATGAGGCTCTGGGCTGAATATCTGCGCGACAATGGGAGAAACGCTACACTGATCCGCCAGCCCACCTTCCACAAGCTCATTCGAGTCGGTCTACCAAACCGCCTGAGAGGAGAAATGTGGGAGCTGACGTCCGGTTCCATGTACCTCCGCCTGGAAACGCCGACATTGTATACCGATACCCTCGCCAAGTTCTCTGGAAAGGAGTCTCTAGCGATTGATGAGATTGAGAAAGATCTTAACCGCAGTCTTCCCGAATACCCCGGATTCCAGACCGAGGACGGTATCGGAAGACTACGCCGTGTTCTGACTGCCTACAGTTGGGTCAACCCCGATGTTGGCTACTGCCAGGCTATGAATATTGTGGTAGCCGCGCTTCTGATTTACATGTCCGAGGCCCAGGCCTTTTTCTTGCTCTCCACACTTTGCGACAGGCTGGTTCCAGGATATTATTCCACGACCATGTACGGTACCCTCCTAGATCAAAAAGTGTTCGAGTCTTTGGTCGAAAAGACCATGCCGGTTTTGTGGGAGCACCTTGTCAAGAGTGATGTCCAGCTTTCAGTCGTCTCTCTTCCTTGGTTCCTCTCCTTGTACATCAACTCAATGCCTCTAGTCTTTGCTTTCCGTGTTCTCGACGTCTTCTTCGTCGAAGGCCCCAAGGTCCTTTTCCAGGTTGGCCTCGCCATTCTGCGGATCAACGGCGAAGACTTGCTGGATGCAACCGATGATGGCGCATTCATCTCAGTCTTGAAGGGCTACTTCTCGCGCCTGGATGAGTCAGCGCACCCGAAATCAGAGAACCCCAAGCTGCGGGCAATCAATCGATTCCAGGAACTCATGGTAGTGGCATTTAAAGAATTCTCCGGAATCACCCACAGCAGCATTCAAGATCTCCGGCTCAAGAACAAGGACGCTGTTCTCAATAACATTGAGAACTTTGCCAAGCGAACAGCCATTCGTAACCTCGGCCCCGACAGCAAGCTTCTCAACCCCGAAGAGCTGAGTGCACTATACGACAGATTCTATGGAGTTCTTTACGAGCGACAGCAGCGAGATCGCATCATGCAAGAAGAGAAAATACGCCGTGCCAAGGCTCACAGAGCAAAGCTTTCGGTTTCGGGCGTCTTTGTAGACCAGCAGGATACCGTCGTGGAAAGGGGACGTGTTGGACTAGGCCCAAGCACCAGTTTGATGGACTACGACGCTTTCAGAGAGTTTCTTGCCGCAATGTCCAAATGGGCCGTATCAGATACCCCCAAATCGCCTGTACGCGACCAGTTCCCAGACAAGGACACGAATGCCTATTTTGGCAGCTTCAGAAAGTCCAACAACAATCTACTCTCTCCGTGGGGCGGTGGCCCAGAGCCTGCTGACCACGAGTTCATGCAAAGACTATTCAAACAATGGGATGTGGACTCGAGCTCATCGCTGACCCTGCAGAATGTTGTGACTGGGCTAGCTCAGATCAAGGGAAAGCGGGACATTATGGGAACCATAACGTATTTCTTTGAACTATATGATGATGATGGGGATGGCAAAGTGGATCGTGAAGGGATCCTTCGCATCTCCGAGGCTCTGCTGTTCCTTTCTCGCCGAGGACTCGAAGGTTCGCTCAGTGCGTCCAGTTCGAATCCAGCCTTGAGCACGCTTGTCGAAGCGAATGGACCAGGCAGTCCGCCAATTGGCGGAACTGTCAACGAACGATTCCTTGGCAGTGTAAGTGCTTTCATTCGGAGATGCTTCGAGTATGCAGACCCGGATCACCCCATCAACCAGGATGATATCCCAAAGGAGTCTACGAGCCACGCTGAACCTTCATCCGACGAGGGCCCGACGGCTGACCCAAGTGCCTTTGCCATTGGCGACGATGAGGATGAGGATGAAGATGATGACTTGCTGGCTTTTGATGGACCCAATGACAGCGACGGGGCGAACAAGAAGAAGGCAGTTTTGGAACCAAACCCGCCAGCTATTGGCAAGCCAAGCGACGGCAATGAGCTTCATCGAACTGTATCCAAGGCACAATCGGAAAAGGCAAACGCGGCACTTGACCCTTCGAACCCATTGTACATGACATTACCTACATTCCGCATGGTTGTGCTTGCCGACGAACTGCTTGAACAGTTTTTCGAATCTTCATTCCCAAGCTCGATACACGTCATCGATGGTCTTCCCACCTCTGCCGCACCTGCATCGGCATTGACAACCTTTTCCAGCTTTAGCCGCGCTGCGGCCCCAACACTGCCCATACCCCCGGCCGGCGCCGGTGGCCAGACACGTAGCTTACGAAGCGTATTGGACAACATTGTCACGGATGCCTCACGAGTAGCGGCCGAAGTCCGCCGCCGCATGGAGGAGGCCCAGCGTGAGCTGGAGAAGAATGCTCTGCCTGGTCAACGTGATGAGGATGAGGAGGACGAAGACGACATTCAGGGGATCAGATCTGCCGTTGCAGACCCCGAACGCCGCAGCGTACGATCGACCGATCGGGATCTGTTGGATGGAGCAGACGCCGAAGCCGGAGGCTCCAAAGGTCAAGAGGGTACGCGTCAGACTTTGATCGATACTCAAGAAGCCCCAGCAGGGCAGTCACGTCCAGCTACGCAGGAAGCGATTGTAGAGTTTGAGGGATGAGAAGGTCTTGTATTGACTAGTTATTTTAGAGAAGGATGACGGCGTTTGGGCTTGAATGACCTCATGGGAGAAAGGGAGTTGTTGGCTTCGTACCCTGCTTCCAAGGAAATCGGGAGCCTAGAGGTCGGGATGTTGTACCTCTTGCCAGCTATGGAAATATTGATACAGTACAACCCATCTCGTTGTGATGAGCTTCATCTCAAGTGCCGCGTTCTTTCTTGTATTCACATGTGTGCAGGACGTTGATAGGAGTACAGTATTGGTGAGCTAGCAAGTCCGACGTGTTTTGGGCATCATGTTGCGACCTCATCTCTGCACAGATTGGACAGTCTCGGGGTATTGTTGTTAGGTTCGAGAACATCAATTATTCGACAACTCCCTTGGGGAGAACGGAATGGGTAATATTAGCGGTAAGGAATCCGATACTATTGATCAAAGTTGTCCGAGGGATGGTGGCTGAGACACATTGAGACCAGGGAAATGTGAGCAGATGGATGAAAGTGCACCATTTGCACGAGATGATCGGCCTTCTTTGTTGGAGTCTGCTCTTAATATGTGCTGTCCAACTTGTATATTGACTACATTGCAGGTTATTCACCGACAAGATCTGTCCATGAAACAAGATTGAGGGAGCCCAGTACTTGGTAAAACATGGCATGCAGCCGCATGCTTCTCCTTTTGCTGGATATCGACGCTATTGCAGACTAGAATGATCTTCGCGACCATTCCAGGGATATTTCATGGGAATGAATCAAGGTCCGCCATAGTGCCACTACCGAGCATTCCAAGTCGACCATGGCCTTGGAACGCATCCCTTTGCCGCTTCAATTACAAGGTTGAGAGACGGTATTTATGGTGTCTTCCTCACCCGCGTTTCCTTGGCCGGTCCTCATCATTCACACTCGTTGGAGAAACAGAAGCAACCTGCCTGTTGGACTGTTTAATTGATCACTCATTTCAGCGTTTTTAGATCAGCACTTTTACTGTATCGTGTTGGGCTCCTGTCGCGCCGAGATGGTGTCGTTCTCTACGGCGAGGGCTGCGGTCCTTGTAGGGGCCTGGGCATTCGCAACCCATGTGAATGCTCAGGGTTACTACTTTCAGAATCAAGGCGATAGTTGTGCCGGCGTGGGTTTCCAGTACCTCGGGTGCTACAACGCTCCAGGTGGCGTGGACCCCTTTCAATATACGCCTGGTGTCCCAACCACGAGAGACGGCCAAGGCAATCCTTCACTGTCATACATTCAATTCGACAACAACGACTTTACCAATGCCACAACCAACGGAAACTATTGCAGTCTGTTCTGTAGGGCCCACGGGTACAAGTACACTGGCCTATACAACCAAGGATGTACATGTGGCTCGTCTCTTAGTGACAGCATCAAGTCTCTGACTCCTGCTGCTGACAGCGCCTGTGCCATTGAGTGTTCAGGTGATCCGACTGAGAACTGTGGCACTGCTACTGGTATCAGCATCTACGTGGACACATCTTTCCAGAGGGAGGACAGTCTTGTGCCTGCAAACTTGGCGACCGGCTATCAGAAACTTGGGTGCTTCTACGGTAGCAATGGCGGTCCAACAATTCCTGGCCCCAACTTCTACCAAACGACAGTGGCCACGCCCGACCTATGCTTTGCAAACTGCGCAGACCTCAAGCTTCCATATGCGCGGGTAATCCGAGATGACGCTAATACGTGGGTTCTTCATCTATTCCCTAGCTGACTGAGCATGCTAACCCACTGGCAGTTTCCGTTGCTTCTGCGGTGCCGACTTTGGCTGGGGTGTTCGGGCTTATGACGACAGCACCGATCAACTGTGCCAGTCAAAGTGCTCAGACGGAACAAGGTGAGTTTAACTACACCGATCACATTGTGTCTACCATGGCTAACACGGTATAGCGGCTGTACGGGACAGGATTGCTGTGGTGTGGGCAACAATAACGCTGCGCCGGTATACGCCAATCCTGAGCTCATGGGCTGCCTTGCCCCAGTCATCCCTGGCTTCTACACGGCTGCCGGTTCGACGGTCCCGGCGGGCGCCTATACTTGCTCACCGACTCCTGCTTTTGTCAGCGCGAGGTCCAAGTATACCGTCAGCTATGAAACAGCTCCTTCGCTGACCAAGACGGTTTCCTTTGTGGCAACCGTCACTCCCGCGGCTGGTGCGGCCTTTGTTCCCTATGGCTGCTACGCTGGCGGCGCGTCCATCCTCGAGGCGCCGACATTGGCGGCTCCAGCGTCTCTGCCATCGGGTAGAGTGGCCGTCGACACATGTGTTGAATACTGTAATGCCCAGGGCGCATCGTGGGCCGCACTCCGGGCTCCCACCAATGCCGAGTCGATTTGTATCTGTGGTAGCGACATTGCCAGCAGTGGCCTCGGAAGCATAGAGAGGTTCAGCACTTGTAACAAGCGGTGTAGTGGCGACCAAAGCCATTTCTGTGGCCCCAATGCTTCCGATGCAGGAGGTCTCGTCTATGTCAACACGGCTGTTGCCACGTACACGAATGGTCCCTGGTACACGGGACAGTACAACACTTGGACGGTCACGCCCACCTATGGCTGTACTGGAGGAGGTAAGTTGAAAAAGTTCATAGCTCTAAAGCATGGAATTGATGGTCCCGAGACACGTCATATGTCTCGTGGGCTTGTTTATACAAGATTCCTACGTCAATGGGTCTCTCTGGGATACATTGACACTTTTGGAACGAGGACATGCATTGTCAACCAACACCAGCTAACCATATTGATATAGTCACATCGTCCGCAGGCCCAACGACCTCGGTCTCAAGCACTGCTTCAAGCATTACTAGCTCACCTTCCATCACCTCGAGCGACACTGCTTCCATTACGTCTAGCAGCACTGCGAGCGAATCCATCAGCAGCACTACGAGCGAATCTGCCAGCAGTACTGCGAGTGAATCTGCCAGCAGTACTGCGAGTGGAACTGATAGCAGCACTTTGAGCATTTCGGAGAGCAGCACATCCAGCGGGTCTGCCAGCAGTACCGACACCAACTCTGCAAGTAGCACTGGCAGCAACACTGAAAGCAACTCATCGAGCAGTACAGAGAGCAACACTGCCAGCAATACCGAGAGCAACACTGCTACCAACACTGAAAGCAACTCATCGAGCAGTACTGATACCAATACTGCCAGCAACACTGGTAGCAGCTCGCCTACTAGCACCGAGTCTAACGCCAGTATTACCAGCAGCAGCACCGACTCTGCTTCGACGAGCAGCAATACGGCAGATGCAAGCACCAACACCATCAGCACGAGTTCTCAAGGCTCTGACATCAGCACTGACAGCCAATCCGCAACAAGCTCGGTTACTGATACAAACACGGCGAGCCAGAGCACAACCGCTCAGGGTACCGAATCTAGCAGTGAAGGCCAACCTACAACGACTCCCAACACAGAGACTGGCACTGGAAGCCAGGGCACATCCACTCAAAGCACTGATGCAAACACTAGCAGTCAAAGCGACGTGTCGGGCTCTTCCACGGCCACAACGTCATCGACGGCTTCCACCACGGAAATCTCGGGCCGCCCGACTATCACAGTCACCTCGAGGGTTGTTCGCAGCTTTGCCGCCGTCTTTGACACGGAGCAGGTCCCTGACAAGACGGGCACATATGTCAACCTGACAACGTTTGATCCCGTTACTAATGTCAGTCAAGCTGACAGGAGCTTTGTGGTCCAGTATCTGGGATGCTACCTGTTCGATGGAGTCACCACTCCCTTCACGGAAGATGATTCTCAAAACTTCATTGGAGATGCGACGGCAAGCGGCACAGCTTCTGGATGTGCTGGTGTCTGCGCTGGAGCCAACTTTACTCTGTCGGCCAACAACCAAGGAGACTGCTTCTGCGGAAATGAACTCAAGTCGGCTAATCTCGAACTTGAGCCCGACCGATCCAGCTGCAGCGCATCTTGCCTCGAGAGTGACATTGAGAAGTGTGGTGGAGGTGACAAGCTGACATCGCCGAGTGGTGCCCTGCTGAGCGTCCCGGGCAACTCTTTCTTCAACATCATTGAAGCTGTGGACGCAGCAAAGGCCGTAATTGTCGTCCTGGACGAAAACACCACCACCACTGGTACCGCTTCCGATTCCGCCACTGGTTCTGTGACCAACACGGAAACAACCTCTTCGCCAGCAGTCACTGGACCCGGTAGCATCAGTACCATGGTCAGTGCGACTACTTCAAATGACTCTGCGGGAACTCAAACCAGCACCTCGTCGACTGCGTCGTCCACCAATGGAGTTCCCGGAGTCCAGGACATGCCAGGTCAGACCATCATTGCTGGCATTCTCAACGACGGAGGTGCTGCTCAGGCCCAGGGAAGTGGCACCAATGGTGTCAACGGGGGCTCTGGGTCCGTGGGAGCTGTGTTCCGTGTGCCGACTGGCGGTTTCCTCGGCGGCGAAGACTCCCCCAACCCTGTGTCGTGCAGTGATGCCATTCCCCTGAACCTGACCAGCGGACAGCTGAGCAGCGGCGGCGAGTTCATTGCTGCGGAATCAACCGATGCTTATACCCCCCTGGCCGCCTCGATGATGAGTGCCGCCGTCACGACCACGTTCTCGTCGGTCGACGGAATCTTGCACTGGTTCAACCCGGCCTTTTACCGGGGCGAGGCTGGTTTCTGCCAGGTCGGTTCCGGACAGGTCTATGCCACCTTTACACCGGCTTCGCAGTGGCCTCAGGGCTGTGTTGCCATCTCTCTGGCTCTGTACAGAGGTGAGTTGCTTTTTCCTCGCCCTGCTCTATTCTTCACGTCTCAAATATCCAGGAACTAAGAGAAATTTTGCTGACTCGTGTATATCATAGTTGAACAATGCCAGAATGGTACCCTCGTCGATCCTTCTCTGGCCACCGGTACAGTGACCTCGGGCCCGACAGCCACCAACAGCAACGGCGGCAACGGCAGTGGTCTGGCCACCATGACCAGCCCGATTCCCTTTTCTGAGGGCATTTTCCCAATTGATGCCAGCCCGACCGACGAGGCGTGCGTCAGCACTCCCCTGTCATGGGAGATTGCCCCCGAGCCTACCTTTATCGAGGCCGCCTAGGTTGAGCATCTTCTGTGAATCGGATGAAGGAGTACGTTACAGTATTGGAGATTCGGCGAGGCTGCAAAGAGAGGGGCAGGGAGGTCTGGTGGTGGTGTAATGCTTTGGTTTCAATACTGTATATTACTCCATGTCATGAGTTTTGAACGGGCTGTTGCAATTGCAGAGAATGCGGTTTACAATTGGTCTGTCCTTAGTACTCATAGAGAGGACCGGTGCCGTATTATGAGAGACTGATTGTTTCCTAAATTCATGGCCCAGAACTAAAGGCCATCATGCATTCCTATTCGAAAGGACCCAACGATTCTTCCGCACCAGAAATATCTATGCCATGAATGCTCGTGTGGTGATATAGTCTCTTTGGTTTGAATGCCATTAATCTTGCCATTGAATTGTTTGCGGTCCCAACTGCTCTGAATTGAACCAACGAGTCGTTACTGATCTCGCCACATCTTTACTATTCGTGCATTAGATTCAACCATTTGATATTTTGCCATGCCTTGGGATAACTCAGGTATAAGGAAAATGCCGAATGTTACTTGTTTGCCATCTCGAGTCGCCAGCAACATGATGGCTCGGCTATCGAACCTACCGGTCCTAATGCGGACGTGAGAGGACTTTGCCACGATTTTGGGCGACCGGCCGAAGACACTTTGGAAACTGTGCCGGCCGCGATCTAATTACCTTGATTTGGGCGGATTTTAGAGTTTGGAAGCACTGCCAATGAAAAGCAGTATCCGAGTATACGCAGGCTCGGGCTGACTTTTTTTTCTGTCCTCTCTTGGTCTGTTTACGCGTACACGAGATTTGAGTGTGGCGAGGGGGGATAGATCATTGCTGATTACGGGCTGTGGGTTCAAGTCAGTGTTTGTGTCTTTGCTACAAAAATCATAAAAATTGTCATGATCTTTCTCTATTGAAGAAGAAGCTTTAGATAATCGCCGACTATTACGTGTGTCCATTGACAGTGTCGCTAAAAAGTCACAAATCTATCTGCCCTCTAGTCCCGCACCCCTACAACCTACAGTACATTACACGTGCAAAAGAATGTGCTGGGTCGAGGTGTTACAAAGACGTCGAATTGCAGAAGGCTGGGGCGCCACAACATGGCTCAACATGCACATGCATGATGCGAAGCTTGGAAGAGAGAGGGCAGTTGACTGTAATCGATAGCCGGCCGGACAAGGCGGCAGCATAGAGAGATGGAGAGATGGAGAGAGACGAGGAGGGGTCATTGTTTGGTAGTGCTTGGCAAAAGGGGAATACGGAAACACCGACTTGGATGGGGGGATCTTCTCAGCTTCTCTCTAGTATCTCGATGGGGTCTGTTACTCCCCCGGGATTCAGGTATCATCGACATTGTTTTCTGCCGCTTTTGGTTGATTTACGACCAGGGCCATGAAACCGACTCTCCGTCCCCGCGATGAACCCGCATTTCCCTTCCTTTGACCCCCCTCCCCCAATCCCCCAGCAATGGTCATTTGCTCTGCGGGATGATCGATATTTTGAATGCGATATGGAAATAGAAGGATGCTGTGTAATTTTGACACGCAAAGTAAACGCCTTGCGAAAGCCGTGCCGGGTCTATATTGTTATTACATAGTATATTGCAATGACGTCTGCTGGGTCACTCCTCATTCCCGCAATTCCCTTGTGTGTTTTTCTGTGCTCTCTCCTCTTTGTGGTCTAGGGCGTCAGTGTTTGGGATTGGACGTGGGATTACCATCATTTGAATTGAGAGGCGCGCATGCAATGCATGCATACTTACATACATGCATCTGCTGCCTGCCCTGCGAGATCAAGGAAACAGCATGTGTCCAAGGGAGGATGCTTGGATGCATTGGGGTTTTGATTGGTTAAAGATGCCAAAAGCAGATCGGACACCACCGCTCATGCAGCATCAGTTACGGGATGGCTGCTACTTGCTGGCTGCTACTACAGTAGATACATGGCAGATGGGCATATACTATGTGTATACGAGGAATGATTCTGGTCTGGTCTCGGCTAGTCTCTTGTCAAGTGGCCAGTCATGAGGTGGTTACAAACATTTTCAGCCTCATGCAACAACAACAACAAACTGGCTGCGTTGCTGGTAGTGTTGGCAGTGGCACTGGCGCTGGCGCTGGCCCTGGTGCAATGCATATACAATGGGCGAATGGCGTTACGAAAACATACATGGCCATCACAAGCCCGCGCGCGGCACTTTGAAACTTGATCTTGGTGCTTGCGGAGAGACCGCTAATGCTGTGCGTCGTTGCAGGTGCCGCGCCACGTCCCTCACCTAGGCAAAAAGAAGTGCACATCAATCCTGGACAAAAGTCAAATAAAAAAAAAGAGAGAGATCCTGCTGGTTGTGAAAAGTGCCTTGCACATGTACAGAGTATCGTGTTTTGAAAGTCTTTCAGGCTAATGACTCGTCAAAACACGTCTCGTCGTAGCAGGTGCATGTACAGCTGCTATTTTTGATGATTTCCTTTTCTTCCTTGTGCAGAGACAGACATACTCACACAATGGGACGAAATTCTGTTACGTCCGGGTAGGTACGGCATTGACTGCGGGACATGTTAAAAAAAAATAGAAGACTTTTGTTGTTTCCGAACATCGATGATCGGGACCGATAGGACAATCTGGTCCGCAAAGATACAAGGGCCGCCCTGGTTATCATGTGGTTATTCTACATTACCAGGGGGGTGGTTTGCGTGTTCTTTTCACCTTGAGAGAGATTTGATGGAGAATGAGGTGAACAAAGGTCAAGGTCGCGAACGAGAGGATCCACCGGGGAGCAGAGAGTTTCCATTCATTATCAAGATTTAAACAATGGGGATCCCGGGGGAAGGAAATGAAAGAGAAATTCACATCCGCGCGTATATACGTTTGCTTGCATGTACCCGTCTGTATGTACGATATAGACGAGTCAACTCCTTCGGCCGATAGATTGATACTCTGTACCGTAAATATCATGTAGTATGTAGACAAATACTCAACGGCCCACCGGTAATGTTGGTTGCAGGTGTTTGTTGCAAGTCCATTTGGGGGAGGGGGGGAATTTCTCAGTCAGGGATTGACGGATGGGATTCAGCTGCATGACGAGAAAAGTTCCCGATTCGTCAGATCGGGTGGACGTTGCAAGGCATTTGGGCAAATTGGCAGCTGCTTCCCGATCTTGAAACAGGAAAGCAAATGTACGTAGTTAGTGAGTGACTGACAGAGAGGTAGGTGGTGGTACCTAATGACTTCCAGTCTTTCTTCATCATCATCATTATCAGACGATTGATTCTGCGGGCCGATGACGTCCATGATGGCCCTTTCGCGGTCAGGGAACACGGGGCAGAACAAGGTCAAAAAAGAGATGGAACATGGGATCATTTTCATAGTGATGGTAATAAAAAGAGGCCCCATCGATTTCGCGCGCGTCGCTGTGGGGTTGTCGAGGCTAGACGGAGACCGGCCCAAAAGACTATTCCCAAGCGGCCCCAACGATAGCGAGCCGGAGCACGGAAATATTGAAACCATGATCTACGACTACCGCCCTGCGCCGGCTCGCCTTTCAAGGTAAGGGTAGGTACAGCGGGAGTAATAAGTACGTAGTGCAGTGTAGAACAAAGTCCATTAGTGTCGACGAGTCCTTCAAGTACGAGGCCAAGAGGACGGTACAGAGAAAAGGTCCGATCAAGTCTGGCGGGCCAAAACAGCTTCAAGCAAAGTCATAATTTGTGGTTGCTCGTCTGCCTTCTCCTCGTCCCTGGCTTGCTGGATCTGCGGATTATCGCATATCATCATGATTTCTTTACCCACAAGTCCATTGCTACTGAGCCTGTAATCTTTCTGCGACATGATCATAATCACCCGCGACCTCTTGTCAGCGAGCGCCGGGAATGATTCAAGCAAGTCGCCTGGTTTGATTTGCTCATAATTTACCAAGAATGACTTGCTTGCCTGGGCAGGTATATACGGCTTTTGGCCCTTTGCCTAATGCGTCATGGACGACGACGACGGACTTTGACTATGAGTGACACTGCAACCCAAGTCTAGCGCCATCTCATCAGTCAGCCCGCTGTCATCAATAGCTGCGCTGCCTCTCGCCTACTGCGACACTTTTATTCCTTCGCCAGCCCGCTGTCATTATACTTTAATTACTTTGCGTAGCGGCCACGTTGTCAATGGAATAATCTCAAGATACATGGGGGAAAGACTAATAACTACTGGGGAGCATATCATGGCAGATCAATGTACTGTGCAGAGATACCCATTGAGAAGTAGAAGAAGCACGATCGATTCCAAACCAGTAGCTGGTCCGTTCGTTACCTCGTGCACGAACGGGCCCTCTCCAACCCTCCAACCCCCTCTGAAACATGCCTCAACCGCGAGCCGGAACCCCTGGGCGGCACACATACACACAGCCGTATCATGTACTGATTACTGCTCGTGACTGTGACCTTGGAGGAGATTAAAACCGATGCTCTCGAGTCTCGATCGAGGTCTTTTTTTCACTCTGCTGCATATGCTGTCTTGTTGAACCATGCGGAGGCACCGGGGGAGCGAGCGAGCGAGCGAGAGAGCAAAGTGAGAGAGTTACTACCCATTGGAGACGAGGGGAAAGGGTGAATGAACCTGGCGATCCGAACGAATCCAGTTCTTGGTTATCACCCGCGTCACAGGATGGCTGTTGCATCACGAAAATCAAGATTTTTCTGCGTCCTCAACCACCGGGCCACGATACGACAGCATCCTTCCTCCCCTTGGGGGGACCCCCCTGGGCCATTTTCTCCCACGGCAGCTAACCCGGAAGTGCATGCCTTGGATGTGGTAATTAATCTAGGTAGGGAATAGCACTGGCGGATTGTAGTGACGGAAGGGTATTAGTAGTAGTAGCAGCAGCGGTAGTAGTAGTAGTAGTACTATATTCGACTACCTTGGTTGGGCTACTAGTTGCCTACAATAGCACAGCTCACAGCTCGAGCTGAACTCATTTAGGCTCTCCCACCTTTTGTCGGCATTTTTTATTTTCTTGTTTAAATCCACTCTGGCGATAAAATATATGGAATGAATGGGAATCCTCGGGCTGTGACCGCCTCAGGGGTACCGGGGTCAGCGCCCCCGGGAAGCTCAAACTCCACGCCTCTATTCTAGCGCCTGCAGGGATCGACTTCTACGAGGCGCTAGACGCCAGTAAAGAGAAGAAGAGAAAGAAGAAGTCAAGTCGAGATCTGCCACTCAGAGAAGACTGCAAAGCGCAAAGCCAGAAAACCGAGACCCTCATACCATAGATTAGTACCATGTAGGATAGGTGCCGCCTCTCTACCTTACCTAGAGCCGTTAGCTACTAGATTGCTGGCGCCCTAGCGGCCCCCGCCGTCGCTTCTCTGGCGTTGCGCCCCTCGACATACCCTAGCGCCAGAGGTTCCTTTTGAGTTTCCCTGTTATCAGCCTGTCGAGATCGCGATTCACAATAGCTAATCCCCATTGTCCCAGAACCGGAAACCAAAGCTACCTAGAGGTCCATGTCCCGGAGCTTTTCTGGGTTACATGATGGAGCCCTGATCCTGAACTTGAAAGAGGTCTTCTCTTCTCTGTCCAGACTGCAATCTTTCTCGTCTGTGTTCTGCAAATTTTTTCCCTTTACACTCTTCTCATCCCTACTACTAGCATAGATCCATCGTGGCCACAGAAAAAAAAAAGAGAGAGGAGAAAAAAGGGCACACGAATCCATACATACGCAGGGAGGAATCCGCTTCTGGGTATGAGGTGACCGCTTTCTGCAAAAGCACGCACGCACGCACGTACTTTTCTCTCTCACACACATATATACCAACCACACGCACACACCAAAGCTACTACTGGCCTACCAGTTACAACGCATACACCGACGGCGTTTCCTGGCTATATCCATTTGCCAACTCCCCCCGTCCCACCTTTGTTCTGATCCTAGACAGTTTCGATTCATGCGTGGATCCCCCAGCTGGATAACGGAAGAAAGACTGGATTTTTTCTTTCTTTCTGTCTTCCTTCCTTCCGACCTTTCTGTCTGTCTGTCTAATCCCATGCTAGAGTTCTAGCCAGATACTTTCTTTCTTTCTTTTTTTGGTCCATCCGTCCAGTGTCTCTCATATAAGCGAGTTCCGGAATGGCATCGGTCTTGCACGCATAACATCGCTGAGCCGCCCTTCCGGCACAACTCCTCTCACCTGCCTAACATGGGCAACACGGCCTCGGTCGAGGAGCTGGGGAGGGGCCGGAGAACATCTCACAAGCTATCCAAGCCCCGAACTGGCAATCCTGAGACAACAACGACTAACAAGCTGTTGAGTCCCGTGGGACAGCCCAACCCGAGGCGGCGCTTTTCCACCTCGAGAACAACTTCCCTTCCATATGGCACATCTCCTGCTCCGGACCCATATTCAACGTGGCTTTCTCCAGCAGACATGAGCGCCGCCGAGGCAACCTCCACCTCTGGAGATGACCAGCCAGAAATCAAGACGCGCTCCAGATCTCGGTCCATTACTCGCGCCGCCAACGCCATCTTTCGTTCAAGGTCTTCACAGACACCTCACGGTTCAAGGCGGCAGCAGCAAGGCAGTGTTGGACGGCAGACACCTTCTCAGAGTGCATTGCCAAGTAGAGCCAACTCCATGATCATTGGAGCTTCTGAGTCGTCTTATACGCAGTTCAACTCTTCGAGGTGGGTTCTCTGATATGCCATTCGCTCCAAGTGACATTTAGTGGCTAATCTGGTACTGCCCGTATAGCTGGCAGGCTTCTGGCTCTCGTACTTCGGCAGCATATGATCTCAACTCGTACGAAGCCAAGCGGCTCTTGAATTTGGTCGAGGAACCGTCTGGTGAGAACAACTCAATCGTATCAGACAGCCAATTCCAGGTTAGGGAGCTGGCAGTCAGAGATTCCATTGCACTGTCATTAGCGGACGCGCCCCCGGCGGGTGGTAGTATAGCCAGAGCTAACTCGGACATTTCAATGTATGCGCCCATGCGAAGACGGTCGCTTTTGGTTACACCAGGACTCGCTACACGAAGGCCAGAGCCATCGAGAGGTTCACGGAACGCAAGGGCCAGATTTAGTCTGCCTTCTACCCCAGCACGTCGGGATTCTTTCGAGTCTGCGGGTGACATGTTTTCTATCCCCGTACCCACCATTGATCCCCAGTCGATACCTCGTGCGTCAACACCATGCGACGACGATTATGGGCATATTGGAGCTTTCAAGTTGGGAAGTTTGCGTATCACAAACGGCAGCCCCGTGGCTAGCCCCTTGAGCGACCTGGAGCCGTCTCAGAGTGGCTATTTCGGTGATTTAGCATATCGGAGCCCCGGTGTCGAGTATTTTGAACGCCATCTTAGAGTGAGAAATCACACGAGGACAAGTTCGCTGGAGAGTGCAAGTCATGCCATGGATATTCCCAGGTCAATCCCAAACAACGCCCATCTTCGTTCGATTCAGACAGCGCCACAAATTTTCCTGCAAGAAAGTAGCATGCCGGAACTGCCAAAATCGCCTCACTATCTGCCACATGTCGACCTCAGCCCTCCAGTCATCGAAGCACCAGATGCGCATCCTACCGGTTTACAGACTACTAGTAAGCATTCTGCTTTGGAGGACAACTTATTCCAAGATGAGCAGGAGGAGATTCTGCAACCCGAAGTCTTGGATGTACGCGTGGATCTCAACGCCAAGTCCTTGCCACCACGCCCTCGTCTGATATCAGAAGGCAGAACGCCGCGTGCCATGATGAGATCGGACAGTGGCGTAGCAGCCACTCCAATCTCAGAGCACCCGCATGGGGCAGGAGCACTGTCAAAGAGCGATTCCGGCTACAGCTCGAATATATCTCTTCGTTCGTTCTCTGCCAAGCCACCGGTCCCTGAAAAAGAAGAGTCTCCAGCCCAGCCAATCGATGTTCCGCCACAGACGCCTGCAAAAGATTCTTTCCCGGTTGAATTGGGCATGGGGGCCGGAAATGATGACATGAACGCACAAAGCGCTACACCCAAGACGAGCAAACCAGTGGCCCCTCCTGTTCCTCGGAAGGATTTGCCCGTTAGTGACGACTCTACTCCTACGATGGTCTTGCCTATCAGCACGAAAGTGGCGGAATTCTTTGGAGAAAGAGCCTTTGTGATTGAGCAAAAAACGTTGCGAGATACAGCGAGGAGTGGACAAGACCAACCAGATAGCCTCCGCGGCTCTCTTGACCTACCGCCTCTAAGCCCGTCGGGCTCTGTGCCTTCTACTACGTCCTCCTCGAATGGTAGCAATGGGGCTCGCAAACCCGGAAAGCTTGAGAGGTTGATTAGCAATGCACGCAAACCGCTTGCGATCCACGTGACACAGCCTCCAGAGAAAGACAGCGCCACTGCCGCCTCTAGACACGATAGGGAAGAACAAGGTGGTCATGGCGGAGGGTTTTCGAAATCGTTGAAGCGACTCGCATTGAAGCCAGTGTCTAGCAGAGCGACATTAGGAACCATTTACAGCGTTGGCAGCGCCGAAGCTCGTGAGGAAGAGCCGCCACTACCTTCCGTGCCAACAGTGGTGTCGAATGCTTTGGAAGTCAAGGGCGGAAGACCCAACGGGATCGCTGGTCCGAGACCACTTCCACGCAAGCCTCTACCCATTCGTAAGAATTCAATCGACAGGGGGCAGCACTTGCCCACCTTGACGAGTACGCGGGACGAGCCTCTATCGCCGTCCTCACTGGAGGTTGCTTCAGCCACATCAATGTCACCTCGTTCGTGGGAGCCGCAAAGCCCAACGTTTAGAAACACGGATCGCGGCCCCATAGACAATGTGCCGTCTTCGCCCGTCAACGAAACAGACTCGCACCCCAAGGCAAGATATGCTCCACCAGTCAGTATGAAGACACGAACACAAGCCTCGATCCGCATTGTGCCCCCTTCGAGGTCAAAGTCAACTCCACCAGTTGCCAGGCAAACCTCTCCAGCACCGCCGCTCCCCCGAAAGGCTAGTAGGGAGAATATGCAATACCACCCTCCCAACAAGCCGTCCTTATCCCGGAGATCAAGTCGCGAGAGTGTGCATAGCTATCCACCTGCCCAGCTGCACTACGAGAGCCTAGACTATCACATGGCCACCTCAATGTCCGAGGAAATTGGTCTTCATTACTTGGCCAACGTCCAGGCGAGGAACACCACTTATCGTCAACCTGACTGGCAAGTCAAGACTGGCCATGAGATACCTTCGGAAAGGTCGTCCCTGGACCAAAGTCGCCAGAACTCGCTGCCGAGTTCAAGCAACTACTATAATTCTGGAAGACAAGAATTCAAGCCACGGTTACAAAACACAAAGACTCCTGTCAGACCGTCTGCAGATGCAGTCCGAAGACTATCGAGCTATGGTAGCCATGGCCGCCAGCAAGACCGGACGGCTGTGCACGGTGTTCATCACGAGAGTTACCAGACTCATGTTGTCTCTGGTGCACAACCATCACACGGCGACGCACCTGGTGCCGCAATTGATCCCTGGGCTGGCAGAACGATGATACCGAAATCGTTGGACCAGCAACCCCGCAATCCACCACACGTGCCTCGCGGCCATTCCAGAACACATAGTCTGGGAAGCCATGGTAGCAATGCACCGCCTTATAGGATATTGCACAGCTACAACTCCCCAGCCTACAGAAACGCTCCCATTTGGGGTTAATTATGGCATCAACTATGGCTCACTACATGGTTCGACATACCGCGTGGTTTATTGAGTCCATGTCACGAGCTTTTTGAGATTTCTTTACAGATGCACAGCATCGTATATACCCTTTCGGGAGCACAGCATGTTCTCTTTGCTTTCATGTTCATGATTGGCTAGCATTGGATCATTTGAGCAAAGGGCTCGTTGATCACCCTCGGCTACTCCTTTTTTTCTCTTTGTTTCGTACAGTCTCTTTGGGCCGGCGTGCTCCAGGTGTCATTCACAGCATTATTCATTCATGACAATAAGCAACAATCACGATCAATTCACTGCATATATGGGTTATACCACTCGGGGGACGAAGTGAGGAAATAAGGCCACATCATTATACCCAGGGCAGGCCGAATGGGGGAGACATGAAACTATCGGGTTCTTACTGGCCCAAGTTCTAGGAACAGCACAAGCAATAACAAGAGCTAGATTCGCATCATTATCACGAATTACAGTGAAAATATTGTGCCACCAAAATCCATGCATACTCTGGAAGCAGTGTATATTTTCCAGTGTACAAGCTTCATGACGCACGCAACATCCGCGAAGCAGTGGTACAGAAAATGAAAGCTATAATCGATTGTTTACAAGAACAGAATGACTCGAGTTTCCTAACAAAGAATGACGTATGTTCAAACTTTGGGGGAATCAACAAGCGCAGTCAATAGTCAGTCGTAATTCAATGCGGCGACACCGGCGCGTTTCGGGTACACGACCAAAACCCAACTATTTTTTTCCCCCCCATTGACATCGTTTGGAGTTTCCTTGTTGGCCCTTTCTGCGCTTAGACGTGGACTAAGCGCGTTGTCCCTGTGATCAAGTCTCGACGTTTGACCGTTTATTAAAAAGAAGGGTCTTTCCTTTCTTTTTCCTTTTTTCCTGTTGGATTCTAGCTGCATGCACCACTGAATTAAAGAAGAAAATACATAAATTGGGGGGAAGAGAGGGTCCATTGAATATCGTATGATGCCTATCCACTAGCTGTTGATCGTCAAATATGACCGTTATGCTTCCAAATAGCGTTGCATGTAGAATACATCCTCACATATCATAAATATAATATGATCACTTGGTAAGTAAAGCAAGTCACGGTAGGGAATAATAGGTATCATTGCATCAAATCTTTGGTCATGTTGTGTGAGCGCTCTTATCTAGTCTTTGGATATGCAAGCTTAATCTCTGTCCTCACTAACTGCTCGACTCTGCACTCTTGATGCTAACCCAGCCAGCCCAGTTCCAAGATCCCTCAAAAGGTTTCCAAGGCTTTCCACCAGAGGTGGTAGTGGCTCTGTCCGCACAGGGAAGTTGTCCCTGAAGACATTTCTCGCAATGTTCAGCACCATTCCCGTGTTTGACAAGGATTCGACGCCCGAATGGACATCGCCGTTCATACTAATGCCCGGTGTGCCCTTGTCAAGCTGCAGAAATGCTCTCGTTTCTCTGCTCTCGTTGCCGTCCACCAGCACGTAAGTTGGCGGAGCGGGCATCTCTGCAGTGTTCTTTGTGGCTGTAGAATGGGAACATGAGAGCAGTCCGTAAATCCAGAGTGTGAGAGATGCATAGTAGACAGCTATGGCGTTAAAGGCTCGTAATGAAGCAGGTGGTAATGTCCGTGCGTGGCGAATGACCTGGCCTGCATGCCATATGGCATGCCGCGCATCACGGCTCCCTTCCCAATGGTCTTCGAGATGGCTTGCCGCCTGCCGTGCTTCATCTTCTCCCTGTTTTCCAGCAAATCGTTGGAGCTCATCGGGCGACACATGCAGCATCATCATGAAAAGCTCGGCAACTACAGACAGCTGGGTGGCAAGCTTTGGTGAGCTGCCAATGAGCATGGCGAATTCTGATACGTCCCGGTAAAGTTCCTGATGTTGTGAAGTCAGCCAGAGACGATGTGTCACCCTCGACGTGCGACGGGTAGACGTTGCTGATTGATGGTCGTAGAACTTGACAGCTTCTCTATATGCATGGATCTGGCCCCAGAATCCGTAGAGGACAGCACCATAGCAGAGCTCCACATCAACAAATTCTTCAAACAGGTCCAGCATAGTGATGGAATGCATAATGTCCGCTACTCGCGGGAGCGTCACGTCGGACGGCAGCGGCTTCTTGCGGAGATAGATTTCTCTCCATGCTTCGGCTGTTGGTGCTCGCCAAAGATCCCGGGCGGCCGGGAGACTGAAACACAATTCAGTATACGACAGCAACGTGCCGTGCTGCAACATGATCGATGCCTGAGCATCGCGGAAGAATATATGCAGAAGAAGCCTAAGGGGCATTAGCAGGATATCCATCCGAAATCCAGCGTTTGACTTGAAAGGTACCTTTTATAGGACTCCCGTTCTATGAAACTGCGCCACTTTGCTTCTAGCTCTTGGGGAGAATCTGATGCCAGGGGTATCGGCCCCGGCGAGTCTGAGCCCGCAGAAAACGTTCCAGCGCGCCGCAGCATCTATTAGAGGTAAGCGTCCATTCTGCCCCGAGGTCTAGAGGGTATCTTTACAGTCAGAGGGGGCAAGAGGAAACTCTCCGCCATTTCTATCTTTCGCTTAAAACCGCTCCATAGACCTATATCTAGTTCCAATGTAAAGGTTTGGAGGCATTGGAGGTCTCTAGTCATGCTGTTGTTGCTTTCAAACTACAGGCCTGTTAGATGAGTTGAGAAAAGAAAGGCTTCCAGAGCACTCCTACAGTTGCAGAGATTCCCATGCGGACAACTTCCTGCAAGGAAAGTCCAAAGCGCCAAATAGCAGGATCAGCTATGAAGGTGGCGCCGCTTGCGATCAGTGCCCCGAGGAGCTCGGGGATGGCTGAAGACGGGTCGAACGAAACCGAGTGTATCCAGCTGTCCGTTTGGTATTCGTCTTGGATAAAGTGGGCCTGCAAGAGATAATTGAGCAGCTCCAGGCTAGGGAACGACGGGATCTTGGTCGGATGTTTGTGCTGCGACAAGACGAGAGCGAACAACTTGTCCCTTATTGCCGGCTCCATCTTCCAGCGAGATGATTTTGATGCTAGAATCCGTTCATATGCCGGAGAGTGAGCGATGGATTTCTCATTAAAGGCCAATCCCTCTTGCTCATTGCCCAGCGAGTCTTTACTTTTTGGCTCCCAGAGCCACGGCGACCGTTTGAATGCCGCATAGCCACGTGTAGGATCACGGGGAGGGCCTTTGGAGGTAGACGCTGTGGATGACTGGGGGCTCGGTCCTGTAATGTCGACTTGCGGGATTGTGTAGCTGTCAAAATTCATGTCCCATGAACTAAAGTCCATGTCTTGATAGAAATTGTGAGTCGGGTTGAAGAAGAACATGTCATCCGTCGCCAGGGGATGAGGGACAAAATCTGTGGAATAGGGCGTGGGAGCCATGACGGTTTGCACGTCAATCTCTTGGTCTGCAGGGAATTGTACTCGACGTTCCATCGGTAGAGGCATCGCAGCCTGAGCATCAGCTACCACGGCCGGGGTGTTCCTGACGCCCGGGCTACCGACAGATGTCTCACTGGACTGGGCTGTCATGCAGTCAGTAAGGCCTGTTGTGATTCTGGACGTTGATGCTAATCAAGCAGTATATGAACACAGCTTTTGAGTTGGAGTCTACCCACAATCTGAAATGCCGTAAATAGAGCCGCGCTTGGCGGCAGTTTGGCACGGCAAATTCTTGGTTTTGCATCGGCCACATGGTTTTTGGTCGTCGCACTTGGCCTTTGAGGCGGCACAGTTGACACAAGCCTCAGAAGCGCGATCACTCCGGCGGATTATAGGCCTGCCTTTCCCTCCGTCATCCCTATCGTGGGTTGTTTCGTGCCGCGTCAACAAATCGCTAAATATGCTTGTGAGTAGATGTTTATCTCTTGTTTTAGCTGTCGTTGTAGTAGGGATACCCACGCTCGATTAAATCGTTTGGGGCACCGGGAACATTTGTAAGGGCGGGCATTCTCGTCTAAGTCATTCGTATTAGTTTGATGTATTCTGGCCGAATGTTCTGATTCGGGTATCGAGGATTGATCGAGGGGGTGGACCAACGTGATCGTAAATGTCTAGTCAAGTGATCCGCCCTGTTGTTGCAGTAAAGGAGTCAGAATTGGTCAAGCATACACGCGCAGTCACAAACTCCAATGGGCGCGGACATGCCTTTCGTAGACCCTCTTGCATATATGACAAACGTGCGGCGACGTGGGCGAGGCACCGTCTTCGTCGGCGACCTTGATGCGCTTGGTGCGCTGCTGGGGTTCCGGGGCGGGCGAGGACGGGGTGAGGAACGAGCTCAGCAGAAGATCCGACCCTGCCGCATCGCAGAGGATGTCGATGCCGTTGTGCTCCGTCATAGTGTATCGTCCGACCGTGGTACGACCACTGGGCCGGCTTCAATCTTGTGGAAAGAAGCAATACGAGACTGTGCTGTGCTGCCAACTAGCTTGGACAAGAGTGGGCGGCGGACATACGAAGGAGAGGTCGGAAGAAAGGTGGAGGCGGGGTTCCGGTCCCTTTTTGTAACTTGACGCCGGTCGGGGATGCTGGGAAACTCTGGGGAAAAAAGACCCTAAAAAAGGCCAATGGACCCCCCAAAAAGGATCCCCCCAGATTCTCTCCTCACGCCGCCCCTCCATAAAAAAAACAATCCAGGATGACTACAATGTAGCCTCGAATTACGACCCAGGTGATTGGCTGCTGCAATCACTTACCCCAGACCGCTGACGAATCACGGGCTCGGCGTCTTTCTATTTGTCCTCCCTCAAACTCCAAACCACGACGGCACTTGAGCACGGCTATATTCCCAGATATATATAACTGCCAACATAGTAGGTAGACGCATGTCTTTAAAGGCATCACAATATATCAGCATGGTCAATTGTCATTCACGTGCTTGGCTGCATAGTTGGATAGCACAGATCAAGGTTCTTCTATAGGCTTGTTCTCGATATTGCAAATGGAGAATAATCACCACGTCCCGATATGTACATCTATACCGGAATGCTTAGTAATGTTTGTGCATGACCGTAGATCTAGGTCACCACAGAACGCGCAGCCTTTTCTTTCACCACAGATGGAATAGAGTTTTGACCTACATTGCCTATAATGCACATCTCAGATGCCCAGCCCAAGTCAGACACGAGCCCAGAAAGAAGCCAGACTTGGGTTGCCTGCCTAGGTCTGTCGCGTTTTCCTGGGGGAGACCGGCTCAAACCTAGATGTTGGACTTGACTCCTTATGGCCTGGCCAAGTTCCGTGTTGCCCTCTAGCAACGGTTTTCCTCTGTGCACACCTGATCCCAAGCTCACAACCTCAGTTCTTTGCCAACCTTGAAAAGAAAAGTGTACACGACAGCTGAAGTTGGAATTGCGTGTCTTCTATGGTCTGCCTCACATCTCAGTCCAGCCACCAGGGCATGTCGATTCATGTCTCGCTTACTGCTATTCTCGGATGAAGTCACAATCTCTCATCGCTCGGTCCGCCAAGGCTAGGTATTTACAATTATGACACAGGGAATAATTTCGGAGCTGAAGAAAGTATTGATCGTCTATTTCTTGCTAGAGTCTTTGCGTGTCAGTCTCAATCGTCAGCATCTTCAAGGACAAGGTTTAAAGATCGAATAATGGTCCAATAGGATCACGAGAGGAAGACCCCGCTCCACATATATAGTATTATATCTAGATGCCTCTAAGCCCGGATATCTGAAAAAAACCAGATAAGAGAACGACAAAGTGCAGAAGCCGAAGACTGGCTCTTCAAACTCCAATAGAACCCAGTGCCCTTGCGCCAGTCTTGGGATGAAAGATTGTCTCCTTGTTACGAACGCCATCCGTATACCCCCCAGGTGCTACCTCTGATCCATACCTTTGACCCGAGATATGCGAATCCTCACCATAAACGCCGCCGTGACGAGGACACCTAGCACAAAATAAGGAAAGAAAAAGAATGTATCCGTCAAAAGAATTCTATGGAGAAGGATGAAGGAACTAGACCACAAGAGATCACGTCTGGGAAAGTGCTAGCAATCGAACAGGTCAGCACGAACCAATTGACTGAATAGTGATGATCCAAACTTACAAGAAATCTGCCAATCACAAGGCTGGTGTGCCGCAGATAGGGCAAGGGCGACCAGGAAGAACCCATTGTTCTCTACCGCGAGAGGCGCAGGTTGCACAACGAACACCTGGTGTCTATAGGATCTTGTTAGAGAGAAAAAGATATCGTATTCATCTTGGTTGAGCTGAAGCGTACCGAGCTGTTGATTGGAGAGCAGCTATGTTGCTGCTTGTTCGCTTCGCGCCGTGCCTTGATTGTGGCATCGCAGAGAGGAACGCTGGGGAGTGACATTGTTGGTTTGGGTGGTGTACTTGCGAAGGCGATACGTGGATGGATGTTCAAGGCTAGTCGACGTGCAAGACCACGATGAGAAGGACAGATGATAGAATGTTAGGTCTCGAAAGATTCTCGAAGGGAACGAGGAGTAAGTAGTAGGTATAGAAGTATTGAGTCTGAGCTTGAACCTGATACGATGTCAGAAACCCACGAGGGCATAGGTGCCTACTTATAGTTTTCAATTCTTCTCGTCCCGACTATGAAATCTCGGAAATCGCTAGTTGGTAGACCTAGGCCAACATGGGAGAAGAGTGAATAACAGACAGAAACTAAAGTAAAATAAAATAGAATAAAATAAATGAATGACAGATTGAACCTGTCACAAAGTATCTTCGCCGGTAGCGGCTGATGCACAGGACCCTGCGATCGGGAAAGTGATAAGAAGAGAGGAGCAGGGTGAGTGGCTATAGGACTAAAGAATTGCAAGTAACCGACAGTCTAGGGGTTAATGGGAATAACAGGCCAGCAGCGATCCAAGAAGGCTAGCGGCAGTATACGTATCGATGGGTACAGTACATTGGTGGGCTCGGCGACAATCGAATCGCAAGCCGAGCCAGAATCAACATGGGAAGAAGCGGCGGAGGATGGGAAAAGAGAGAAAATCCCATGCGTTGGTTTTCTTTACGGCGGCACGGCCCAGGAAGGTATCGTTGTAATCATCATACTCCTTCCCCCATGCATGGATGGAGCTGGAGCCAGGTACAGTGCAGTAACGTACACGGTCAAAAGTCAAGTAGAGGGGAGGGGAGGGAAAAAAAAAAGACAACGAAATGCTTCAACCGGAGCTGAGGCACTAGAGCGGTGATTTTCTGTTCGAAGCACCCTAGGATCATGCAATCAATGCCTCAACTAGGTGAGCGAGGTACAGTACCTACATTAATGTGAAGTAAGATACAAAGAGTGTATGGCGCCACTACTGTCTGTGAGTAAGTAAACTGGACAAAGTAGCTTCTAGCGAGCTTCCATGTCATCAGTCAATCAATTGCGCAATTAAAAGGGGGGTGTGTCGTCCGTGACCAAGAGAAATAATACAAAGAAGAAAAGTAAAAGAAGGAATAAGACGGGAAAAAAAGGAAATAAAAAATGAGGTACATGGCACAGAGAGACACTTTGGGCCCTCGACTCCATCACCTGTGATGGAGATCGAGTCCATGGCGTTGGTGATTGGATCATTCAGAGTTGTGGGATCTGATCGATCACTGAGCAGGGTGGGTACTTGCCAATAGTAGCTTGAGATCAGGGTGGTCAGAGGACGGGAAAAGCAAGAACAAGAAGCCACGACTTCCAGTCCCTTTTTTTTTTTCTTTCTCATCAGTGTGAGAGGGAAGAGAGGAAAAAGTCAATGCTGAGCTTGCGTGCCCGGCTCTTGCTGCCAGTACCCATCCGACGCCAGGCATGACACAAAAAAGAGAGAGGGAGAGAGAGAGAGACGAGGAGAGCTCGATGCATTGGATCCAAGTCGAGGTCTGAGGATCTGATTTCTGTTATTGCGCTGCTGCTCATGTCGCTTTACTTTTTTATTGTCAATGCTACCTACATACTGGGTGCTAGGTCAATGCTGGGTGCTGCTACCTACCTACGTTACTTTTAGGTGCCAGGGTCATAGCAAAGACACCTTGTTGCCCGATCCAGGTACCTGGAAATGCCCCCTTGTCCGCAATCAATCTCTCTCAGCTTTCTTCTTTCTTCTTTCGCATGGACAGGTACACACACACACATACACACACACACACACGGAGCAAAGACCTCTCTCTCTCTGTCCTTCTCCCTTCCTGCATGCATAGGTATCTACTACTGCACATGCATGCAGGTAGGCAGGCAGTCAGTCAGTCAGTCAGTCAGTCAATCAGTCAATCAGTCAGTCAGATTGTTGGTTACATTGGGCTCTTGGTACACTGACTATCGAAGTCGATCGCTTGCAGCATGGAGTATCCAACGTCTTTCAGGGTTTCCCGTCTCCATTCACTTTCTCCATTCAACAACCTAGGTTAGGGAACTTGTATACCTACATGACCTACCGCCAACAAGTACCTAGATGAAAGGCCCAGCGCCCAGGAAGCTAACGCACTCATCCATCCATTCACTCATTCCACAGCATATGACACAAGCAAGACGACAGAAACCGCTTTCCTGGTCACTCTTTTCCAAATCACACATTCATACATCCGTCCATACTCCTGCCCGGACCGACCTATAATGCCATGCCGTCACGATACCTCGAGTAGAACCCGACTACGACGACGACGATGCGGCACTTGGCAGCAGCTTGATACTTACTCAATACCCCCCTCCCTTCCTAGGCTTACTTTTTTACGACTTGTCCATTTTGTCCTTGTTGAACCACTCCACTTGCGCACATGAGACATGAAGCTAGAGTGGTAGTAGGCTGTGGCTATCAAGGAAGACACGAGCTGATTCCAACAACCGCTCGTCCTCTACCAACCACAAACTTGCACAAAATACCTGCCTAGGTGATAGTTGGGCAAATTGATATCGGACCCTCATCCCGGCCGGTAGCAATGCCATTGTGAGCCTTGGCAGAACTAAGTGCGCAGTTCTCCGGAGGAGATCATCATCAATGTACCAACTCGGCCGACATCTCTGTGGCCTAATTCGTCTCCATCTCATGCAATAGATTGGCAAGATTGGGGGAACATAATCATAAGCCAACGTCCAACTTGCTTCTCCAAACTATATTTCTTCAGCGGTCTCCACATTTTTGTCGGATGTTACCTACCTGCTGTCCGCCCGCACCGCAGCGCATCTTGGGGTGGCCCATCGCTTATCGACGATACAAACGTCCAGCCGCATACCGCCCAGCAGCCACCAAGATCTGCCGGAGGCTTAAACGGTACCTCCACCTCGCTCTTGTCCAAAATTATCCCTCTATCAAGACACTTCTTTCGGCCGCTATACACTGTCATCACCATTCACGTTCCCCGCGGCTCCGTCCAGCTGATAC